ATGATAGGCGTTTTTGATGTCGAATCCCATCAAGTAATCGTGCTTCTTCAACAAAAATCCAAAATCGCGTAGTTTCTCATAATGAAGACCAACCTTCTTGAGGTGGCAATTGATGCGCCGAAGGTCGATGACCAACCGGTATTTGGTCTGGCCATTCTCCGCCGGCTTGGCCACCAAGAAAGCGCTCGAAATCCGGGCGTCGGAAGAGGGGTTGGTCCAGACGATTGCCCCCGTCCCGAGGTACTCGTCCCGCAGCTCCCGCCATGCTCGCCATTCCACCGGAGTCGTCAAGGGATACTCGCCCTGATCGAAGGGGGCCGGAGGGCCCATCGGGCCCCATTGAAGGGGGGCCCCGGTGTGGATCCATTGCAAGACGTGCGAAGGCGCCCCGATGCGGCGCCACCCGGAGAGACAGCCCCGATGTAAGGGGCGAATGCCCTTCGAGGCTGGACGGGACTCGGCCCGTTTACCCGTTCAACTCGGGTCCCAGTCGGAGATGAACTTGACGGCAAGTTTTCTGGTTACAGAAGTGTTCCGGTGTTCCCGTTTATATACCCCATGTCCAAGGCAGTCCAAGGGTCATGCCAGAATTGGGTAAGTCACCCAGATTCTGGCATACCCGCCCAGTTTGTAATTTGAACCTCCCCGATTCATGTCCGTTCGTCTCACCGACCCGTGGGTACCCAGCGCCACCCTTTTCCGTATTGACCAATACGGCATTCATCCCCTTTGTCTATTTCATTATCACCCAGCCCAGTTGCCCTTAGTAAACCCCACTATACAACACTTCTAAAGAGTCCCTATTGTACAATGCCCAGTGCCTATAATATACAATGTTCTCCCGTGTTAATATACAAGACAAACCCCTTTCTGTGCTAATGTACATACCCCCTACGGCTCCCCTCACACCCGAAGATGAGCGTACGGAGGGTCCTCTAGGCGGCGGGTTTGGGGGCCTGGGACGGAGCGTTGGGGCCCGCCGGCGGCTTGGAATTCTTGCCCTTGAAGTGGCGAGCGCCGGAGGTGGACGCGCCCGCAGGATTGGGAGCCGGGGCGGCGCGATCGAGTTTGGCCTGGTTCTTGACGGCAGCCGACTTGGTCGCCAACTTCAACTGTTGATTGAGGACCTCCTTGCGAATGTGCTCCAGCGGCTCGTCGATCAAAGGATCCCAGAAGCGCCGATGAACTGCGCCCAGCCGAACGTTGGTCTGGAGCGCGCGCCACAACCCGTCGAGGGACGTCCCCTTGTGCTCCCCGTGCACTTGTTGAAGATGGATTAGACTTTGCAATCTTGTCGTAATCGTCACGAGGGCATGGAGGTACGGCAAGAGGGCGTCCCAAAAGATGGGCGGGGAGTCTTGGTGCGCCGCGAAGTCGATGAAGGAAGCCGTAAGGTCGAAGAGCCACGCGACGTAGGGCGCCCAGTTCTGGTACTCCTGGAAGTAGCCGGAGTTGGGCCCAAGCGCCTGCGCAAGTTGCGCGCCTTTGGAAGTCTGCCGCACGTCGAACCACTCCGGAAAGCGGACACCCGGAGGTCGGACCACCGGGTTGGTGACTGTCCGCGGAAGGAGCCAGGGGTCCAGGAGCCAGACGGCGTCGAGCTAAGCCATAGGCGGACCGTCGTTGAACCGGATGGCTTGTTCTTGCAGCCACTGCTCCGCAGGTGTCCGGTTCATAGAAATAACTCGGCCAAGGCGGCCGGGGAGGGCAAGGCACTCGGTGCCTTCGGGTTGTGCCAACAAGTGGCACGAAGCGAAACAAGATAGGAGGGGGACCGAGGAGGGAGCCTAAATAGCCGCCCCCGCTCAGCCCCGCCAAAGCCCGCCAAGTCCAAGCCGCCAAAACGGGCGGACCCTTGGACACTCCGTACTTTGACTGACCCAAGGTACTAGGAAGGGCCAGAAACCCGTTTGAATACGATTGTGCCTGATTCGAAACTCAGCACAACCCACCCAACGTCGTCCTGGGTGGAAATCTATTAACAAGATAGTTAATGTCATTTAGTGCCATCGCTGCAAAGGCGATGAACACATGGATGATCAATGTGCTCCCAAGCGCTTCATATAAAAATCTACACCCATATGATTTTAGGTTTCAGGCAGGGATAACCAGCCGTTGGGTACCTCGTTTCTCTCAGCTATTCTGCTGAGGCGGGGTTATCTATGGCATGATGACTCCCCCCCCTCGCCCCGGAGTGTGTATCGAGCTGCGCAGCAGCGTCCGTCTGGGACAAGGGGACCGATTGGATATCCACGGAAGTTGCAGCCCATCAACTCATAGTCTTGTCAATGAGGGAGCGCTGGTCACAGCCCAACGTACCAATGACAACTTGCAAATTAGAGCGCACTGATGCATGCCCTCGCCACGTGCCAGTACCTCCAGTCCTCAGGGAAAGGCAGATTCTCGCAGAGGACTACATCTTTCGTGATTACAATGCTTTGACATGAAGTGGCCGACTGCCCAAACGAGAGCCTATCCAGACAGAAGACAATGGCAGAGGAGTCCCAGCCCCGCTGTCGTTCACACAACGCACATGGGATCGAAACAAAATTGCATACGAAATTTTCTCCACTGCAAGGTCGCAAGCCCCTAATTCCGGACGCGTGCTGCTGTTCTCCTCCTGCCCAGCGCCCACAAAACCTCAAGAACGCAGCAAGGTCGCAAAAACTGCACCCCTGGAGACAGCATTGCCGAGACCCATTGTGACGATGCCCATCCACACTGATCCACCGGTGGCCACGACCGCTGTGAGTGTGAAAGACCTCTCTGTGCACGTGGCAGGGCACGTTGTTTCAATCTCAGCCATATACACACTGTCACCAGTAAGCTTGCCTGGCACCACACCCCTCCAAACACACAAAGCCCCAGTACAGCCCCCCTTGCTTGGTCTCTTAACAGCACGACTTGGAACGGGAGAAGCCTCTTTCACATCTATTCACTTCATTCCAGGGAGCAGGCCAGAGATCTTGGCCTGCAGCCACAGCCAGCAAATTGCACTCACTCAGCACACGAGGGATGGAAGTTCAACCATACCCTGACACCCCCGCCACTGCTGTGTGCATGCAATGTACATTACGTGCTATGCATATATTCTTGTTCACCTACGTTATCTCCTTTGTTTCAACTGGTAGATTGGTTTGTGGCAAACTCTGCAGGCATGCCAATTGGATAGCTGTCGTTGGAAGCCCAGACATTTGGTGCACGCAAGGATTGTGTGCCACAGCGCTCCACTGAATCTCTTCCCTGTTGCTGTTCAGCAACATAAATGGACTGCAGCAATACAAGGTACAGCAGCATATCATTGGCAATTCTTCAACTGCATGTGTAGCAATCTATGACGTCCTGTTAGAAAATGTCTCTGGTCTAAAGTCGCATCCCTTAATGGGCCAACACGGGTCCACAAAGTACTGCACTTGCAACAAATCCCCTTGAAGGCAACATGGTTGTCTCTATGGGAGCCGTTTGGCATGCACAGATTGCTGACATTCTGGTGCAGTGCCAATTCCATTCATCCTCACTCACCTGGGCTAGTTCAGTTAAGCTTTGCAGACATGCACAATGGAATACAAACATATGAGATACCACACAGGTGACATAGATACACAGATGACACACACCATGAGCATCATATACTGGCCTCACATGCGAAATAGGGAGAGTATAAGCAGTTTGGTCCTAACTTATCCACATCAACAAATGCACCCATTTACTTCCGTTGACATGCTGCACGCACAATTCACCACCAGGATCCGTCACAAAGCATGGGGTGAAAAGAATTACGTGGCAGAGAAGTCATTCAGTCCCTTAACAATGTACACACCCAAAATGTGGCAATCACTGCACTGGCACCTGCAAGGTGATGATGGTCATATCTTCCATTGACAATGTGTATTCAAGCATGTAAGATCAATGCATCTAGAGCAGTTACAGCAACAAGTGCAATTTCAACTGACCAGAGTGTTCTCGACATCCGCCGACAGGTCCTCTTTGTCCACAAGATAACGGATCAGCAAGACAGGCCCCATCAGCACGCCAAGTGTCTGTGCCGTCCCCCCCAGAAGCTGTGCAACAAGGAGAATAGTCTGTCAGATGCCATGCCGCGATGTTTTAACCGTCAAGAGCCACAGCAGCGGTCAATCAGACAATAGAAAAGTTCCCAAGAGTCCTTAAACGTCCAGCTCTGCAGCGATGTGCTTGGCAGACACGACAACAAGTGAGCTTGGTAGTCTGGTGGATGGGGCACCTCAGGACCAAACTGTAATAACCAGATACGCTGGCTGTGGTTCATTGCATTGCCATCTGTCCCTCTGCCTGGGGACCAGGGGGGTGCTATTTGCACTGAGAATTTCCTTGCCTGCGCTATGATCAATTGTCAGTCAGGGCCTTGTGCCCCATTAATTGTTCTCCACTCCGCACAATTCTGTTCCTCGTCGGTTGCAGCGCTAGGCAGGCGACCCGTCCGCCAAATACGGCGCAGGATGTGCATCTTGAGGCGCCCTTGGTCAGCGGCTGGTGCACGCCAGCTGCCCAGGCGCAGACAGGCCACGGAGCCACAGGCTCCCGGAAGCTGCACGTCGAGTGCGCTCGACAGACCGCCGTACTTTAGACCGCTTCCCAGCGCGTGGGGTGGACGCCTCAGTTCCGGGTTTCCCTGGTCGACAGACGTCCCTCCGCTCTCCACCACAGCCTGCTGGGCGCCTTCTAACCTAACGCACGTCCAAGGGCGGGCCGCCAAGGGCCAGCAGGCTGTACTTAAGCGCGCCAAAGCGGTGTTCAAGCCGGGTTCCACAGGTTCGAAGCTTACGCCTCTTCAGCCCCGCCTCCACCTTGGTCGCTGCAGGCGCCCCGGCGAAGGCGACGCTAAGGGCGCTGCCTCCAGACGCGAGGCAGCCATGAACTTGCCCAAGTCCAACGGCAAGTTATCCGCGATAGCGGGAACGGTTACAGGGGGCAGGCCATCGCCACATGGAAGCCAAGTCACGGGCTCACGGGCGACCAGTCTAGTCCTCGACAAGGTGATGCTGGTGGTAATGACGTCGCTTCCACGGACGCCGCACCAGGCAACGCATCTCACCACTGCGCGCCGCTGGAAGGCGCGCTGTTCTTTGCCACGCCTGGCCGTTGGACTGCCGGTTGGACGGCCGGCTGGACGCCCGGCTGTGCTGCAAGAGAACAGCTCCGCAAATTTCGGCGTTGAGTTGCGACAGGCTTGCAGGCAACTTCCCTGCTTTGTGGGACATTTCCATCGCGACGACGGAGAAAAAGAGCGCCCTGCTCTGACAAGAAGAGTCCGGTGTGCTTCCACACAAATGCCGTCGAGGGACTCCCGAGGGTGGGTGTTCAATGCTCAGCGCGACATCTGGTCCGCACGGATGAAAGGTCGGGCAATTGGAAGGGCGCGCGCACTGGCGCTGGGGCGTGGCCGCAGAACGCCGCGCTGAGCACTGAAAAGGTGAGACAGGGGCGCCCCTTGCCAGGGGTCGACTTACGAAGTCGAGGATGGGTAGGTGGATCAGCCACTCCACAAAGAAGAAGGCCACCAGCGCACCCACGCCATACCCGATGACGACCGGCTTGTTCTCCACCTTCTCGAACTGCGCCACACGCAACACAGCGACGTCCTCGTCAGGCCACGAAACCAGTGCCCCCGGGTGCCACACCGCGCCAGAGAACGCGGCGCGCTCGGATATTCCTTGGCGAAACATCCAGCCCGGGTGTCGCGCGGCTCCCCACCTTGTCCGACAACTTCATCAGCAGGGCGTCGAAGTCGCCGCCTTCCTCGGCCCTGACCACCAGCCGATCTCCTGCGGAGAAAAGGCGCCAAGATCAGGTCAGCGGAACGCAGCAACGCCTCGCGGCTGCGCGCACCGCGGCGCTCCACGTCCCCGGGTTTGCGCCACAAACACGCCGCCTTTACCGGCATCCTGTGCCATCCTGTGACATCCTGACACGCGCCTATCCGCTCTGCACCCAAGCCTCTCTCAACCACCGACAGCGCGACAGAACGGCAAGGCCAAAGCGGCGGGGTCAAGCCGCGTTTGCGCGCGGCTCGCTCTTGCAATCGCTCTTTGGATACGGCCTGGAAGAGCATCAATGAGAAGACACCAACGAGCGCAAGGGCGTCCAGTCCGCGACCGACCCAGACAGGGCCGCGCCCTCTTCCTCAAAGCCCACAGCTCCTCACACTCGGCGGCATCCGCGCCAGCCACGGCCTTGCCCGGCCCTCCAATTCCCAACCAACTTCGTTCCCCAGTCCCTTCCCCCAAGGCACGCGCATCGGCGCCCTGGCCCCCGCGGCTGCGCTCACCCGCCCTCCTGCAGATGCCGCGAGATCTCCTCCCGATCGCCGGCGAGCACGATGGCCTGGCGGGAAGGAAGCCCGTGGCGCCGAGGCCTGCAGCGCGGACGGGGCATGCCAGCGACCCGCGGGCGAGCGACGTCGTCACCATTGTTGCCTGCGAGGCGCGCAGACCGCCAAGGCAGCTAGGGGGAGGGGAGGGGCAGAGGGGGGGCTGGGGTGGGTGGGTGGGGAGGTGGCTGTGCAAAGCAGCCCTGTCGCGCGTTGGTCCAGCCGGCCCTGGCAACAGAAACTGTCGGATCCGATGTGGAGGGCCGGGGGGAGATGGGCTTTAGGCATCAAGAATCCAGATCCTGGGAAAGCGCTGAGGCGGGTCGCGCAGTACTGAGCGGGCCATGCTGTGGACCCAGGTGCTGGCTTTGGATATTTGCTGTGGAATGGGTGGCTTTTGGATATTTTGCTGTGGAATGGGTGGCTTTTGGATATTTTGCTGTGGAATGGGTCGATTGCCACGCCTCCCTCGGCACACTTTCCGATGAGCACCCCAAATCACAGCGAGTTGTACACAAAATAATATCTTGATTTGCGCGGCTGCCCCTGGCTCTGGCCTGAATTGACAGCCTGTCCATTCCCATGATTGCAACACGAGGGTCATGCCATGTGTCGCGATTTGGCTCTTCAGTCCATCGAACAGGGCGATGGTTGTCAAGGCGGTGGTGCCACCCATGGCCTCTGACATGTCGGGTGTCCGGCCAATTCGTCTAAAGACAACTCGTCTAACGGACAAGTGGTCTAAGGACATTTGGTCTAAGGACAACTCGTCTAACGAGTTGTCCACCCTCAACGCGGCCACGGGTTGGTTGTGTACCTGTGACACAAACTTCCCTGTTATGAATACCACTCGTTTTCAAAGCCGTCGCGTGTGTTCAAGTGCCCTATGGTGAAGTCAATAGCAACATTGACTCCGTCTTTGTGTTAGACGGGTTGTCTTTAGACGAGTTGACTCAACTCGTCTAAACAGCGCCCATTAACTGCATTTAAGCTACAATTACATTTCATTCCGTTAGTGGCGGGCTGGCGGGCTGCATTCCGAACTGGTTCCTGCAGGAGCTGGGCGCGTTCCTGACGCGCGCACAGGGGGCGGGACAGCACGGGAGGGTGAGCGCCCATCCAGGCGCGTGGCTGGCGGGTGTGCCACGGTTTGCGCAGTGTGCGGCGTCGATTGGCAGCTATGGAAAGCGGAGATTCTACCGGGCGCGGAGGTGGATCGACGGGGGAGGTAGCCGAACGTCTGCTCCGATCGGCGGCGATGGAGCCGGCGGATCCTCCAAGGGGCGAACATAGATCGACGGGGGAGGGTGGCGAAAGGGAGAGGCGATCGGCAGACATGGAGCACGGAGATTCTGCAAGCGCCGAAGGTGGATCGATGGGAGAGGCAACCCAATGGCAGCGCCGATTGGCAGCGAGGGAGCCAGCAGATCCGCCAAGGCAAGAAGGTGGATCGACGGAAGAGGCAGGCCAACGCGACCCCAGTCCACAATGGGAATTGTTTCGTGGACAAAGGGTGTTGAAGCTCCACGCTCACGGGCACCTCTACACAAGGAACCGGGTGGTGGAGTACACAAGTTACTAAAGTTACACATGTGAGTGAGTTGTTTTTGGGTTTAGGGGAATGCGCTGAACGGGTGAGGGCCCTCAGGTCACCGGCTTCAGCAAGAATGCGGATGTGAGTGAGTTGGTTTTTGGGGTTAGGGGAATGCGTTGAACGGGTGATGGCCCTCGGGTCACCGGCTTCAGCTGGAATGCGGATGTGAGTGAGTTGTTTTTGGGGTTTAGGGGAATGCGCTGGACGGGTGAGTGCCCCCGGGGCACCGGCTGCTTCTGCGATGTGGATATGAGTGAGTCAACTCGGGTCCACGAAATTTTAGACGAGTTGTCCGTTGGACGTAATGTCCTTAGACCAGTTGTCCGTTAGACGAGTTGTCTTTAGACGAAATGGCCGGCACCCGACATGTCGTCAGCCAGAAAATTTTTCTTCTGGATTCTGGGGTCCTCGCCGTGTTTTTTTTTCTCGCCTTCCGCCGCCTCCGCCCTTCGAAAACGGGCTTGCTCTCGCAGCCAACCAGGCGGTTTGCGTTCGCCCCAGTCACGTCTTCTCCGACGCTCGCCGCACACGCAACGGACGCAGTCCTGTCCCGGTCCCTGGGCCCGGTGGATTCCATAGGTCTGCGGTCCGCAGAACGGGGCTCGATCGCCGCGTGCAAACGGCCTGTAACCAGGCACTGGCCGTGCACAATGTTGGCTTGCGTAGTGCGCCGTCAAATGGGCGCCGCCGTGAGGCGCCGCCGTGAGACGCAAAGATGGGTTTGCGGGTAGTGAGCGAATCGGCCCTGGGCGTACCGCGGCTGCCTGCCCCGTCCGCTCATGTGCGGATTTGGGTGCGGCCGACTACGGCGGCCGCCGCCAGGTGGTGGGGGTGCATTCTCGTGGGGAGGATGAAACAACTTGGTCCGTGTTTTGTAATCAGCATTGCGCTGTTGCCGAAAAAGCAAACACAAAAGTGGTTTCTGACCCACATCGATGCGTTCCTTTTGTGCCCCATCGCACTGGGAATAAGGGTGTGGGAGGGAACTGCGAGCGAGGCAGGGTAACGGGGCGCGCTTGAGTTATTTGGTTGTTGCTCCTGTCGGGTAGGGGTGGCCAGCGGTCCTTGGTGTGACGGCTAAGCACTATGTACACAGCTGAATGAGGAGGAATCATGACGGTCTGCTGAATGGTCTCAGCCTTGAGGAAAACACATACCTCGGAGATCTGACAGCTGAAAACTCCCCAGACCGGCTGGCTTCCCTCGCTGCTTACCTGCGATCCCAAGTTCGCAGCAGGGGTCGAACCAGCCAGCATATGTGTGGCTTGTCTGGCGGAGTCCACGTTTCTGATGCCGTGCTGAAAAGCGTTGTTTCTATCCTGCCTTGGAACTGGCGTTGCTGAGTTGTGTTGCTGCTCCCATATTGTGGTGATGATTGGACCATAATCCCAGCTCGCTATGAGCCTTTTGGCGTTGAAGAGCAACTGGTTCCCAAAGGACCATCTGAACAATGGGGGCCGTATTTGCCAAGGTGTTTGTGATTGACAGGTTTAAACATGGAGGTCACGAAAGTGTCCTGATGATGATCGGGTTTCACCCATCCCAACTGAACCCTGATGTTCATTGTCGATCGAGCGGCTGAGGGACAATCTCTGTGGACTGTTTGTTTGCTTCGAAGGCGGGGTGTCAATTGTGGATGCCACTCCTTGCAACGTGTTCAGAGCTGGACTCCTCTGGGTACTGTGGTGTTTTCGAAGGACACAGTCTAATCAGTTTTCATTTCTTTCCGCCCTTCGTTTTGTTGCTGCTTGGCGGAAGGCAGATAGGGGATACTCTGCACTCTTGTGGCTTTTCCTGAAATTGAAGCATGGCCAGTGACCGTCCTTATGGAATTGATATAAGCAAGAATTTGTAGTCATAGGCTACTTTGGATTAATCTTCAATTGCTTCCAGAATGTTTGGCAGGCTGTTAGAGCCGCGTGGATCAATCCCCTGGGTAGCTTCTTCACCCCACATATCGTTCCTCCGTTTCTTCCTCCGACCACCAGACCAGCTGCAGCCCCCCACCCCCAACAGCACCCCCCACCCCCCACCCCACCCTGACCAACACCCCTTTGAATGAGCTCAACACAGAGGTGCTAGAGTTGCTTTAGACTCCAAGAGCATCACACCACCCACCCCATACCATTTTCACGCACTGCCAAGGGCGTGCTGAAGGCGCCCTACACCAACAGTATCTCAGGGCTGAATCCCTTGAGGCTGAAGACACCAGAGGTTGGGCACAGGGCCCACAGTGGGGCATTTAGTCATCTCTCCTCACTGCTTTCTACACCCCCGCCATATACGGAACGCCAACTGCATATGGAACTGCAGACTATTGCTTCAGCGAGTTCGTTGGATCCAGCCACATTCCATTTGTGGAGCATGCATGAGCACAAAATTCATCATTTTGACTTCAAAGGCCGGAGTTGGTGAAGAAAATTTTCTGTTGACATTGCGAAGTTGAGGTCACTTGCCAGTATTTCTCACAGGCCAGAGAATCCAAACTGGTGTATTTTGCAGTTTCCCCCAACGTCAGATCTGCAGTTCAAGTGGAGAACGCAGTCAGGATTAATACATTGGCGGGGACGTTTGCATCTCCATCCTTGGGGGGTCATGGCATTGCACTCGAGCAACGTATTGCAGCAGGTAATGCACGTAATTTGGTTTTCCCTCCTGCTATCGCAGAAATTTTTCTCCAGAACATTCTTCCTTGAGGCCATGTGAGGGCAGCCGGCAGAAAGACAGCGATCCTGGGACACCACCATTGACACTTGAGTCAACATCCCGCGAGACCAGTCCAGTACTTTACAATGTGGTCATTAGTTGAGGGGCCGCGCAACATGTACATGTTCACAAATAGCTCCTTATTGGGGCCCGCCTCAACTCGGAACGATGTCCTCCCGGATTTGCTCACCCGTGGTCATCCCAGTGGCACTACAGGCCCGCTGCCGGCCCCAAGGCACGCGCCCCCGCTTCGCAGACCCTGGCCCGGCGGCGTTGGCACACTTTTGCCACACCAGTGTGGCGGCCCGCTATGGACACCACGACCACTTCAGAGCCCCTCTGAAGAATCGGCTGTCAGCAGCTCATGTCGGTCCGTCGTCACCACTCTAAACGCCTACCCGATGAAGACCGCCATGGCCTCGCGTTTATTTGGGTGCCGTGCAAGCAGAAGACAGAAATGCTGTGCTGGCACCAAGGGGCAGCAGCACCGTTCCTGGATTGCCCCGCACTCTGTGCACGCTGACACCCATTCCGCACGCAAAGGCGGTGAACACGTCCAAAAGCCTATCTCCCAGCCACTGCGGTGGTTCTCACATTCCGTGATGGTGCTCCCTATTGGCGAGCCCCAAACAAACGCACACAAGTAACCAGTGGCCTGCAGTGGCAGACCCCCACGAATTGCACCCACAAAGAGTGCGTCGCAAATTCTCCCAGCTTGCCCGTCAACCAAACTTGCCACTAAGTCTACATTTTGTTGGCCATGTTTTCAGTTATTCTATTAAGTATTAAGTGTCTTCGGTATAAAGTATTCAGGCTGCCGCTCATGTTCGCAGCAAGTTCGTGGCCCGCTTCTCAGCTGGCCTCTCCCAGTCCAAGGACAGAATATCCCCAAAGGGCTGCAGATCAATCAGAGGACTCCTAATAAAATATCGTATCATTCTAGAAGATATGAACTTCACGCACACATCTACTATTCCATTCGAGCTCAATGAGTCTATTGCTAATGTGGCCGGTCCCTCAAAACACCGCTCCTTCTCAATCTCGACTTGCTGCCCTCATCCACATATTCGGCCAACAAAATTGTCTCCCCGGGGGGGGCTTAAATGCAGCATGCCGGTGTCTGGTGTACACTGCTGTATTCCTTCTGTTCAATACAACGCGCTCGCCAAAACGTTCTTCAGCGCAAGACCCTGGTTTTCAACCATCTAGCATACAAAAAACTGAACAAGCCGACGACGCCCTTAACCACAGTCCATGCCCGTGCCTGTTCTGTCGCAAGTGAGCGTGAGGCGTATCCGGCACTGCCACTCATTCATGGCCATTCACGTGGCCCTCAAGCAGCCACCAAAGTCGGAGAAAGACACACTCCGCTTGCCGCCATCCTCTGGCTCCCACATTTGGAGTCTTACTGGGTCAAATTCTGGGATGGTGCGCTCGTCCCACACGGAGCCGTCCATGGACACTTTTGCGGAGGGCGACGCGGCGTTTGCGAGCCTGCAACGCGTCCACAGCAAAGTCAAGCAATTGTGGTATCTGCCACGGCATAGCGTCAGAGGGCTGGTGCGTGGCGAGTCGGAGTTCGGGCACATATTAAACAAGTGAAGACCCAGCACTCGACCCCTGCCCTACACCGTGCAATAGAGAGTGCAACTCGCACGTGGCCGCAGCAGGACACCCCCAACGACACCGCACTTGTCAGCATATCTAGGTTTGGCAGGCTCTTCCTTGCACCCATAGTGTGGCCATCAAGCCACACTGCTGTTGGCACAATCAACTGTGGGTCTGCCACGCCTTTCGGACCGCATTCGTGCATCCTGACTGTGGATCATTCTGGATGCATTGCAAGAGGTGGGCCATCAACACACATCCTCCGAAATCATGGACACGTAAGTGTCCATGCGATTCACAAATCTGCTCGACGTCATTTCTCCAAATGTGACAATGTGAAAATGCGCCATCAGGCGATGCCGGGTCCAGCGCGGTGCCCGACCTGGGATGGAACACCGCGGTGTGTTCCATTCCAGGTTGGGCATGGCATGGGATCCAACATCGTGCGCTCGCACACAGGAACGACTCCGACAGGCCCGGGTGAACACCCGGATATGTAGGACAACCGCCTCCAGCACACGCACGCGACGGAGATCACCCCCACTGTAGTCGCTTGCGCTCCCGCCACACTCACGGGTCCGATCAATGACTACTGCGCGGTCTCCAAAAATGTGAGAAGGCAGGACTTTAGAAAAAAACAAGGAGCAAAAGCACGCAGACCCAACAGAAGACACGCAGAACCAAACCTGTGAAGAACAGACTTGAGAAGAAAAAGAAACAACAACCAAACGGCCCCACAGAAAATCTGTTGCCGCGGGCGAGTCCTCACACCACCAAGGCGTCCAGCGACCCCCCCTCACCTCGGTGTGGCCGCCCAGTCGTCGCTGACCCTATTCGCGGACCGGACACCACCGCCGCCGCACGCCTCCACGTGCCGCGCCTCGTACTGCTCATCCGACTTCAACACCGGTGGGCGCCACGCGTGGCCGCCGGCCCACGCCGGGGAAACCCCCATCGACGTCGACGGCTGAGTGAATGCCGCCTCCCACCCCTCGAAGGATGCCGACGCCAGCCTGCATCCCCCGAAGAGGTCCAGCGAGATGGACGCCTCCTGCGAGGCGCTGCTGCGCCGGAAGGGCGCGGCGGGACCGACCTGCGCGATCTGGCAATCTGATCTCTGCGCGCCCTGCTCTCTGATTTCTGATCTGTGATCTCTGCCGTCGCTCGCCGTTCCAGCAACACCGTGCCACGCAGGCCAAACCTCCTGCGACAAGCCGGGGCTTCTGTCGGGCGCCGCTGCTTGCATGGACCGCGGGGAGGCAGGCAGTGTGTCCGGCAGTGGGGAAGTGGTCAGGGGTGAGAAGGAGCCGCCGCAGGGCGCCGAGAAGGTTGAATTGGGTGCGGTTGAGATGGAGGGGCCGCTAGGCTTGAGCCGGGGCGTCGCTGTCAGAAAGGACGACCTGCCCCAAAGGCAGCCGATGCACCTGGGCAGGGAGGGCGGAAAGGGTGAGCACGGTGTGTGGGGTCGCGCGAGCATCCTTCCCCCCCTCCGCCCGTGGCTTGCGGCGCTCGCGAACTGCGGCTTGGCGCGTTGGGACTTCAGCACAGTGTGCAGTCCTGGGCCTCAAGGATCGGGGCCTCAAGGCCCTCCCCAGTGCCATGAAGGCTGGGCACCACGGCTCAAGGCTGCACAACCAAATCCGACACTTTGCCATGCACATGCGCCATCCGGCCACAGCCATCCTCGGCACCACGCGGCGCCATGAGCCCATAAGACCTGCAACATATTGCATCTGCCCGCGATTCCAACGCAAAGAAGCACACGATGCGGCGGACAATTCTGCGGGACCACGTCCACAACCCTCAGCCGCGTATTGCGTGTGGGTGCATGGTGCAGCGACGTCAGCGCGAAAATGTGCGGAACGAACCCGTTCGTGATTGCACACATTTGGACATGCCTAACGCTCACCATGTCATGTCCACCTGAGGAGCACGTCCAAAGCTTTGGCCATTAAGGGGCCTTGCGGTTTTACAATCGTAAGCAAAACGCACAATCTGGCGACTTCCTAGGGAACAAATTTCTCCCTTGCCGTTAAATGGGCCAATATGATTGCGCTCAGCTTACAAGTTGGCCCGGAGGGTCAAGGCTCAGAAGCAATTGCTTTGATCGGGTTTAGGTGCTTTGCTGCCGAAACAGTGCATGCTCCAAATGTTCTCTCAACGAGCAGCTCATGCTGCCTTTAAGGGGAAACACGACAACAGTGTTTAATTCATGTTAATCTCAATTACGACAATGGATTCGATCGTGTTTAACTGGCTGCTCATTGCACACTTGTCATCTTTGGCATCACTACAGCAGAGCTGATTTTACATCCGATGGATGCAAGAGACATTTGGAGAATCTTCTTTTGGTCCACTGCCATGCAATGCAGAAGGTGCACGGAGAAGAAAGACACACAGTCGCCGTCATCCCGCCATTCGCACAGCGATGACTCACCTCAGCACAGTGTCCTTCTCGGGACCTTTGGCACGCCTGCCAGCCTTCTGGCTCTTCCCATCAGATCGCACTAGCGACCGCAGCAACCGCAGCCCCTTCCTGCAGCGTCCCCGCCCCGACCCACCCTTCTTGCCCACGCGCTCCTCGTAAGTGACGGCCGGAGCCTGCTGATCATCTTCCCAATCGAACTTTATCTCCAGGAAAACTGCGTCCTCAGCACTGGTGAAAGTGGCACAGAATGCAAGTGAGGTTAAGATGACACTACTTGATTTCCTTTCAGCTCGGGTTGCAATTCACCAGGATCGGAGCATCAGTCACTCAACAGTGTCTGACCAAGCAGGTTGCAGACGGATAAAGTGAATGGATGCAGGACAGTGCAAAACTTTCGGATGTATGCATGTCCGTCAACGCCTACAAGGGGCAAGGGCAGGGATTTGTCCTGTTGAAGGCAATACCAACAGGCTTATAGTTCGGGTTCAGGCACTGACAGGCGATGATCGACGTGGCACTGTCTGTACGCGACCAGCTACTGTGCAAAAGGGGAGATCTTCTGTTGGTGCAGGTTCCGTTTGCACTTTCCCCCATGCAGACGTCACTGGAGTAAATAATCACTAATGCATAGTTAAGATTACACGGTCCGGTTCCATGCCAACGCGATTTAGACCATCGACCCGTGGTTTTCAGTAACTCACAAAGATGTGAGTAAGCATGGAAATTGCGTAGAAGGGACTTAATCTTTCAAGCACTTGTCTGCTACCTCCTATTCTTGACATCTTTGCCATAAAACCATTTACAGCAAATCCTCTTCCTATTCTTAACATCATTTTGGACATCTTTATGTATGCATTTATTATCGAGTGTTTGTCAACTTGCTTGTTTGGTTCCCACCCCACCTGTTCTGCTTCTCCGGCAGGGACTTGAACCCGTGGGCCGAGCCCTGAAACTTGCCGTCCTCGGTGCCCATGGAGTGCACCGAGTCGGCCATCCTCCGCCAGTGCGGCCAGCCGCCGGACGGGTCGCCGTCGCCCGCGGCCGCGCGGAACTCGAAGTCTTCCTCCGCGCCCGGCGCCCGGCTCCCTCCCCCCGACCGACACTTTCCCCCCGACCACGCGGACGCCGAATCCGACCCCTTCCTGTCCAAGCCCGACCCAGATAAACGCTTTCCGCCACCCGCCAGCACCCCCCGAATGGACGCCTGGGCAGTGGGGCATGATGGGGAATTCATGTACGCCTCGCTGCTGTCCTCGCAGCGTGGAATGCTGCCGCTGCCGGCGCCGCAGATGTCGCCAGAGCTGGTGGTGCTGCAGGACGGTCCGGCGCCGTGCCCGGAGGGGCAGACGCCCGCGGCGAGGCATGGGTCGCAGGCGTCGAAGGATTCGCTGGGCCGGTCCTTAAGGCACCACACGTCCTTGTAGGAGACCACGAGGGGCCTGTGGCTGGCGGGGGCGGGCGGGGGGACGGGGCCGGGAGCCGGGGCGGGGCGCGGGCTCTCTTCGGCCGTGTCTTTCCTATTTGCCATGTCGTGGGGCCCTGAAAGAATGAAAACATCAGAGAAAGCTTGGCAAAGAGATCGTGAGGGTGGAGATCGTCAACGGCACGCCATGGGCATGACGTCGCCCCGTTATTCCTCGAGATGTTTACAGGCAGTGCCACTGGCAAAATCCATCCAAAGCGTTCGACTTAGAAAACTAGGGCTGAAGGGGAGTCGCAAACAATACGAAGTGACGTCCATGGTGAAATGACTCTGGCAACAGTTCTTACATATTGTCAAAAACGGCTGAGCAGCTCCGTCAGTGGCTTGATTCGACGGGGAAACAGCCCCTCCTGCGACGGAATCAAGGTGCAATGACGATGCTAGCAGCCCTCGAGTGCCCAAGAGGCCGGCTTACCCAAAGCAAGTTTCTTCGACCACAGCCAGCGCAACTCAGCACAATGCTCCCCACCCACCAACAAGGAAGCGCAGGGCAGTCTATCCAGACATGATACACGCAGCCAATCTGCACTATGCACAGACAGACAATCGAAGGAATACAAGAGCGATGCGTTGAAACCGGGGGTTGTTCCAAACCGAACGCAAACAAAGGATTTCTGCACTGTGTTCAAAAGCGCCTTATGACCGAGCGATGGTGCAAGGCGATTGTCGAGTCGACGGTGGCGGCGCCAGAAGACATCGGTTTCCCCAAGTTACAATCATATGCTCAGGGCTCCCATAAGAATGGCAGACGTGGGCTCACCCCGCTGCCGGGCAAATACACATCTGCGTTGCAGGTGCGTCGACCAGTTTGGCCACATGCAACCTGCCCAGTACTTAACGCGATGCAGGCTGGACAACGAGCCAATTAAAATCGCCGGTCACGAAATTCGACTGTCGCCAAGCCCAATTGGTCACCGAATGTCACAACGGCCAGAGCGCCCTGATCCTGGCGACGCTGTCTGTCTCGGCGTTCAGGGATATAAAGGCGGATTCCCCGCGCGGCACTACACTGCGTCGACACCCCACCCCCAGTCGCGAATCCTTGGAGTACCTCATCCAACATCGTACCATGTATGTACCGGGGGCCCCAGGCCATCATGTAATGCGCGGGGGGGGGGGCGTGGCCCGCCATGCGCCCGTCTGACGCGCCCACGGGCCATCCAGAGTCGATGGGGAAGCGCTGAGGCCTACGTCACTCGGGCGTGCCGCGGGGGCCGTGGGGGCGAGTAAGGCGGGGACGGGGAGCGCAGGCGAGAGCGCGGTGTCCGAAACGGGGGTGGGGTGGGGCGAGGGATGGGTGACATCGCGCGCACACTGACACACACAACCACACACACACACACAGCACGGACAGCCGTTCGCGAGGGGCTAGAGCGGATCGTTCAGACGGGACCGGCGCCCAAGGGGGAAGGGAGGGGAGGGAAAAAGAGAGGGAGCGAGTGGAAAGGACGGGGGGAGAGGGGCTCATGCTGGGACCGGGCTTGCGCCATTTGGCGCCTCGACTCGCGTGGTGCGCATCGCCAATGCCGCGAATTCGTAAGGCGTGGGGAGCGGGCGCCCAGCGGAGGGCGCGGCTCGGATCCAGGCCGCGGGGTTCGCGCAAGAGGCCGTCCAGCCGCAATCCATCGCCGCGGTCTAGGATCACGCTCTGTCGTGAGGCGCGCCCGCCGCGCACATCCCCCGTCCGATCGCCCAATCACCCCCCTCATCACGTATCATTTTCCCTTTATCACGATGCCCAACGTCGGGCCTAAATTCAACCCCCGCGCATCCCATTCCCCAGCTATCGGCCGCCCGCCGGGAGCAATAAGGCGGCCCGGGGCGGCGACAGGCGGCCCGCGCCCGCGGCGCCCAAAAAGCCAAGGCGCGGGCGCGTTCTCACGTTCCCGGGAGCATGGCAGCCTCCACTGAGTCTGAGGCATCGGCGTCAAGCGGGTGCCGCAGGGCCAAGCCGGGCGCCCCACTGTGGCGCGCTGCCGGGCTCCCCGAGTCGCCGGATGCCTCCGCCGCGTGGCCGCCGGCGGGCGCCACCATCGGCCGGGGAGGGCGGGCTTGAATCAGGACGGGCGGGGCCTGCGGGCTGTCGGGGTTTGCAATCGCCGACAGCGTTACTCATCGCGTCGTACTGCATTTTCTGCCGTACGTCCGTGTACCGCCCGCCCGCCCACGTTCTCCGCAATCGTTCGATGCGGCCCCGACATGGGGGGTGGGGCGCATCATTATCGTCATTCATTTTGACACAACAAGGGAATGAGGTAGACGTCGGCTTCTTATTTTGCCCGAGCAAAGCAGCGCCCATGATGAGTTCATGAAATCTAACGTATGACGCCCAGAGTCTTGGAACCCATTATTTAGTGAACCAATATTACCAAGAAGGGAGTTTGCCCGCACACGTCAGCCAGCAGGGGTCTCACCCGTGGCCGGGTTCCCCGAAGACGGGGATCGCTCTGCGCAACTCGAAAGAAAACTAAGCACGTCATGCACGCCGGCGGCCGGCACCGAGGCCCGTGGCGCGCATGTGCCCGGCGAGGGCGCCCAGCGGCGCCGCTCGAGGGGCCCAGGAGGGGCGACGGCCACCAGCGGCTTTCCACACGGACAACTCCGACACCGCGGGCGGCTTACCCGTATATCCTTGGTTGGCATCCTTACCGGTGCTGTCGCTAGTGAGAGGCAACGCGCGACGCGGCCAAATGCTACGCGCGCGGCTGGCGCAGATCGACAAGTCTCGGGCGCGATTCCGCGGAAGTGATCGATGTCGGAGCTAGCGCCCACTCTACTGCCGCCCGTGTGCCAATGGTCCGCTCCGCCCCGTTCCGTTTTGTGCGGTTCGCGCCGCCCCATCAACCCATCTCCACACGGTCAGTCCGGCCGGGCCGGCGAATCAGCTGCCGCCTGGAGCTTTTCCGGGGGGCCCTCGCGGAGCTAAGGCCGATGCGTCAGCCTGGCGCGCACCGTCTGGAGGAGAGCCTAGATCCGCGAAGGGCCGCTGCGACGCATCCCGTCGATCGATGACTGACATTGATCCGCCGCCGCGGGTTCATCAGCGGGGCGGCTGCTGCCGGCCTGCCACGGCTTGGCGGCAAGCCCCGGCGCTCGCGCTGCGGCCCCTCCCGTTTCTGGCATCCCCGAGTGGGATAGTGCTGCTGGGACACGATGTTGGCGGATATTGGCGCAAGCGGTGTGAAGACACCCGCTAAGCCATACTATCTGGCGATGCCAGATACGGGCTGATTGGGGGCCAAGGGCGGCGTCAGACGACGGGGCCCAGCCTCCGATGGTGTTGCTGTGCTTAACCGGAGTTGGAATGGCGTCAAGGCGCGATCGCGGCACTCAATGGAGGATGAGTGGGCTGAGTCGGCGGGGGACCAGACCCCTGTCTTGTCGAGGTTGGCTGTGAACCTCGCGTGGCCGATTGTCCGGGCCGAACACGTGAGTGTTAGGCGATGAATTTCCAGTGGCGAGGAGAGCATCGTGGACTCCGATATCGGACGCCATCACAGCTGGTGTCATGAACGTGGCGCGAGTCGGTGGCGGCCGCTGTCGGGCACAGCTCGCGGCAATTGATGGCTAGCATGAAGCAAATTTGCGCTGGTGAGCTGCAAGTTGCAAATTGCCCACTCGCAGGATCTCAACCCTCACAGATCTGCTGTGAGTCGGGGTGAAGGAACCCAGCCAGCATCACGGAAAATACTCAACTTTTAGTCGTGACGAGGACTTATCCAAAATTGGGTGGTCAGTGCTTGGGTTTACTTCAGGTGTGCGCCATAGTCCTGTACGCTGGCCTTTTGCAAGGATCCCAGGGCGGAGGCCATCGAAATTTCGGTTTGCCTGTCCTCCCAGCACGCTTCGGCCACGTGTTGTGAGCTCTGTCCTTCCCGCGCTCCTTCCTTTTGCCGCCCCTACCGCCGAGCAGCAAGTCAGTGAGCAAGCGGGATGCCTGGGACGCCATCAACGAGACGCGGCCCTCCACGGTCCTGGAAGCCCTTGTGCAAGTGCCATCGGTCCTTGAAAATCGAGCACTCGAACCTGAAAACGAGCCCGAGCCCATTGATGCAAGCTTGCGTCGACGAAGGAATGCTCGACCGTCCTGATATGCACCGCAAAAACGTGTGAAGATAGGGACTGTTGAGAGCACATGCACAACCGCGGTGGATACCACCGCTAATTTGTTACGCCTTGATGGCGTTTCTCTTCAGCAGAGATCGCTTGAGGCGCCGGTGAGCGCCGCCCCGTTGGCAGTGACATGCACTACCTGACTTGAAATCCGGTTCCGTCCAGGTACCTGGACCTAGGGGCCATTTGCTTGGCTCGACGCTGGCGGGTAGGAGAAGCGTGCGCCTGATGGCCGTGCTCCCGGCATCCACAGAAGGCGGCGGAATTTGCCCGGTGCAATCCACACGCTCCCGCCATTTGAACTGTATGTAGACGTCGCATTTCAGCAAGTTCTTTTCGAGTAGTCGGGATCGCTTTGCACTGGTGTGCCTCAATATTACATGCATCATGGACGGAACCAGACGGATTTGGGCAAAATGTAGTAGTGTATCAAACGTGACCGCTGGGCTGCCTGCAGTGAAACGCACATCGACGATCGCGTATACAGATCGGGGAATAGAATTCCACACGGACCAGAACGAAAACGCTGCTTTTCAAATTTCGGGCCAGCAATGCACGCATGCGAACTGCCCTTTAGGACCAGCTGAGACACTCTGCTCATCAGCATGCCCAATTGGAATCGTGGCGAATATTGCGGTCTGTATCGCGATAAGCATTGGCGAGGAGATGTGGTGCCTCGATGCCGCTTGACGACGGAATGAGGCACGGGTGCCCCCAAGCTATCAGCAAACGCTCGAGAGTCGTCAGATGGGCGCAAGGTGCTGCGGTTGCATTTTAAGGAATCGCTGCGGAGCAGGCACGAAGGCGTGTCTGTGGTGATCAAGAGTACTGAATGGAACCAATGTGTAGACAGTCGCGAGGCATACCAGATGATACGATTGCTAAACTGGACCTGACGATTCACGCTTGTGAAGCATATTTTGATGAGATGAGGGAAACTGACTTCTGGTGTGCACATGGCTCCACCGCGGCTGGAAATGCTACATACATTTGAGCCATACAGGGACCTACTTCCAAAAATTTGCATAGGAGACATACATTAAGCATTGATGCCGGACAAGCGCTGCTGCTCCATTATACCTAACCTGCTATAACCTGAGGTCCGGGATGGATGAGAATGTGCAGATAAGAATTCTTTGGCGAACAGTTCCGGTAGCTGTTCGTGACAGAGACTCTGCCTGCATAATTGCCGGGCTGTAAATAGACAGTTTATCGCTTGCACCACACCAGGATTCGGAAGCCAGCCACTCTCTTCCGAATCCTGGTGTTCTGCAAATCCTCAATAGATTTTGCTTGGCTGACTGTTTTCGGCCGGTCCTGATTCCCGTTCGTTATCGTGAGTTGATGGACTTCCCCCATTTCATTTCATTTTCGGTGCTGCTCCTCTCGCTGCTCCATTCATTCGCGCATGCGCACGAGCGCGGCCACTGAGGGGGGAAAGAACACGCTGAACGGTGCACAAGGTTTGGGATGCGTCGCTATGGATCTAAATTTAAGCGATTGAACATTGGGAGAGGGCCGTTGGTTTGTGAGCAAGACTGTTGAAATGACCATACGTGAGATCTACGTCTCAGGTAACGTCGTTCCTCTGCCGAGGGTTGGCCGTCCACCCATTTGCTTCAAAATTAGAGTGCTCGTCTTGACAGCACAAGCGATGCAACGTCCCGTTGTCTGCGCAGGAAGCTTAACGCTGTGAGTCGCTGGAACAGTCACAGCGTGCCAATGTACATTTGCCTGGAAGTGTTACGCTTCTCAGTAAGCAGTGTTTGCAGCGTGAGCGGGATTTCTATCTTGGATTGTAGGGCACTCACTTTGGTCACGTCCTCACACATGCCCATGTCATTTTGGCAGAGGAAGTGGTGCGTCACTTTGTTGACGTCGGCGACCTCACATCCCAGACAGATCTGCTCTGGGTCAACCTCACTATATCTTCTATGAAGGGAAGACACTGTTTCGAATTTGGTACATTTAGCGTCAAGTGAAGTTAAGGGGGGGGGAGCGGTCCAGCCATCGAGGCAAAGGGATTACGTAATTGCGCGCAAATCAAAATAAGGTGGAAAGATGCACACAAAACACCACTGATAAGTGGCGGATAGCTCATGAGTTGTTGCAAAACCTCGCTCAAATCTTTCCATCTTCGAGGCTGTCCTTAGAATGGATCAAGTTTTAGGTTTTGGGGCCGTTTTCATCCCCTATTAATAACATATTGTGGCTTTTGGCATCGCATTTACAAATCACTGCAATCGCCACAATTTCGGCTGTTTTTCCGTTAAAACTATATTGAAGTTTTATGCCATTGCGAAGTGATGTTGCTGAGTCATCCTGGAATTGAAATAATGATTGACGCTAAGCATATTAAATTCAAAATAGTGTCTTCCCTAAGGGGTGCCATAGAATTGTGAAGCTAGATTCTCTAGACAAGCCTTACATAATGGAGTAACATTGCAGCTATTTCGCCCGCCACGGCCGTGCACATGCAACGACAGTGTTTGTGTGTGTTGGGCAGCTGTAATCAATGGATTCGCACAGTATTTCATTTGCCGCGCCCATTCCAAGGAATCCTTGGATGCGCCGGAGTGATGGCGCCGATATCCTTGGCAAGGATGTCGGCGCCATCTCTCCGGTGCAGCAGTTGAAACGTCGCCCTTGGTTCCCTGCGTCGACCCCGAGCAATTGGGTCAACCAAACTTGCAGAATGGGCCTAGCGACCCACCTGGCCTTGCTTCAACACCAAACTTTTTGTTATAGTGGCGGGCCGAATACTGCAGTATTCGCGATATAATGTCCATTGTTGCTCTCGTGGAATTTTCGCGTCCCATGTCGAACGATTGGTCTGTTTTACTGGGTCTGTTTGGTCTGCTTTAAGGGTGGTTTACTGCGTGGGAAGGGTGGAACTAGCTACCAATGCGGAAAACATCAGGAAAGAAAGAATGCCCAGGTGGAAATTCTTGCCAACAATTTCTTCCGAGAAATATTAAATCTTTATACCTAATTTGGTTCAAGGGTTACCGTACATCACAGAAGATGGTGCGGGGGTGTTGTTTAGCCCAAGGTGGCTCAGAGGGCCACGCCGGCGTTGCCAAACATGGCCATTGTGACGGAGCGCGGCGGATATGCAAGACGGCACATTTGGGCGACGTGAGGTGGGTGGGTTATGCTCGGTAGAGAGCGGGAGTGCTCATTGCACGAACTGCAGGAAGTCGCAAAAATATTACTGCGAGGTGCCACCACTTTTTCTGCGATTAGCGTTTTAGTTTAAATAACTATGTCATGTGTCGAATTGCCCACACGCCGGTGCGCCTTTCTGGTGAGTGTGAACTCGCGGGGCGCGTTTGTGATCCAGGCGCTTGATGCGGAACACGGGGGGCACGAAGATAGCGCGGGGGTATGCAGGAGACTGTTCCCCCGCGTTCTTGACGGCAAACCTGCTGCTTGATGCTGTAGCTGGCTGAGGTGGGTAAGTGTGCGTGTGGAGGCGGGTGGGCGGCGCGGACAGGGGCCCGCTGGTGGGGGCCCGCTATTCTCTGGGATCTGTCTGTACCTTTGTATCAGCCCATGCTTGCTTGGGACAGCACGAACTTCCAATGTGCAGGCTCCAGCATTGACGAATATTTTTTTACTGATAGACTATGGTTGTGGTGCTCCAAGGGAGCTGCTTTGGCCAGAGTGTCCTGTCGGCAAGGAAGTTTAGCGAAATGCTGTGGCCTCTCTCTTGCAATGGCGACTGCCTTTTGATCAATCTCACCTTTAACAAAAGACTGATCAAGTAAACCACGTAACTTGTCGGTTTGTTGTTGCAAGGATATCCATACCTGGAAATGCGCAGTTTACGGGCTTGGAAATTACCATCTGAATGATCTGAGGAGGGAGGAATGCAGAGCTGGAAACGTGAACTGGAGTCGGAAGACAGGGCCGTACGCGTCACTATTCTCTCATTCTCTCTTCTGCTGGTGTTGGCGGAGCGTCTCTGTTCCTCTAGCTGCTGCCTCGTACTGGCTTGAGTGAAAGTACAAATCTGGTGTGTTCTGTACATTGACGTACTTTGAGTGATGCGGTGGCATGCAATCGCATTCACGTTTGTCATCGTCATGGATGAGGAACTCAAGGATGCAACTGTGAGGGAGCTTGGTCGTCAACGACAGAAGCGGAGCACCTGGACACCGCCGTCGGCGACAGAAACATGTGCTGGGACTAGGGACCCAGGCGAACAAATATGCAAGCCCGGTCTCTGTGGGTGGCCTGCTTGCATGTCGAGCTAATTGTCGACGCTGTCAGACCAGCTGCGGAGTGCGGAATCTGCGCTTCCTCTGAGCACACCAAGGAGTGGTTGCATTAACAAATGATTCTATGGGCATCCTCTCACAGCAGCCTCTTGGGAGGGTCGTCCACATATGGGCGGATAGGGGTCGCGTCAGGCCGTCTAGTGTTTCACATAATAGTGGCGGCAAGGACCGTGCAAGGCACTGGTGGAATATGCGCCAAGGTGGGAGAACGATAAAACAGTGCACGACGGGCTACGTGAATGACTGTGGGCAGGATACGATTGTCTGAGTCATTGAAGTGCTGCACAAGAGGGGCGGTTCGCTTGAAGGGCAACAACCCCGCACATCAATCCAAAGGATTGCCATTCCAAAATGAATCGACGCACGATGTGCAAAAGCACAAGAGGCCTGCGATGAGGCACGCGCACGGGCGGCCCTTGCATTGGATGTCCCGTTCCTCTTTTCTCTCGAGACACCCACGCCTTGCAATCAAAGCAGGGCCATCGATTGATCGTCGCGCTGCACTCTCCGTGGACCGAAAGAAATCAAATATGAAAGCCTCCTACCGAATTCTGCATGCATTTCCCTCAAACCAGTCAGGATTCTCTATGCTGAAGGGAGCGGTCTGACTCAACGAGCTGCGACACGTTTCTACAGCCCGCACATGCCAGGCGTTCGTGCAACGAACTTGATAACGGCCAAAACCCCTCCAGAATACCTGTAAGCAAACTTGTCTTCCCAAAACGCATGAAAATGAAGGGTCAGCGTCCTGCCTTATCGTTAGGGACACATTTCCCGCGTTTTGAGTTGGGTCTCCATAGCTTCTGACAAAATTCTGTTGACTTTGCGAACCAACCAAACTATCTCTCAAAACGTGGATACTCGGCTTGCACGGCATGCTGGACATACCAGCAGGCTGGTTTATATCTTCCCCATCTCGCTGGCTCAGTCACGACTGGTGAAGCAGCGTAGGCCGGTACCTCCTCACTACCAAAATGCTCGCAAATCACGACGTTGTCCTCTTGGACTGTACACCCAGTAGCAACAGACTGCCTGTGTATACCTTATTTTAGTGCCTAATCATCGCTTCCCCATAAATAGCTGAACTAACTTGGAAGCGGGTTCACCACAGTCCATGTGTCCACCTCCTGAGTCCATGTGTTCACGTCTCCGCTAAGAGGCCTTCTGGCTATTCCCAAGGCCAAAGGCCACTTCTTTGGCCTGTTCAAACCACTCTGAAGCCAGCCCCGCCACCACCTCCACCTTGCCCAGCACCCACTGCCCCTGCTCTGAGCCTGCTGCCTCCCTGGCAGCCCTCTCCACTCTCTCCCACATCTCCAGAACCACCTTCCCTTGCTCCGTCCCCAAAAACTCGTGCGTCGCAAAAACTATGTCGTCCCACTTGGTCGCCACAAAGGCAGCCCCCAGGCCAATGCACGCAGCAATCACAAACAGCATCTTGGGAGAGACGCTGCTGAGCCCCTTGGAGGCGCCTCCCTTGCTCTTCCCCAGGAAGCTCTTGCAGGCCTCGTGGGCACCACGGGCACAGGCTCCCTGCCAACCCTTCCCTTGGGCAAGAAGGAAACCATGCCGGTCTTGCAGCTTCTTCACCATTTTCTGCAGGGGAAAAGCAAAGGAGGGTTTGAGAGGCACCGACACCCAGGCCATGTACTATCTGCGTTCCCTTGTCCCATCCACGTTTTCTTTCTTAAGCACAGCTTGTTCAATGTTCTTGTTGCTGGTACACATGCAGACAAGTTGTGGTTGTTATATTTGTGGCCTTCGCCCTGCCATGGCACTGTCCATGGTGTGTAAGACACGCTGTGTGTGTTCAGCAGCCGTTGATTAGCCCTGCAACAGGCATACTGCGGACTATCCCTTTTGCTGTGTCAAGGTGCACTGGCGTTACCCCGCAAGTGCCCCCTCCTCTCTCAACAAGCAGGGTTATGGCACCAGTTCCAGCAGTGGACAACTAAAGGGCGTTGATCCAGGTGGCAATTCGCACAAAACACTTGGGAGCCACCAACCTTTGTACGCAATGCGAAAATGACTGCTTGTGCATTATATCCTCTTCTGCAATCGACTGGGCATTCAGCTGCTGATCAGTGTGCCAACAGCACTGAACAAGTCACAGCTTGCTGGCAGTGCTGCTGCCAGCACTGCTTAATTCAGACTAGTTCTTCGCACACATCCAGTGAACGACAGCTACCAGCTCACCATAAAGCGGTCCCTGTTTGCTGGAGAGGATAAAAGGTTCCGAAACGATGCTGGCTCGGCATGCAACAGGTGCTGCAGGACCCTGCAGCTTCCCCTGATCTGGCCCCTGTGCTTTGTTGTCCACACATCGAAGCACTCGGGGTCCCGGGACAGGCAGGTGATTACATTCTCCACTGCCTCCTCAACTATGCTATCGCCCCTGCCCAGGTATCCGCCCTCAGACTTGGCTGCGTACTCCAGTGACGACTTCAAAAACCCATGCAGCGACTTCTGCGATGCACATGACAGCGCGATGGATCGCATCGCAGGGTAGACATCCTGCAGTTGAGTCACCACCTGCACTGGCAAGCGTGCATGCTGCAGGTGGATTGCACACTGAACCTGGTCCAAGGACCTGAGGGACACCACAGGCTCATTCACCTGGGAGAGCACCCACAGAAACATGAGCACGCACGGCTTTTGGTGGTCTGGAACAATATGATGATGCCAATTGAGCCACTAAGGGACGCAAACGATGCCCAGGCGCTTCACTTACATAGCCATTGTCCCTCTGTCCACAGACACAGTCATATTCCCTTCGTGCTGCATGACGAATTTATGTCTCAAAATAGGCTGGGCGCAGCTCAATCAGTCACTGAATGCATGGAATGAGAGTTGAAGTCGCAAAGGATAACAAACACTTGAACAGTTCAAATTCCAAGGTCAAAGTTCTTCACTGAAGCCATAGTCTATCCCAATTGACGTCAACAACTGTGAATGTTTTGTTATGAATGAACTGACGGGACTATGCAAGGCATCATTGAGACCACCAAGATGGGCATATTCAGCCATCCAACCAGCTCACCTGAGTCCCACCACACTTGGCACTGAGCCCATCTTTCGCTGCCTCTTTAATCTGTGTTGACATCCCAGAACCACTTCCGCCATTGAGGCCTCGCCTGAGGCAGTCTGCCACAACAGTGTAGCTTGTGGGTTCAAGAACATGTGCCTGCTGCCCTGCCTTGCCCTTCCCCTTTTTGCCCTTTCCCTGATCTGCTTCCAGCAGCTGAGGGAGGATGGCCTGCAGCCACAGCGCCAGTAGGGATCCAGATGCCCCCCTGTTGCACAAACAGATCAGCAATGCAGCCAGCTCCCCAAGGACAACTCAATGCAGTATGTGGCAAAAGCTCATGTTGCTGCAGGTGCTTCAGGCACCCACTCCAATAACAGAAAGATGAAGTCGCTTCTTTTCCAACACCCTGAGTAGCTTCCCAGTGGTGCACTGGGCAAGTCCAATCCCTTGTGGAAGGCCAGACAATTCCAACACTCCTATCACGTCCCAACAACATGTGTATGAAGGCCAGACCCCGCCAAGTTGCAAAGACAGCTTTGAAGCCCATCGCACTTGCTGGGTGCCAGCGAATCCCAGACAAGTGACTTCAAGCCCAGTTTGCGCTCCTTCTAGACTGCTGTTTCATAACCAGGACCCCTTCTGTATGCCTATCCAGCTACAGTATCCAGGGGCACTGCAGGCCTGTGCGCACCTTTCTGCTTGGGCAAACACCCACACCAGCAGTGGCAGCTTGTTGGGGGCTGCAAATCTTGCACCCTCAGTAACAAAAACGTCACAGCACCGAACAACAGCAAGAGGCACCGATCTTGCCATCGCCACAATCATGACCACCAACCCCGCGTGGCCCTTCAGCTGAGCCTTTGGGCCTGAAGCGCAGTCAAACAGCGCTCTGCAGAAAGCAGTTAAGCTCTCCACAAGGGCATCGATGGACTTCGACCTGAGAAACTTGTCCAGCTCAGCTGTCATCTTGGCAGACAACAGGCTGTCGAACATGGACACAGTCTGCACCATAAGTACAAAAGCAATTGGTGGCTAGCTGCAACAACAGTGGCAGCAACAGCAGGTTTCTTGCCTGTACTTGCAATTCTGGGCATTTTCACCTGCAGACTCCACTTCATCAACAAACGATTGGTACAATTGCAGCCCTTTGGATACGATGACAAGCAGATTCCAAGACCACAACACCCACTGATCATCCTGTACAGGGCTGATATGACTGACAGAAGTGACCTGTACCTCATCGATGGGCTTCAAATAGATCTCTGCAGGGAAGGGCAGCGATTTATCCTTGAAGGCAGCCAGAAACTTGTCCGCCACGTATTGGACCTGGGCAGCTTCATTATCAGGGTACGCCATAGCCACATCCTTCAGAATTGTCTTCAGGTTTTGCACAGACAAACCTTTGACAGGCAGAAACGAAGTTGACTCAATCCAACCGGCAGATCGCTGTCTCGCTCTCCTGATGTGACAGCAGCACATAAGCAGGACGACTAGGCAAAGCCAGGGAGCAGCGCCATTGCTGCACAGACGTTTCTCAGCAAGGATATCGTATCAGTGCCAGTGGCAGCAGAAGACTGCCACCAATCAGAAAATCATGGCGCAGCACGTCGCTCCCAGCGACTCCGGAACCTGGAAACCGCCGCGCAGCAGCCGACGCATTGTCAACGGACAATGGAGGCTTCAGGAGGGGCCCGTGGTGCACATATTTCTTTCTGTGCGACTTTGCATCACGTCGAGGGAATCACACACCAGGCGATGGAGCAGCTGGCTGGGCCTTGGGGGGCAGTTCCTTAGCCGCCTGCTGCTTCTTCTTCTTGTCCTTCTTCTTCCCCATGGACTGCGGCGCCTGCTCGGGGCGAGGCGGCGTCTCGGGCGCCGGCAAGCTGCGCGGGCTGCTGCCATTGGACCCCTCCCTGCGCCGGGCGTCCTGCACACATCCCACGCAACGATCAGCTCATTGGCTCAAGCAGGCTCAGCACAGAGGCGGGAATTTCCGCGGGTGCGGCGCCGCGATGGGCGGGCGGCAGCGCAGGGACACGCAGCCCATCCGGGGCTTCAGCCGCTAGGCCTTGGCCCCACCCGCATGCAGATCTTCTCGGATGGTCCTGTTCGTTTGGAGCCGTACAGCATTGTGGCACAGTCGCCGCGACGTCGTCGCACTAGGGCTGCTGGGAGGCCGCGACCGGCGGCGACCCCAGCCCAGACAGCGCCCCATCGTTCCCCGTGCCGATGCATCCACCCACTGCGCGACATCGTTCCCCGACGCGGGCAGGCGCACCGAGCCCGCCGCGGGCGCCCCGCAGGCAGTCCAGCGCAGATCGCTTCCCAGTCCCCGCCCGGCATCAGACCGAGCATCCAAGCAGCCCAGACCGCAGCGGCGATCCCTCAACGCGGCGCCCGCCGCGAACAGCACCGGCGGGTGCCCAACAGGCGCGCGCCAGCGCGCCACATCGTTCTCCGAGCGGCCGCGACCGCTTCGGTCCCGCCGACGGGCTCTCCCCACCGTCCACTTCAGCCAACGCAGGTAGCCGCAGCTCACCGTGTCCGCGTGCAGCGCGTCGAACGCGGAGAACGGCCCCTTCTCCCCGGCGTTCCCGGCGCCCCGGGCGGCCGCCTGCGCCGGCTGGACGGCCGCCTGGGGGCCGTCCTTCCGCTTCTTGTCCGCACCCCTCTTGGGCTTCACCACCTCCCACTTGCTCGTCTCGTTGCGGACCATGGACAGCGCCATCGTGCCCCAGATCCGAGCCCGCTTGGCACTCCAGCACAGCAACGCGGTTGGTTTGCAGGTGCCCTAAAAGGACAGCGCGGAGCCCACCGCGCGCAACTCTGCGTAGCCCACGCGCTGCCAGAGGAGAGTTGCTGGGCTGCGGCGGGCAGAGGCGGACGAGGTTGCGGCGTGCCGTGCCCCTTTTTGGTGCGAGCCCGGCTTCCAAGGGTGGGCGGTGGGAACCCAAGTGAGACGACAAGTGGCGCCGTGGCCCAGCGGCGCGCCGTACGTACTTTGGGCCGCGCGTGGTGTGATTATGTGAGGGCCTGCGTGACGTGGCCGCGCGAAATTGGAGCGTTCGCAACAAATGCCTGACATTATGACAGCGCAGCCGGCGCTTTCTGTGCGCCCGTGGGACAGTGCCCCTGCGGTGCGGGAGTTCTTTGGGCTGAACGGTGGGAGAGGGGGCCTGCGGACGGGGAATGGGCATGGGCAACGACTGCAACTATACCATATCAACAGTGAGAGGAGCGCGCCCCCGCGGGCCAAAGAGCGCAGTTCTGTGAGACTTGCAGTTTGGTGTGTGGCTAGTGGATTGGTTTCATGTGATCGACGGATTGGTCGCCCTGCCTCGTTGAGGCCCAAGGTGGCGCCCGATGAAGGGGGCAACATGTCATGGCACCTTACCCTCGCAAGGCTAGCAACTTGGACGACCGTCGAGCGGAAAGAGGTCCGCATTTGGGCACTGCTGTGTGGAAGAACAGCTCAAGAGAGGAAAAAAATTCAACAGAAAAGAGGATAATCGTGTTTTCGGAATGAAGAGCCAAACGTGGTAGATAGAAATTGCCTCCGCGGGGCAACTCATCCAGGCGTCGGGGCGCTTTTTTGTCCTGGGTGTACAACGCTGCCAGTCCTTGTGCCCTGGTCTCCCTGTCTCATCTGTGGAGTGGGCGCGGGGACCACAACTGGCGCGGCGACAAGGTGGCCGGCGGGGGCAAAGAGTTCTGGGATCTCCCAGAGCTCCCACAGGCACCCCTTGGCAGAGGGCCGCGGCCGTCCATGGAGTCGCCACGCGAGGCGGCCCTCTGTGCGGCTGACGTCCAAGCAGGGCGGGAGCACTGCGAGTACTGCTTCGACGCGCTTTGCGCCCACTTCACAGGAGCGGACCTCCAGGAACCGGCTTTCCAGCAGGCCTACTGGTAGGTGCCCTCCCCACCGGCAACGCTGAATCAAATCCGTTATGAAGGAGTGGGGGGGAGTTCTGGACCAACGGAAGTGCCGCATCTCCATCGCCGCACCTGGCGTCATTTTTGTCGCTTTTGTTGCGCATTTGGTTGAGGCAGGGACGTCCAGGGTTTGGGGCCTGCGTCTGCCGCGCTGCGCCCATTTCGCCCTTGATCGCGGCTCAGAGCCGCGCTCGTGCTTTCGGTGCTCGCTGGCGACTTCCTGCCGGAACTCCTTGGGCCGAGGCCCTGCAACACGGCCAACAAGGTCCGGAAACGTCTTTGAACGGCCCAGCGCGTTCATTTCGATGCATTACTTGGCCGTGTGTGGCGGGATGGCGAAACCCATTCCGTGATCCGTAATGTAGTTTCGCAGCTAGTGCTCTGCGCTCGATCGCTGCGTCGTTGGCCCCTTGGGCGCATGCCCTTTGATTGTTGCAACATCAAGTGTCAAAAGGTATCCACATGGCGGAATTCGGCAGTTAATCGTCAAAGGGAGAAGATGCTTAGTGTGGTGGCTGGAAGATGAAAGCTGCTTCCTAACTATTGCTTGTGTTCTTTGGTACAGTGCGCTATTCGTCAGCTGGCAAAGGGCCAGTAAAACCGCCGGAAAGGCGCCTCGAATGCGCGGCTGCCTGGGCACACTGGAGCCCAGGTGGCTGCATTCGGCACTGAAGGACTTCGGTCTGCGAAGGTGGGTCGGAGATGGGGCGCCATGGCTTCTTGGATTTGCAAGAGTAGCGGCAGCTTGCAGAGCCTGCCGTTTCTATTCTCCAGGCTTTGCTGCAAGCCCGCCTCGAAGCCACTCACTATCCTGGATATTCCGTTTGATTCTTGCAGCAGTTTTGGTTCAGATCAAAGTGCTGCAAGTTATGGCAAAATGTTCCTGAGAAATGCCCCTAGCATGTCACATCCTGACAGACCCATCCTGGCATTTTTGAATCCTGTGCACATCTTTGTGGCCCCAAGCTCTGAAGCACGGGAATTAAGAATCCCAGCAGGCAGCCGTTGCCATGCTGCTGGTAGGGGTGGCTCTCAAAATCGTCCTCACTGTGATGTGTGTCCCCAGTGCTGTTTGTGACCGGCGATTTTCGCCGATTCAGTGGGAGGAGGTCCCGCTGCTATCTTGCACTGTTTCGCTGTTGCGATACTTTGAGCCGGGCGACAACTGGCAGGTAGGTTGGGGCCTCCATCGCCCAGGAACTGACCCTTGTTCCCCCTCGATGGCATCCTCCCCTTTCCTGCACCAGTACTGTGCCAGCATGAAGTCCCTATTTCAGCCCTGTTGTGCATTTCCAGGACTGGGACATTGGCACCCATGGCCTTGTGATCAAGTTTGTGGATCCAGTGGACAATTGCCAGCGTTCAGCCACCTACTTGCCACACATCCCAGTGGAGCAAGGCTTCTCAAAGAAGAAGACAATAGATCACCTGATCAGGAAAGCGGGTGAGAGCTTGGGCAAGCACAAATCCTCAGTGACAGCATTTGCCAATAGCAAGACAAAACACTGCCCTTTCATGTATCAGGCAAAGTACTGCAAAGCTGGCACACACATCCCCCTTTGCGTAGTCCAGACCACCTGCGCATAATGGGTTCGATCTTCTTTTACATGAATGGGAAGACCAGCTTGTACCCATGCAGTCTTGATGGGGTCCCATATAGCATCCACTCAATCGCCCAGTGGTGTCCTGTTGCATCCTAGGCTAGCTTGTGGTGTGTTCAATTTTGAATAGCATGGTTGTTTGGATGGGTGGGTTCAGGGGATAGATGGGTGGGTGGGGTTAGTGTAGGAGGTGGGGCCCCTGCAAAATGTGTTGGAGCTGGTGTGCTTAAGGAAGAGTACCTGGGCTGAATCCCATCCAGGAAGTTGAACAAGGTGATCTATGCATTTTGCGCCCTTGGCTTGGGTACAAGATGCTGCTGCATGTATGCAGTATGTCCCACAGGGGAAGACCTGCAAACGATCAAACATCGCCATGTCTCACTTGACAAAGAGGCTTCTGATGTTTGCAGCTGTGACATCTCAGTTAGCTGATACCAATTGTTTGTCTGATGGCGAAATGAGGGCATTCAATACTGCATCGTCGATGGGCCTTAGGTCACACTGAGAGGCAACGGTTGTTGGCAGTAGACAGAATTACCTAATCCCCTTCCCCAACGTTACTGTAGGCTACTCGCTGCACATCTCTGAAGAACTACGAGACTCCATCGAGCTCACACGCTACCAGTCAACAATGCTGACTATGGGATACGAGGAATACTTCCAGAGCAAGCAGGACTTGTTGGAACAGGAGCTGTCCAATGGGTCACTCACCCATGGACTGTCTAACGGGAAGTGTGTCGGGGAGTAGAGAGCTCTGTGCACAGAACGAGTTAATCTCGGCGCTCCTGACCTTTGGTGGCCATCTCTAACCACCTCTTTGCACTTGCTGCCTGTTGCACCCAGCCATTGTACGACAGCTGAACTGGACAGGCTATCAAGTGTCCGTCGTCGAAAGTAGTTCGTGCTTGTCAATTGAAGAGCTAATTCTGTCGAAGATTTTGGACCGGTGACGGCAGCTTTTAGGGTTACGCAGTGGTCAGTGCTGCCATCCAAGGACGTAAAATGATACTTTGTTGGCCATGGCTTTTTTGCACTACGAATGACTTAGTAGAAGAAGCTGGTGGCCATGACGCTGGAGAAGGCGTCTGCGTTTCATACCCTTTGTTATCTCCCTGTTGGTGGGTGAATTGCCGGAGACATTCCTCAATGCTGCAAATCCAAATTCGCATTCCCATTGGTAGCAATGTAAGACTTTGACAAAGTCCTCAACGGTTGCGCGATGGGCTCGTTCTGGTCATGGTCCCTTGGCATAGCGACAGAAGTGAGGGGGCCCCATCTTGCAGGGTAGGGAGCACACTGCGTGATGGCTTTGGTCGCATGTGTCAATCGCTGATATCGCTGCCCCAGTACCCATCGGGCGAGAGACTGTTCAACCCTTAGGCCAAGCAGATTGGCCTTAAGGTAGCCGTAGTCTGTGTCCGCCAGAGATGCTTTATTGCAGGGTAGCTAGCCACTAAGCAAGAACTACAGGCTGAGGCTGCGTTGTGAATACCAGTGCAGGTGATAGTGACCACAGTCAAACCCAGCCTTAGTGGTTGCTGGTCAGCAGCCGCCAAGAGACTGTTGTTGCCATCCTCCTGTTGCTCCCAAATTGTTGGTGATGTCATGCTCGAATGGGCCTTGCAGTTGGCACTGCTTGCAGGGCTGCAGAGGGAGGACACAACGTAGTTTTTAGGGTGTGAGGGTGCTTCGGGGTCAAGTTGGCTGCGGCCAGCCTGTTCGAATTCTGCAGCCATGCTTCATGCCTTTGAACGCAGTATATTTGGATAGTGAATGCCGTCATGTAGCAACGTCTGACCACCTACATGGTGCATTGCACATGCGTGGCAAGCGGATAAACAGATAAGCGGATAACGGGATGCGGAACATAAAAGCGTTCTTGAATGTGTTCATGCCCGTCATCGCCTAGAAGGTGCAAGGGCACCGCTTTGTCTTGTCGAAGGTTATTCTTAAATACTCTTCAAATACCGCAGTGCAGGCCGGTGGTCAGCAAACAATGAACTGAGGAGGGGGACAGACAAACGTTTTGGGATGCGCCCAAGCTCGCCATCGCCTGCATGGTGCAAGGCCCCCGCTGTATCTTTGAAAAGCAAACCTGCAAGGAGTAATTTAATGCTGTCCATGCCATCGACTTCTGGCACACCATATGCGGCTCAACCCGTGCACTGAATAACTAACACCTACTCATCAAATTTCAGCCAGCTATTGTGGCGATGGCACGGGGTCCTCCTCCCCTGCCGGCGATGCACCAGCATGAACCAAACCTGCGTCACGGCTTCCAAGATACTAGTCCTGCATGCTCCCTACCATCACAAGTACCGCAACACTGATGGAGCAACAGCGCTCCGTGGGCGCCCAGTTCTCAGATGACTTGCTCTGATTTGGTGTAGCCCTCGCACTTCCCACAGGCGAGCCACCTGACCGGCAGAGAGGCGTAGACATGCGTGAGCAGGATGGTTGCCACGTTCCCCACAAAAATGGTCATCATGAGCTTCACCACGAACGACTGAACCAGAAGGATGTCCGCCAGCCAGGGGCACAGCACGAGCGCGACCGTGCCTGCAGCAGCCCCCTTCAGCGTTGCTCTCCAAGGGCGGTTGGCAAGGCCGGATACCTGCAGTGGCATTGAATGTCACAAGTCAGGCACCAGGAGATGTTGAGAATGGGAGTGAGTGCGTGGGTGGTGGGTGGTGGGCGGGGTAGAAGGGGTGCAGCGTTCAGGTCAATTCAGGAAATATTAATGTGTCATTATGTGTCATTATTAATGTGTCATTACATTCATGTCAAAGCAAGAAGCTAGCCGTCAGACCCCTGAAGTGCCAATGACTTGCCCGAAGCGGTGGCAATGAATTGCTCATTGACTACAAGGTGGTGCATCAACGACAGCCTGAATCCGTCAATTCCACGATTCCCAGAAGAAATTTTTGATGACAATTCATTGAAATGAAGCGACCTTGAAAGAAGGCGAGTAGGAACGAAAGTAATATTGATTTGGCATTGCTATTAGTCGTTTCGTTCACATCTCTTCTCCCCTATTCCTCAAACACAATTCGTCTCATTTGACTCAAGGGCCATGTCATGACCAATCACGCGGAAACAGGCGTGGGTATGGAGCCGCAGATGCCATCAATCAACTGAAATTCACAATTAATGATTTGCTCACGCGCACATTCGTGGCAGCGATGGTGCCAGCAAAGTTGCTGCGGCATGTGTACAGTAAAGAATACTAAACTAGCACCACATCTGCCCTAACGATTGCTCTGCTGTGCGTGGAACAGTCCACTGCTGCAACAACTTTGACAAACCATTGACACTGCTTTTCTTTTGACACAAGCTCATTGTATGCAGCATTTCTTGATGAAAGCTGTCCATGAACAAAGTTCTAGGCACGTGTGCAGCTGCTGAAATTGCTGCAGTACTAAATTGAACCAAACTCGAAATGAACTGAACCAAACTACCACTAGTACAACTAGTACATTACTAAACAACACACACACTACAACTAGTACATTACAACTAGTACATAACTGCATTTGGGCATTCGCTGATTGAGGAGTGATTTGCAGCAGTGCACGAGCGGCATACAATGAAAAACCCCAGACAACCGCGCGGGACAAGAGCAACATGGACTGCGCAGGATGGCAACACTTGCAGCCATCTAATGGTGAATTTTGCTTGTCTGTACTGCAGTACATGCACACGTTGTAGCGTATTTTTAAACGTCGTCGACAGGGGCCTAACCTTGTGCACTTGGGAGGAAGGCGACGATGAGGCCTTTCCCCAGCGATAGCACCACCCCAGGTACAGTCCGAATAGACAGAAGTGTAAGAAGAGCGTCCACTCGTACGCGAGAATCCAACCCCACATTGGATAAACCTGTGGGACGCAAAAGCGACACGGTGAGGCTCGTGCAATGATCGCCGCCGAAGGCAGAAACACGGAACAGGGGGCACACTCCGTAGATACTTTGCTATCAGAAATCTGGATAGACATCAACAGTTGTACATTCTGAATACGATTCAATGCTTTTTCTGATATGGACTAATTCTCAATTGTGTCCACTCTGTGAGGCACCATGCAGGACTCTCTGAAAGCACGAGAATGAGCACATAGCATTGAATAAAACCTGTGAAGAAACATGCGCCCAAAGAGCCTTCATGAGCAGTTGTAAGCATCTTAAAGCAAATGGCATGTGTGGCATCAGGGACAAACAACAGCACTGCACGACATCAATGGATACAGAGTTGCAGAGGAGCAGAGGTTCAGCCACAATAAGCCTCGTGGAGACACACCGACGGATAATCCACTGAGCAAATGTATATCACGCGCCCTGTTTCACAATTTAAGCAACGCATTCCACACCCCTGTGAATACGACACAGTACTTACATACTACCAATACATTGCCCACCCAACAAACTTGGGCTTATCACACAGATTTCTAAGCACAGGTTACCGCAAAGCAGATCTGTGACAAAAAGATGCCTGCAAAAGGTAATTGAGACAGCAGCTGTCCCAAGTCCCAAAACAGGCGTCTGATAGTGCTTTGACTCCCAGCGGCTCTGGCCAAAAACTTCCCCCGGGTTTCCCCAAACTGCCCAAGTTGCTATGGTGAGGGATTTCTCATCCAAACCCCCCTATCCGATACCTCTGTTTCCAAGATGAGTTTAACAACCCTGAGACGAAATGGAGTTGCGTGTTCTTGCTGTGTGGAGGTTTTATCCAATATTTCTTATTTTAGCATACGAACGTCATGAAGGGGTCATCAAGGTTATAAAGGGGACGAGGACCCCAAAATTCTCAAAAAACAAAAAGCCTACAACCAACAATGACGTTCACGTCTTTCATATTAAGAAATGAAAGTATCAGACGTTTGTGGATGTGCAGCCGTGGTGCTCCTGTTGGAAACCCCCACCCCTCCCCACTCCACCGTCGCCATAGCCATTGTGGGCAGTGCTGGGAGCCCTTGAAATTTCAAAGTCACGGCACTTTACAGTTCGTTTCTTTGAAGATGACTTTTTTCACACCAACCTCCACACTCTCAACTGCGACTATGAACATCCATGAACACCTGGTTACATCTTCACACAAACATTGCAATGTAAAGTCACAAAGACATTTTTTGTGGCACAGAAGAAGTGGATGAAAGTCTCATACCAAAAACATTTAGTAAACCTTGCCAGCTTCGTGAATGGCCTACTTGCTGTCAGCATGGGAGAATTTAGGCCGATGAGACCTGTGGGCAGAGAAAATTGTAAAACACTGGAACAGAGCACCTACATGCTTTGGCACAAACGAGAAGGTGATGGCCAGGGGCACCAAGATGGTCAGGTAGCCAACGACGATGGACAAACCCGTGAAATGCCTGGGGGCCATAGAACGAGCCAACACCAAAGGCCCTCCTGACCGGGGTGAGCCTGGCATTGGGTGGGCATGGAATGCGCTGCCGATCCCTGCACGCCACAGGTACCTCCGAACAAGAAGGGCACCCATGACAATGGGGATGAGGACCATCCAGAACTGCGCAAAATGCTGGGTGGCTGTGACACCATGGCTGTAGCCAAGGGAATCTTTAGGGAGGTTCTCACGGAAGGCCTTGAAAACACAACAAGTGGCTGTCATTCCGCAGAATACATGCAGAAGAAAAGAACAACTTTTTGCAGTGAATCAACTGCCCTGTTAACACGATGTTCATTGCTCGATCACAATCAACAATCATGATGCCCGACATTTAACTTCCAAGATTTGTTTTGGACCAACTCCAGTGCACAGAAGCAAGTGCTTTTCTGTGAATCTTCTGAAGCATACCATGGCAAATGTCAGTCAAATACACTCAAAATGCAAAACTAGATCCGTAATACCCCAGGAGCAGTGGCTGTGCATATTTCATTCCTGGTATACGATCCTCGCAAGTGATTTCCTGGGCCATTCTCTTTGGCACTTCAAACATCACTGTTCTGGTCTCAGAGATCCTCACTACAGAAGCTACTGGCTCAATGGCTAATTTTGAGCACTGTGATAATCACACCATGTTTTGTGTGCAGCTGATGCATAGGATCCACTAGCCAGCCCTCACCTGCCAAACTTTGGTCTCCTTGATGATCCACGGCGTCCACCAATTCCATGGTTTGAAGGTAGCAAGTGTAAAGTGGATTATATAGATGTTCTCTTTGGGGATCATCCATCTGTTTGAATTCATCACGTACAGTCCAATATCCGCATTGAAAGCAGTTGGCAGCCTCATCATCTGGCCAGACCACAGCTGAGCTTTCAATCATGTGCTGCAACAGGAAACATTGTCTCCCTCCAAATCCTGTTTGGAAAGGGGGGTGAAGACCCTCATGTATGGCTTCATGGTTTCAGTTCTGTTGAAAGAAAATCTCCAACATTCCTGTCAGGTAGCATTGAGTATAAACGGAGAGGGCACTTCCAGCATTGCTGCTTTGGAAGTGATGAAGTTGCACATGCAAATTCACAGTTCAACACGCAGGTTTAACAATCCATCCAGACTTGCAAGCGAAAGTTTCTGTTTCGCTTCCCCAAACAGCAACAGTTGTTGCAAAAATCTTCAAGGTCATTGTTTTGAAGTGTGCTGGTGTATGGACCAATAGACCACCCAAATACTGCCTCCTGCTGGCAACTTGTCACAATGAAATCCGCAAGGCCCGTTGTGTGAAATCCAGTCGTCTGTTAGCTCATCTACATATGGTCAGCCACTCGGTGCACAGCTGCTGTTGCTATAGTTGCTAAAACATAGATTGAACACCTTCAACACAGAAAAGGGCGAGATCGACCAAATGATTGTGCCAAAGAGTTTTGCAATCATTGTTTGCTAGTTGGATTTTGTAGTGAAAGCAGTATCAAAACACCAACTCCACTGGCCACAACTTGTAGGTCGTTCACTTGAGCACACAAAGGGACCTGGGTGCAGCACTAGCTGGAGGCAAGCAAGGCTCCTACGATAGTCACCGTTTGCAATGCAAGCACTACAGAGATGACAACAGCACACGTCGATGCACTGTTAACCTCTAACCATGATGCTACTATCACAACAAGGTACAGAAACTGTGAACTGAGTGTTCCCTTCAGCCCACTGATCAATCCCTGTAAAATATACAGCACACCCCAAACTGCTGTGCCCATGGGGTCAGTGGAGGCATTCGAAGAGTGTGGGGACTAACTTCAGATGTTGTTAAACTGGAGACAAGCCTGCCTGCTACAGCAGAGCAGGGCCGCACCCACCTGAGCAGCCGCATCTTTGGAGGTGTCATTGGGGTCAAATACTCTGGAGTTCATGTAGTCTGGGAAATAGGCATTGAGAAATCCCTGGTCTCCCCTGCCACAATGAACAGCAAATTCCTGGATGTAGGCCATTTGAATGCATCTGTCGAAAGGTGACACTGGAATACACAGACACATGCAAGCCGATGATGCACAGCAGCCCATAGACAGTGAAGTGAAATGTGACACAGCATCATAATACAATGGCAACAAGATGTCCAACAATGACAATGAAACACTGTACTGAAAACATGACCCAAAGAACCTCAACAGGGCACTGACAATGCAAGCATCTGAGTTCTTGAAAGTCGTTTACCTGCCATCAAGAGAAGTGGCAACCAAAAAATGTCAAGACCACCGCGGGCCTACATGTGCAACGAGGTATGTGCTGGAAAGGCTCCAGAGATTGCCTTGGAAACACTGTGGGCAGAAGAGAAGACATACTTCCTGCTGCCGAGTTGAGGGGTTCTGCCAAACTCATGGCCATTCTTCAATCAACAAATATCTGAAGCAGATGGTCAGCAATGTCAAGCACTTCGGTAGCTCGGGCAGCTCCCCCAAGATATTATGGTCATTTCTTTTGCAGATGCCGGTGAGACCATACCCTGTCATCACCTGAGGGTGCTTGATTTGTTGTGTCCTGTGGATAGTTGTAGTCCAAGTTCATAGCCTCGAGCAAGTGCTAGACATGAAGCACCAGTTCAGCAACCCCATCTAGCCTCAGACAGGCAAACTCGCCAACAGAAGGTGCTTCAATGTGCTCACCCTGTGTAGCTGGGGTATGATTCAATCTTGCTCATCATGTCACTATACATTGTTGCAGAGGGTGATACCACCATGACGCCTGAATTGAGGCGCTCTGAGTGACGCATGGTGGCGCAAAATCCTGGGCAGCTGAAGAGGACGTCGCTGTTCTTGGTCACTACTGTGTCAGCATCAAGGTAGATGACTGGCCAAGCCATAAAGATCCTCAGTTGCTTGTCCATTTCCCTGGTTAACTTAGACACTGCTGTGTTTGTTGTCAAAAGCCGATTTCTATGGCATCAATGACTGTGAAAGCATCATTGTAGATGCTTTGCCAGCACATTTCGTTTATTAACTGATCTCCATTTCAGAATGCAGGCAACTGGTCTCATTCACACCCTTGTACATGGGCAGAGGAATTCGAACAGTGCAGATGCAAGTCCACAACAAGTCCGTTGGTGACCTGACACTATGATGTCACAAGGCATTGGAAATAGATTAGATGGCTTTGGTAGGGTCTTGAAGACGGACTGTATGATGCTCTATTTCATAACGAAGCACACCTCCAGCAATAGCACAGTGTACCGCAAAATATTCAACCCATCCACACAGTAATATCCACACGATAATAAAAAGTAATGGCGTCGAGAATTGTAGAGCAGCCCCAACCACAACACAAGGGTCTCCAAACTGCTTGTGCAGTCTAGCAGCCCTAGATGCATGAAGGAGCCCCCAAAATAACAGCCTGTCGAAAAAATGCAGAGCAAAAATAGTAACAGTGAATATTCTGATGCGGAAGGGTTGAGTATTTCGCAGTATATACGATTGACAAACCATTTCACGTTGCAAGCCTTACAACACGACACAACATGGACAGGCAGGCAAAACACAACATTGCCACAATGTGATGCTCTGCATGGTAAACATCGTGGATGGTGAATTCGATGGGCTGGGTACGCAACTGCCAGCACTGCTGTCCATGGTGCTTGTAGGTAGACATGATCTGCAGTATATGAGGAATCCTTTCTGCTGTGCAATGGCAACACGGCCGTATTTGCCTCTCAAGGGATGAACCACCAGCAGCACAATGGCTGCATCACATATCACCCATCCTGTGCTGTCCTTGACTGTGCAACTTCTCACACACCTCTTTCATACTCTACCATGTTGAAAATGGACAGTTTTGTGTACACAGCCCAAAATCGCTTTGGAAATCCGCCAGGGTGAGGCCCCTTTGCAGGATTGGAGACTGTCTCCACCTTCTTCACCCTCCACCCATCTGAGGCCAAGGTCTTCAAGGAAGTTTGCGAAATGTCGCCAGTGACCAGAACAACACGATCTCTGCACGCAAGGCAGAAGAACTTGAGCATCCAAGGCAGCATTTCCTTTCCATACAGGAAAGCGCCACCAGAAGGTTGGCAAAACCAATGCCAGCTGCAATTGCTGAAGCCAGCAGCAGTCTTCGTCTGGGCGGTGGTTGGGATTAGAGTTCAGACCCTTTGGCAGGGTGCTGTCAGTTTCAACAAATCACTGACTGAGGTAGGGATACAGTCAGCAAGAGGCTGTCACCGATTGGTAATATCATCAAAACAACGGGTCACTCCAGAAACTGCACAGCACCCCATTCTGCAAAGTGGCGCCTTTGAATAACTGTTGCATTGTCCACGGGGGACCAGTACCAAAAACCTGTACACAAATACGTCTGTGTGGTAAGATCTTTGCCATCATTTAACAATCGAAGTTGCCACAAAAATGCTGTATAACCTGTATAACCTGTATAACCTTGTGGTATGGCGTTTGGGATATGTTCCATCATTCAAGCAAATGCAGTCAAAGCAGAAAATTGAGCAAAATTTGTGTTGAATGCTTGCGACCACAACATCACCAGAGGCACAAGGATGGCGGGTTGGGGTGGGATGGAGAGGGGGTGGGGGGGAACAGGAGAAGAGCGCAAAGACAACGGACTCCAACGTGCCGTCAAGTATGGAATGAACCTCCCATCGTCCCTTAGTTCACATGATTAACAACATCGACCAGTCAGGGAGCCAAAGGGCCATTGCCCATTGATCTTTCGCTTGGGCTCCACCAACCGACTCCATTGGGATGTTGGCACCTAGAACGATTCGCTATGCAAGTCTGCGGGGTGATCAATTTCGACCGCACGTGCGCGCGGGCGCCCTGTTTGCGTGCTGCACGGCGGCGCCGACAACCAATGCCGGGAACGCTCGATTGCCCCCCAAGATCCCACGCAGCACGACAAACCCGCCCATTCGCATTGCTCGCGCCAACAGGCCGCCTCATCGCCTCCAGCCTCTGGCACCTGTTGGTCTCGGTCTCCTTGATGGATTGGCCGAGCACCCTCACCCCCAGGACGAAATCGTCCCCGTACAGCAGGGTCACGTACGCCTCCTTCGATCCCTGCGGCGCCTCTTCCAGCGCCTCCCGGGATGAGCCCCACGCCGGGCGGCAGCAGCCCTGGCCGAAAAGCAGCGACGCGGCCAGCAGCACAAGGGCCACATGGCCGGGGAGAATTGAAGGTCGCATCGCCTCAGGCTCGGGGCGCAATGGGTGCGACGCGTGCCAATGTGCGCGTAGTTGCCCCTGGAGTCGTGTGCGGGCCTCCCTGAGTTGAGGGCGCCCAGCACGAGGCGTTGGCGGTCGCCTGTCTTGGCGCTCGGCTACAGTGGGAATCCTGTCGCGGTTGGCACCGCTGACGTGTTGGAATACTGTGGGGGTCTCCACGACGCTGCGGACAATGAGTGGGCACCGACATCCTGGCAGTAAGAGTTCGGTTGGTGCTGGATGTGACCCTTGTCATAAGAAGTCAACTCGTGCACTACGCCAGCAGAACCCAAGCAAACCTTTCTGACATTGAAGAAGCCAACACAGGTAATGTGGGGTGCGGAATTCTGTTGCATCTTAGCCAGGGACAATGGGCATAACAAACAGTGTTTGTTCACGCTAATTCCAGCAAGATATCAAAGCCCACCCGATTTGCGCAAAGCGAAAACGTTGGTCAACACCAGTAAGCCAATGTGGGGTGACATGCACTGAGTGTAAGTGATCACCCCTTGATCACAGGCCTTGTGATACGACTTGCCTTGTTGATCACTGGACCTGCTTCTATCGATGTCGCGAAAATGTGTCTCAATAACTGTGCGCACAGCCAAACAGTAACCATCATTTCACTGGGTGGATCAGTTAAATTTATGGTCAGCGATTCTTCCGCATTAAAGAGAGCATTAGCTTTTGCATGGGATGGCCCAACCTAAAGGCCGCTACGAAATTAATGAGAAGATCCTTAAATTTCCTTTTATATTATTCAGGCTTCTTTTGACCTGACTCGGCTCATCGGATGCATTTTTGATTGCGCTCATTGTTTGTATGGGACAACATGGCTTTCTATGGAAAATGCTACGCAGCTCATGTGGGAATTCCTTTGTCAGGGTACCTTGTCCGTAACAAATCTTGTGGGGAAGTTGTGGCTGTGTTGTTCCGTAGGTTTACCGTACTCTGAATCTCTTGCTTGTTTTTGCTTGTAGGTATCTTGGAGGCTTGCAAATGGCCTTATGAATGATCTGAGAAGTCAGGAATCCAGTGTTTGTGTGGCAGAGTGGTGCTGAAAGGCCGGACTTCTCCCTTTACGTTCTTGCCTCGCCATTGTGGTTTTGGCTATTGTAGAGATTCCGTGTTCTAGTAGCCTTTACCAAATTCATTTTGTCTGAGAGGGCATTTGTGGCATGTTTTGTACTTGGCTATGCATTGAGTTGGTATACGTTTGAGCTGTTTGATTTGCGTTCATGGCGAAGTGGATCCGGGGGCAACACATAGGCAGGCCGGTGTTTGTGAGACAAAAAGAAAGTGGTCGTGTTTGGTGCCGCCATTCATCAAGGACACCCTTGTTTGAATTTTGAGCACCGTTGTGGCCGGCGCTGGGTGTGCGATGTGTTCGGCTTCCGGTGAGCACTTTGGTGGGGGCAGCGTTTTGAGCCATAGCTCCAGCTTCTAACCTTAATATTAACATGAACCTTGTCTTCTTCATATCCATGAAATGGAGCAAACACTATAGTGCTATGGACAAATAAACAGCGCTATGGACATATCATGGATGGTGCATGACTTGTAAAATCCAAACCGTTGTATCAAATTGGATCCCAGAATTTTATGGAAAATTCTCGTCTTCACACCCATCGCGGAAAAGACTACAATTCATGTTTTCATAAGAAAAGAAATGACTCGATTTCGGTTTTCGAAGGAGCAAGTCATGTTTTCAATGGTGGCGCCATCATTGAAAATATAAGGGCCAGCCCTCAAGCAAGCTTCATATGAGAATGTTTAAACCACTCACATCACCATAATGCATGGGCAATGGCGGCCATGACCCCTACGCCTCACTGCTTCCAAGTGGCGAGAATAGCTCGCCAATACCCAGAGACACACACTGCAAGGAGCGGCTTTCCCTCTTATACAACATATACCCAAGCCAACAATCGAATCGTGCTAGAACGTGCTCCTCAACGTGGACAGCTGCCACCGCGCCACGATTGCTGGAGGCGATCCACGCCAAACACATTCAAGAGATAATCGAAAACATCATTGCAAGAGAACAAACCCATTGTCCAGTGGCACCGCCGCACACAGTCATCGATGTTGCTTGCCTCAATGACCAGGTCGAGAGGAGATTTGGGCGGACGATCACCCATGCAATTAATTGATTATATAACCACATGGTATTACAATCACAGCAATCAATTGTTCACTTCATAGGTTATTCAAATAGCATTGCAAATGCATAATTGAGCATTTGCTCTGTCACTAATGTAGCGTTCTTTGTGAACACCCATTCCCGCGCGGACTCCGTCAGGTGCAAGGGTCAGGCCGTGAAGGATAGACTACAGAATACACTGAATTGAACACCAAATAATTGTTGATTCTTTACTACAATACGCTGCCTCCCCGTTCACAGTCGATGCACCGTTACATTCCAACATATTCACCTGTTCGCCTTATTCACCATACATTTCCTTAACTCGTCATCACCATTAACATCATGTAATTGTTGTCATTTATCATCGCCAACCTGCTCCATCATCGGTGCCTGAAAGCAAGGTGCATCACGGCGGCGGTTCCTTCCTGGTTGACTCATGGCCCCTCGCTCTTTGTAGCGTCATGCCGCACAGCCACCCAGCCGTCCATTCTTGGAATCGCCTTTGCGGACTATCCGTCGTCTATTTGTTGGCGTTGCCCGACTGTGTACGTGTCATGAACGTCAGTCAAGATCAGGGTCCCAACGGTGACTGGCGTCTGCAAGCTTGGTTTTTACGCCGTAAAAGCTGATCGTATTTACGTTTTTATGCGTAAAAACAGTTTTTACGTTTTTACGCATAAAAATGCGTAAAAACACGTAACACAACGTAAAAACTGCCTGGTGTACATAAGGACAGTACATACAGATTTGCAGAATCCGGAGAGTGGCAGTCAGACGCCTTGGAAGAGGCAGAAAACGAGTTTTTGTTAGACACCATCATCGCCCTTGCCATGGGCGAGGTGAGCACTGTGTTGTGGGTGCTGAATATGGCGGAGGACTGATCATTGTACGCAACTTTCATCGTGTAATCTACATGTGCCAGGGGGCCGCAAAAACGTAAAAATAGCCGTAAAAATAGGCCCTTTTGCAAATTTACGTTTTTACACGTAAAAACGTAAACGTAAACGTAAAAACCAAGCCTGGGCGTCTGTTCGAGTGCGGATGGCAAAGAGGATGACGGTACCGGGAATCGAACAAGGTATCTCCGATATATCGGAGGTACCCCTATATAGGACGTCCCACCGCTGTACCAAGCCACTTGGCAAGGGGCAAGGAAGAGGGCAGTCTATTCCCTCCTGTACCCATTCACCCAACAGCGTTCTTGACGCGCAAACAGTGCTGTTTGTGGTCGTGCCATGGAATCATTCTTGGAAACCACAGGGTGTGGGTCACGTACACTGCACACAGCCCCAGCCACTGTCCAGTCAGGACGGCGAGCACCCAGTCAGATCAGTCAGGGCCCTTACTGTGACTAACGTTCTCGACGCGCATACAGCAGTCATCCTTCGGGATCATCCTTCGAAGCGGTGGGGTTTGGGTAACGTAAACTTCACGCTCCAGCACGAGTTGCTTGGTGCGGCACACATACGCTCTCGCGAAGACGCGCCGGACAGGCCGTCTCTCAAAGGCGCTCCTACAAAAGCCGGCCGCGGGACTGCACAGGACGCTCCCGCCAAAGCCAACCGATACCGTTCCTCGCTGCCCAGACGCTCCCCAAGGTCCCGGTCCAAGCCACCATGCTGAAGGGCAAGTGGTGCCTGGTGACGGGCGGCGGTCGCGGCATCGGCCGATCGATCGCCCTCGCCCTCGCCAAGGAATCCGCATCTCTGGCGCTGACGGCCCGATCGCTCGAACAGCTGGAATCCGTGGCCGCCGAGTGCAAGGCGGCCGGTGCGCCGGAGGTGGAAGTCCACACGGCGGATGTCACGGACCCCAAGGCGATGGACGGGCTGGCGGCGAAGCTGTTGGAGAAGCACGGCTGCGTCTCCGTGCTGGTGAACAACGCCGGCATCCTCGCAAATGGGATGAGCGCCCTTGAGGGGGACCCCGATGAGTGGGAGAAGGTGCGGGGCGGCGACCGCGTTTCCTTGCCGGCTCTTTGTTTACTGCGTCTCTGTCGTGCTCGCCCTTTTACGCTTGTCCCCTGTTGCGCTTGGGGCTACGGTATGCTCGTGGGCATATGTTGTGACGTCCCTGTGGACCGCTGGCAACTATTGCCCTCTGGTTGTTTCGCTCGTTTTTTTACTCATGTTTCGTGTTCTGTCGGGCCGAAACGGCACTCGTGAGGAGTACCGTCTTTGGCAGGAGTGTTTTAGGCGTTATAACCGAACGTTCTGACATCACATAATGCGGGAAGGGGCGCTCACTTGTCGCGATTTGTAAAACGAGGATTCATTCCAGGGTGTGCCGAGAGCATTCGGAAAAGCCGAAGGCCACCACTTTGTGGTGGTTCGCAAATTTCTTGATCACCAGTCATCGATAGTCAGCTTGTGGCATTCAACTCATGATGCAGTGCGCATTAACAGGCGACGCCCCAGCAAATCAAGCACTGTCTAGTTTGACACTTTGCAACATATTGTGACAGCAGGCTATAAGTACCCATGAGATGCACTGGAGTAGATGGAGTTGAATGAGATTGTTGTATGGGCACTGTTTTGGTGTTTCCAAGCCCTTGGATTCCCGGAACGCCATTTTCTCTGCGACATTGTTTTCGTGTGAAATATGTGAAAATTATATCACGCAAGCATTTTCTAGTCTATGGTAATACACACTAAACAATATGCACTAAAACGAGAGCAGACAAGCAAAGGGCAGAGGCAAACATTGGTACAATACTGTTGTATTTGTATGGACTATATAGTCCATACATCAGCATATATACTGATCTGCAGTGAACTGTGTTTTGCGACATTGTGCGTTATTCTGCAGCTCCTTGCATGTGTTGTGAGTGATGTTGTGCGGGTTTGTTGGTGCCTGCAGATGGTGGTGGCGGACCTCACGACTCCAATGCGGCTGACGCGCCTACTGGCGCCTGCCATGGTGGAGCGCAAAGACGGCGCGATCATCAACATTTCCTCCATCCTTGGCGTGGATCCCTGGGGCCACACTGCCGCCTACTGTGCTGCCAAGTTTGGCCTGCGGGGCTGGTCGCTGTCCTGCCACGAGACCCTCCGACGTAGCAACGTGAAAGTGGTCTGCATCAACCCCGGAGTTGTGCGCACCTCGCTGGCAGGGTGAGCATCATCCACTGGTGATGAATGGCTGAAAGCACAACGCCTGCATTGCAGGACTTGGCAACATGCCAAGGAAGGCTGTTTTTCCCTTACTAGTCTAGTAGGATCCGCATAAAGACGAAAATCATGTGGAGTACCTCGTTATGTTTTGGCAGTGATGTACAAATTGGACCATGCAGCGCTGCCCAGTTTCAGTGTGGAGATCATTATCAATTATTCACATGTTGATGCAGGTTAATTAGGCATCATTTTACAAGTCTTGATGAAACTTTAAAGATTTTGAGCACTCCCGTGCATCTGCAGGCTGCGCTGTCTGCTGCATGGAAGTGATTCGTTCTGGAGCACCCAGTCAAGAAAATGTGCATCCAGCACACCTGTACATTGCAATGTACATACCGCCATTTGGCGGATTATGATCCATCGCTCCTCTACTGTACCAATGCAAACAATGCCACATTGTAACCATACACCATGTGGAGCTGTAGACTCTGGTAACAAATAGTCACTGAAGACCGTTTGCATGGCTTGTTGTGTAAGGGGACTTCCTGCCATGGTCCCAGAGGATATGATAATTCCAGATGACGTTGCTGAGGCGTGCCTGCTGGCTCTGAGGACCAGCGCAAAGTGCGTACCAACAGAAATCACGCTGAGAAATGCGCAGAATTGTGCTTCCATGTTGTACGATCCGACGGAGCTGATGATGGAAATGGCGGGGCCCCAGAAGTGAGCGTTGCAACAGCAACCAGCAAGATGCTGTTATCGGACTTCTGAGAGACACCTACACGCCCTTGACCTTGAGCTGATGAGAGAGATGGATCCCAAGTTGTGTCCCAATGCATGTCCAAATATGCAGCAGATGGTGCATAACGTCCACGGGGTGTGGAACGTGGCGCAGGACATGGGTGCACCTGTTGATCAACAGGTCATCACTTGTCATGACAAGTGAAAACATGCACGGCTTGGATTGGTGAAGTGCTCGTTGGGCCTTGCCGTTATGTAATGACCGGATGTGTGCGCACCATCGCCGACTGTATGCAGCTGCGTCTACATGCACTATCCAAGCGTCCTGTCCTGAATCCGCGCGGGTCGCATTTTGCAATTATTTTCCAGTTGATGTTTAAATAACCGTTGATATTTTCTTCAAGCTCATGTGAATGCGTTCCGATGAAATTAGAGAGATGCACATATATCTTGCGTCTATGCGGTCTGCCATGTCGTTTTGGAATGAATCCGCGCAACTCTCGACGGCTGCGGCCCAGAATCGTGCATCTTTTCATGGACAGGCCGCATTGCAGAATGGCAACAGGGCATTAAACCCGTCCCGCATCCAAAACGACTAGATTTCAAAGTACACTGTGGAAATCGTGCTGCCGCCAGGAGGTGGCAATTCTGAAACTTCATCAGAGACGGAAAGGCGCATGTGGCATATTACAGCTCATCATCCTGCACGCTCAGTCGGTGAAAAATTAGGCTCTGCTGATGACGCCACATGGTGCCCACCGATTCCCTGGACTGATCATTGACGTAATTGGCTGACGATGGGTCTCAATCACGTTGTATGCGCTGCATGGGATAGCTCGCGCAAGCCCACAGCGCTGGTTTAAAAGGGAAAATAGGACAAAGGAAAAACGCTCCAAGGGTGGTTTGTGGGCCATGAGCTGTGAATCACATGAATGAGAACGAGGGGTGTGAAGAATCGGGAAAAAATAAGGGCTGGTTGATAAAAACACCACCCTGTATGGCCGCAAGTCTAATAATATCAGTGATTTGCTCCCCAGAGCGGTCATATTATGCTTTGATTTAAGCGAATGGCACAACTATGATGACAAGTTTGGAACGGACGGTGTGTGTGACCCTTTGTAAGAACATTTGTCGAAAGACAGAGCAAAAAACCTTGCACCATAAATTGGCGATGTCGGGCAATCATGCCATACACATGCATTTTCGGAAACCACAGTGTTTGTTCGAGAACACAGTTCGTCAGCCCAAGGGCTTAGCCAGCAACGGATGGACACCAAAGCGGTCTGTGTCCATAACACCCTCCCTGAATCTCGCAATACCGTTGGTCCCCTTTGAACAAATCAGGGATAATGCTTTTCTCAAGCGAAATAGGGACCAAGTTTCTCCAGCCTTGACATGCAAGATTGCCGATGGTGATGGACACCCTGTCGTCCAACAGAAACTTTTCTGTTGGAGTGGGGCATTTTAAATACCCCAGTTGCGCGCTTCTTTTGATACGGTACGCACCGTATCCATGCCGCACCTGGCCACACTTCCCTTGTGGATCGATCTTATGCAAAGACCGTACAGGGGGCTCGTGGCACGCTGCTGGGGTCGATGTTTTTCTGCAGAGGAAGCACAGGGGCGTGCGAGCTGGGAAAGCCCCTCTTGGACAACAGGCAACCGTCAAGGCGTCCAGTAGCGGTAAGCGCCCTCGATTGAGGGCCCGCCTTCGGCCCCCCGGTACCAACCGAGCTATTCCGCAGTCTGGCGGTTTGGGCTCTCCAGGCATGCCAGGTTCCTTTCGCTGATTTGGCCCATCACTCTCCCCCCTCTTCCCCTCCCGTAAAATGCAAGCTTCAAATTGCATAACGGCGGAACGAACTGTGGTGATAAGCCAAGGTCATGGGTGACCATTAATTTGGGAGCAAGTACGATTTAGCGAAGGCCTCTTTTTGCTTAGAACGTTGCAACTTTCAGTTGTCGTTATCCACAAATGCATTCCTCAAGAAAGGAAGCCACTTTGGGAATAAAATTGTGGCTAAGTTCACCGCTGGATCCGAAGCTCCATGGGGCTCAAAATTGGGATCCTAAACAGAGAAAAAAATGTAGTACATTGGCTCAAGCGGGAATTGCACGAACGACAAATTGTTGAGCGAGATTCGGCATTTACAGTGTCCGTATGGTCTCCATCCTTCCCTGCCCTTCTCTCTAAAACATATTACAGGAAATCGTCCGTCCCCTTAGCTCACAAGTTTTGAGTCGCAACTGTTCGTCTCAGATAGAAATTAGGAATATCTACCACGAGTTGCTCGTATGGGAAGACGCACTTGCACATGGCCTTTCTCATTGCGTTGGAAAAATTTGTGTCCCTGCCTTTTTCAATTGCATGGCAGCTTTCTACTCCAAACCTATTGGGCCATACAAGTTGAACAACGTAATCGCAATTGCGATTTCATGCAAACACCTGGCTGTGGAAAACAGAAACAATTGAGCTAAAGTTTTAAATTTCGTTGCAATTGTTTGGGTCCGACAAAATCGTTTTAGTAAGAACGATGTTGCGTGTAGAAGGGCCATTTTCCACCTATTTGCACTGTTTGGCAAAAGGCAAGAATACTTTGTGTTGCCACCCCGATTGTTTGCATATAATAAGTTCGGTGGCCGCCATGTGCGTTGATTGAGAAGAAAGACTCCCCGCTGAGCGAGAACACCCTGCAGGCTGGCTTGGTACCTGCCAGGCGCCCATCACAATACAGCCCTTGTTTTCCTTTCAGCTCATGCCTAGAATCCATAGATCCGTTGGCTTACATTTCAAAGCAGTGCCTGGACCAATTGGTCCAACATTGTGAATGCACAACAGGCAGAAACAGAATTTGGTGGCCGGTATTGCCTGGACTGCAAGGCGAATCTCAGGCGCGCATCCACGTACATCTAAACAGGAAATCATTAATGCCATAAACCCCACTGACGGTGCCCAAGCCTGTCGCCACAGCCTGCCTTCGCTAATCCATCACTCTGTGGGCGGTTTTCCAATTCGAACAAGAACAGCAGTTGATGGTCGCCATCGTTGGTTACTCTTATTGGCGGTTGGGAATGATGTGCTGGTTAAAAAGTCCAGGGGACTGTGGGAGCTCGCGAAGCACTCTGGGCAGTACCGGCAGCCTTTTGCTTCGAAACTTTGGATCCGTTGGTCCATAGGCTGTGTTTGGACTTGGACCACAGGATCTTGGGACATTTGGAACGAGTTTCATGGACAGCCAAGGCCTGTGTTCTGATGGACGTCTTGTGATATTTTTGCAGTCGCCGGGCAGCTTCCCTGCCTGGAAAGTGCTTCAGGGTCGCCAAAGTAGACTGTTTGCTCACACCCGCCCAATCCTTGGAGATTTTTAGCTGGGATGTGAGGATTAGGCGAACTGCAGCGCATTGTGTTTTAGCACTTGGGCTTGCATCGCCAATCCCAGGGCAAGTTGGATTTTGGCGGTCATGGGTTGGATCGTTGACGTAAGCATTATTGACACGTTTGGCCAGTGTGTTTGCCCCGCGGAAGGGGATCCCACCAAGCAGAAACGATTGTAGTCAAGCTCGTCAGAAAGGCGTCACCATTCCTGCAAAGTGTCAACGCACACGATCCGGTGTTGAGTACGATTGCTTATGCTAGAGCGCTACGTTCGTCTGTTGGGATGCAATTAAATCTGCTCCTAAAAATTGCAGCCTAAGTGCTTTAGCTGGGTGAGCCAATGAATAATATTATTCCTTTAAATTAATTGAATTAATTCACAGCCTCTGTTAGCGCTTACACAGGATGACAGAAATTTGCGGCGTGGCTCGCACAGCTAGGTCCACATTGAATGCACATTAGTCGGGATACCCACCAGCATCTTCAGTTGACTGGCTTCAGCAGTTTTGATTGCGTCGCCAGATAGGTATTGTTGCCGAGGCACAACGGCACCGACATCAGGATTGGCGCAAGGAAATTGGCCGGAAGGGGGCCTGAGCTGGCAGCGAATTTGAAGTCGAGCCTGACAACATCCACGCATTGTCAATTCCTTTTGAAGGCATCGACCAGAAACTCTGGCATGCTTCAAACCCATCAGTACTTCGCATCCACGTCCGCCAATTAGATGTCACAAATGATTGTGCGGCAGCGCGGAAGCGGAAGGCCATCGTAACATCGGGCAGGCACACCCTTCTCCTGGATATGCGACTTCGAGGCATCCGTGAGACGTGCCAGGCCCGCCGCTCGCGTAGGGGTCCTCAACTTCGCCAATGCCTAATTGCCGCAGTGGGGCCCAGCTTAAACCCGCTTGACGGACAGCGACCGACCGATTGTGTCATCCCGAATCGTAGTGCGTTCGACCTGCGGCGGCGGGTACGGCCTTAGTCATGCATCCGCTCAGAGGAATCCGGTGACGGGCCGCTGGTCCTTTCCTCGACGTCGCTGGGGGCCGCCTCCGACAAAATAACCCCTGGCGCCAGGTCCGCCGGTTTGGACGCCCCGGGAGCCGGGGCGGGCGACGCGCAGCGCTGCCTGATCGCCGGGCGCGGGCGGCGCCGGAGAGGCGGAGGTGGCCCGCGGGCAACATCGGACCGATCTTTGAATCCCTTCCCGGCTGGAGTTGTGGGGAGGCGGAGGGCTTGCCCGGAAGGCGGGAGCGCATTAGGTGCGGCTCGATCCGGCGTCGCGCGAGAGGACGGCATGCGCGGCCCCCCTGTACGCTGACCTCGCCCGTTACGCGATGCTTCGCCTGACGAGGTCCGTGGAATGGCCCAAGTCGGGGCCGGGGGTGGGCCCTGGCCCTGTGCAGTGTGTGCCCCGGCCGGGGCCATGGCGCCGTCGGCGCCGGGAGATCGGCGCCAGTCCGCGGCGGGAGGCCGCCCGCCCGCCCTGGCAGTTGTTCCGCGCCTGCCGTTCCGGTGGCCGGCAGAGTTGGGTTGAAAGCCGCATTGCGTGAAAGGTGGAGGGCTCTGATGGCTCTGCCGAGGCGAAGGCCCAGGGTCGGCCCCCGTCCGTCCGCCCGTCGTTTCCTCGCGCTCGCTCGAGCGCTCGGCCGAAGGCCGGCCGCCCTCTCGCGCTGCGCGGGCCGCGCGGCAGCGCGACCGGCTCCTGAGGGGCCGTTGGAGGTGCAGGGTGACACACGGGTCAGGGCTCGTGCGCTGACGCCTGGCGCCCTGACACTCACGTTGCCTGCGTCCCTGTCAGTCGGGGGCCCCGTGCCAAGCCCAAAGCGACGAACTTGGCCCCAAATTAGACCGCGCACACCGCAGCGTCTGCCGCCTCTCTGACCCAACCGTGGTCAGGACCCCGGCCACCGAGGCAATACGCCCGCCGGCCGTGGCCAGCCGCAGGGCGGTCCTCATACGCTCGCCCTTGCCAATTCCGCTGTTCTCCGACATGCTGCGACCGTGTCCTTCGCGTTGGAAAGTTGCGACGGCCATGGCGTGTTGGTTCCCGTCGACGGGACCCCCCTGGCCCGTTGGTGATCGCCGGTTGTACGGCTGGCGTTGACGTAATTCGGCCAAATGGCGGTTTGTGGGAGCGTGCGGCGATCAGCGGCGCTCTATGTTTGGTCCCTTGCGATCGCTTGTGTGCTTCCGGCCCTGCCACCGTGGCAGCTCTGCAGAGGAAGCGGGGCAGGGGTGACCTCTCGTCGACGACTGGCGTGGCTCGCGATCACTGTGTCGCTTGCAAGACGCGACCGCGTGGGCGCCAGGAACGTTGCCGTCCTGCAACGTGCGACAACTGCCTGTGTGGTAACATCTCATGGCGTCGGCTTGGAGCCGCAGTGGGGCGTTTTCGGATCGTGGGACAGGCATTGCATTGTGTGCGGCGTCAGAGCTGCATAGAATGCATGGGAGAACTACTGGTTGCGAGATTGGAGCAAGTGGCTTCTGCATGCACTACTCGTCAACCATGTGATGTGGCAGTTGTTCGGCACAGGGGAGAATTACCTGCCCCATGCCATGCCGTAAGGGTCCACCATCAGTGCACATTCTGTGCGAGAGATGTTTACAGGAAGATTATATGCGACTGTGTTATGTGGACCTCCAGTATGCTCACAGTGGTGAGCCCTTGCAACAGACTCTGTCGTGTAGAAGGAGATATAGATACGCCCTGTGGGGCAGATGGAGTTCAACGAAGTACTCTCATGATCTGTGCCTTGGACACAGTTTGTCCGAACGTTGATCCGAAGCAGCGACAGGGCTCTGCATGTGGTTTGTGTTTTTCTTTCCCTGATCGTTCTGATCGACCAGTGCGCAAGCGTCACCTTCATGGCATAGAAAGCAGTGTCACGAATATGTTGGCAGATGAGGGGTTTGCCCATTGTTGTGCATGTCCTCCTTGTATTGCAAAGAGTCTCCTATCAATGCCTGAAGTGCCCTTCGTATTCAGGAAAGGACTGCATGCGAAGGCGCACGATCTTGTCATCAGTATGTCCCATGGCATGCAGCAGTACCCTCAGGGCGTGTGTCTTGAAGCCCCCCTTGTAACGTGAGATTGCCAGTTAGTGTTGGTTCCTTACAAGGGCAGCAGGCCGATCGCAGCAACCCAGGAGAACAATCGAGATGCCAGGTGGAGATGACCACCTAGTAATGGTGGAGATTGCCACCTGGCGGTGGTTCTTAGGATGATTGTGAGGCGAGCTGAAATGGTTGCCCATAGCTTGCACATGCAACCAGCAGATCATCAGAGATATAGGAGCTTATTGGTTGGGAATGTAAATACTATTTGCTGGTGCTATGATGGGCTGTGGTGCCAAACCCTGTAAGTTCTTGGTTTCCTCTGTGGTGACATACGTTTCAGTTCAACATCCTCGACTTGCTCGTCTCATAGCACTGTTGACCTGTACAACTTTGGAAAATGCAGGTAAGTGCCCTCCATATATTTGCGCACCATGTCCCTTGTGAAGTTGCATCTGTGATTCACCCCTGTTCTGTGAATAGAAACACAGGGTTGCTGGTGCCACATGTCTGCTATGTTAATGTTGACATCGGCTTCCCTTCACTGAGTGGCATGGCCTGTGTACAGGAGTGTCTGCCACTGAAGATACTGACAAAGGGTCACATGAAATCGAAGGTGAGCAATTCCTTCCAGCTTGAGTGTGCAGAGATGCCAGTTGCACATTCTGCACGCATGTTGTGGGCATTTGTATTTGAAGAAAGGGTGGCGTATGTTGCGCACAGTGCATGGCAGCCACACCAGATATTTTGGCTTGGTGTTGATGCCTGCTTCATGTGCACGGCGGCCGATTCTTGTGTATGGTGCAGAGCTAATATTGCCTCAGGACAGTTCAATGTCACAGGGAAGGCCCAGGCGAAACTTGTAGGGCAGGTGCAAAGGCAGATGATGCCTGAAGGAACGTCACCAGGAGCAGCTTGTGTTCACATCCACATACAAGACTTCCAAAGAAGACGTTGGATATTACATTATGGGTAGATGTATCTAAAATTGAAGCCTCTGAAAACGCAGTAATGCTACTATAATAACAAGAAATTCATTGTATTGGCAGTGGGTGCCAACCTTTATAAGCATGGCACACGGCGCAGCAAAGGCCAATCCAAGTGGTCCTTTCCACCTACAGCTTTGGTTCTCCCCCTCATTATTCCAGTTGCCCACTTGCACAAGGGAAAAGTGTTCCCGCAGCTCCCCCTTCCGCCAGTCCCTCCCTTTTCCCTGAAGAAACCCCTTCTCTTGCTTGCACGATGATGACATCGCGTTCGATGTGCCTGTCACCAATATGCTACTACCATTGTGTTCCTACCTCTGCCTTGCAGGCACTTCCAAATGGCCATGGGCTGCTCAATAATCGAACACTAGTTTTGTAGAACGAACAGTGCAGGGCATGCAGCCATCCTGCATGCGTTGTATTGGCATTGCAGGGCCAGGACGTTGCGGTATTTGCAAAAGCATGCAAAGTCCCTTGTACCCCAGTTCCGATTGACTAACAAAGTGCTTTGTTTTGTTGATAGGCCATTCTTTGCACAGGATGTGTACTGTACCTGGCGTTGGCTATGGTGCAGCCTGCCGTGTCTCAGGCCGACGGCGTGGGTGGTGGCCAGGCCATGACAGTGACAACCTGCCCTGAGCTACTCAACGCCCTGGACAACATGTCAGTAGATAGTGTGGTGGTGGAAGGGCACATCGTTTGCTCCGTTGGGGAGGAGGTTTTGGTTGATCGACGGGTGTCAGTGTCTGGACAACGCGATCAGGATGCTTATGATTCCATAGACTTCATGGGAGACAGCTGCATGATAAGGGTCACGGAGAAATCTTCGCTGGACTTCTCCAATCTGCTGCTCCTTGAGAACGGTCCAGAGGCGGGGTTGTTGTGCAGCGAAGTGCTGCCAAGTCCCACTGTTGCATTCAGGAATGTGTCATTTGGTATGAAGTCGTGTGAGTGGTTGAGTGACTCGTCACAGCAGGTGTGTCAGCTGCAAGAGGACGTGCTATATGCTGAAAACACGGAACTTGCAGGTTTGGACCTGGGATACAGCTACGATTTAGATATTGCCCATTGCACTTTCTTCTGTGGGGTGGCAACTGCTGAGGAGATCATCGACCAGAAAACTGACCTGCCTGTGACCTGTGAGTCAAGGACTCGCAAGCCTGGGACGTTGAACGCAACGGTTGTGGGATATGTGGTTGGCTTTGTCGTCCCTAGCCTTGTCGTGCTGGTGGGTGTGGTGGCTGTGCTCATAAAAACAGGGCGGCACAAACTGATTTGGAGGAAGCTGGACAAGTTCCGGGGGCCTGCTGGTGGCAACTCTTGGAACTCGTTCTTGGAGCTTGCAGACGCCAAGGGACATGCAGTAGGCAGTTCGCCAGGGTCGGCCACTTCTGCCACGCCTGTGCGCCTGTCACTGCCACAGAGGCGCAGCGATGCTGTCAGCAGCAGCAGCACCAGCAGCCACAACAGTGGCAGTGGCATTGATCTTGGCAGTGGTGGTGATGGTGGCAGTGGCAGCATCAGTGCCAGCCCCAAGGAGCCCCCACTGTGGCACTGTGTCAGTGTGCATGAGATCACCCTCAAGGAGCCAATGGGCAAGGGCCAGTTCAGTACGGTGTACAGGGGGGAATACAAGGGCACGTCGGTGGCTGTCAAGATGGTTGAGCATGAAGGGCGGCTACTGGACTGTGGGAAGGTTCCCCTGGAGGTCCAACTGACCAAGGACATCGCTCACCCCAACATCGTGTCACTGCTGCTGGACAGGACACAGAAGCGAAGTACGCACATCAGCGGGATGTTCACATCCACAGGCCTGGTTGATACTGGAATGTTTGGCAGCGGGGAGTCCATGCTTGGTCTGACGGCCGTGTCAAACACGACGCTTGGGGATGCTATGTCCATGACGGGTATGTCGCAGACAGCGATGTCCATTGGGGGCTTGTCCATCGGAGGCTTGTCCATGACTGGACTGTCACAGACGACGATGGGGGCCCAATCGGTGACGCCAACCATGACAGCGATGTCGCAGACAACACTGGGGGACGTGTTCAGCGAGATTGAAATGCGGCAGCAAGATGAGCGTGGGCGTGAGACAGGCGGGGAGTATGCAGCGTATACAACCTGGATTGTGATGGAGTACTGTGACAGGTAGGCAATGGTAATTGCGCTTATTGGATTCTCAGTCCAGTATTGCATTGGTTGAGACGAGATGATGAGGACGAGGCTCTTGCTGGGCATCAAACACACAATTGTGAAGTGCAATTTGGGAGGGCCATCACAGCAGGTACCTTCAAGGTTTCTAGTACTGTGCGTGTCTGGTAGACGTGCTGCTGCTTAATTCCCACTGTCCTTTCTTTGTGGTGCTATTTGCCATATCCTGGAGATAGAACGCTGAAAAAGCTGCTATGAAAGAAGTGTTGAGAATTGTGGAGGACCGCTTTGTCCCATACTGTGTGAGATTGCTAGCTCAGTCTGTTGATGAATGCAGGGCAACAAGATGCTGTTGATTGCTGGCTCATACATATTGTAAGAAACTTAAGCATGGCTGTCAGTTTGGAGTAATCTCGATCAGGGTGTCACTTATGCAGCGAACTGGCATTGATATGTCACCCAAAAGAGAAGTTGCTGTGCCTCTGGGATCAGCAGTTCCCACAGACACACATTCCACTTGTGACACTCTGATGATCCTGGGTTTGTGCTGCAGGGGTTCACTATCGAATGCACTGTACAAGCACATTTTCTGTCCCCCTGGGAAAGATGCCAAGCCAAACATGGCACACATCCTGTTGACGGCCATGGATGTCGCAGCAGCTATGCGTTATTTGCACATGAAGGGCATCATCCATGGTGATCTCAAGGCACAGAACTGCCTGCTGAAGACTGATCGCAGTGACACCCGTGGGTTTGTTTGCAAAGTGGGTGACTTTGGCTTCAGCAGGAAGATCGGCATGAACACACACATCGAGACGTTCACATGTGGCACCGTCAGCCACCAGCCACCAGAGCTCCTGCGAGATGGCATCCTCACACCGGCAGCTGACGTTTACTCCTTTGGGCTGCTGATGTGGCAGATGGTTATGGGCAAGGCACCATATGCAAACATGTAAGCAGGACAATGATGGAGGCTGATCTTGTCTGAAGGTCCCAGTACAGCTGCAGTTCAGGACCACGATGAGCTATTGTTGGTGTGTGCAGAGCAATATCTCTGATTTTGCCTGTGCTTTTGTGTTGGGAACATATAGTTGTTATTGTCAGATTCTGTAGTTGGCAGCCAGAGAGCTGAAATCGCTGTGGTGGGACATCTCCCCTTTGTCTTCAATATCCACACCAGTTCTCTTGTCTATTTGGTTGGGCAGAATATGCAGATTTGCAAAGAAATCAGCGTGAGTTGCCACGTTGCTGCCGTACCTGTTTGGGGACTGCATGGTTTCAGCAACAATACGAGTGGCACTTAGTTGACTTGAAGAACCCTGTTTGACTTGCAGGAACAACCAGAGGATTCTTGTGAGTGTTGTGGATGGTCGACGGCCTCCCCTCCCAGAGAACTGTCCCCTCAGCTACAACCTCCTGATGACAGACTGCTGGCAAGAGAACCACAGGGAGCGACCAGGCTTCGAGCAAATCTTGGATCGCCTAGGTGATATACTCAGTGCATGGAGTCCCGAGGACCACAAGTCCACTTCCGAGTCACCTGAGGCCCTTGCTGTGGACTCTGGCGCGGAGAGCTTCAGGCTCCCTGTTCCTCGACCCACAGGACCTTGGAACTATGACATGGATCGCAGGGGAGCTGTCTCCCCAGACGGTAAATATTTGGGAGGTTCATGTGTGCAACTTGTGCAGCTGTCAATGTTGATGTCGATCGCGTAACTTGCTGTTGTTGTCAACTGCCATGACATCTGCTGCCACTGTATGCACCACCATTGCCCACACCAGCGTTCTAAGCAGCAGTCCCTGGGGACATTCACGATGTGGTAGCGGTGGCACACAGCGGATGTCGCCTGTAGCCTGTAGCCCGTCGCACAGTAAGCTATGTCTGCTAATGTATGCATGTGTGTACGTATGTACAGGATTGTGTAGCATTTCGCAGCTGAGCATATACCCTGACTCGGCGCTGACATCTCTCAACTATTGCATTGCCAGGAAGTTGAAATCAGGCCACTGCCAGCTCGCTTTGAACTCTTGAGAATGAGTGCACATGTTCAATTGAACATGGTGAAGACCAGTCGTGGATCCAGTTTCAAATCCAGTGATCCGGTTGTGAATCGAATTATGTTATGAACCATGTCATGATTCGATATGCCAAGGCGTATTCTGCTGAGAGCATTGTTGACGAGAGCAGGTCTTGCTCTATTTGCAGGGCTGATTTGGAACCCAACGTCTCCGAGCAAGGGCAAGGGGATAGCAGCGACACCTGTCTTTCCCCCCTCACAGGGTGGCCCGAGACCAGTCCAGCCGATGAGCCCAGGAAGCCTCCTTCAACGCTTCGATGGCTACAACCCGCTGTACCTGTCATCTTCAGACGTCAAGATGCCGGATCCGAACGCCGAAACGCCTACAAAGAGTGATTGCATAGTGGGCTCCTTAAAGCAGCCTCAGGCACTGACAAAGACCACCAGTGAGGCCATGCCTGTTGGTGCAGAACAGAAAGGATCCAAGTATGGGACGTTCATATTCACCACGCCACGGTCGTGAGTGTTGCCAGGCAGCTGTGTTGGTGAAGTTTTCAGCCCCTGCGCCTGCTGACGAGTTGCAGAAGCTTGGGTTGCAGTGCAGGGAACCAATGACTTGACACTTCTTTGGGCCCTGTCTGGATTGTGTGCGTGGCGTCACAATGTGGACGCTGTCCGACTCCGATGGGTATGAGGAGATGGCAGCCGTCGAATTGTCTTCACACAGAAGTCTTGACACATGCATACAGCATGAGATGCAGCCTGCCAGACAGGGAGAGCCAGCAGAGGATGCTGGCCCTGACTAATGTGCGCTTGGTCCAATCTGGACACGCCCGCACGGTTGCATTGAGAACGATGTTGGGAAATCATTTGAAGCCATGCCCACCATGGTACGGGCACTGGAAGATGGGCACACACGCTCAGAGGCTTGTGCTCCACCTTGGCCTGGGGGCCAGGGACTCGCTCTCATCCTTCGCGCCCTGCACAACAGGATCAGAATGGTTGTGCGTGGTGGGATGCCTATTGCACCGAATACAACTGACCATTGGGCATGGGGTAGACAGGCTGGTTGTGATGACTCTCTTCTTGTAAGTGGCAGCTGAGGTAGGCAATTTGTATGTCAATAAAGGCCACCTCGACCCTGGGCCACCTGGCGTGGCAAGTTGTGATGATTTGGGGTCCATCCTGCGGGAGGTGCCGATATCACCCTGTGTGCAGCGCGAAAATGCCAGGCTGTGCGAGGCGAACTTAGGGTAGGGGGGCAGGTCATAAACTAGCATTGCACGGGCCAAGCATATCGGCTCGCTTTAGGACCCAGAATGGCCGTATCATTAAGGGATAGGTGAGCTTCGCGCGTCCGGGAGTTGGCGGAATGTGGCTGGGGTGTAAAAGGGACTAGGTCCGAGTTGTACCTGGACGCTTTGCCCTTTTATAATGTTTTGTCAATCGGAGGACGGCTTGGCATGGCTCACTGACTGTTCCCTTGACAAGTCTGACGTTTTCCCATGAGCGCCATTCGCTTGGACAGCGCGGAGAATTCACCAGCACCTCTTCGCGCTCCAGAGAGACGGGCCATTCACCATCCATGAGAGTGCCCCGCCATCTGTTGGGCAGCATCACCGACAGCACCCGCATACGCATGCAGCAACCCCGGCCAATTTCCCAAACGCGAGTGCCCGGGATTCGGCCCAAGGGGCCCAACGCATTGCTGCAGAGATTCAGAGCGCCAGGGGCCCAGTAAGAGTCATCATGGGGACGGCCCTGAACTCACGACGAAGGCGGTGCCGGCCCGTCCCCCGTGGCTCGCACCTCCACGCCGCAAGGGGTCATGACATCCATCTCCCCGCCAACCGATCTCAGGTCCAACTTGCCGTCCAATTTCGACATGAGGCGCTCGGCGTACTTCTGGATCTGGGCATCCGGGCTGTGCCTGAGCTTGAGGATGAGGGTGCCCGGCGTGTGCATGAGCACCACCGGGTGGCACTCCCTGTTGGCGCAGATGTTGCCAAGCGAGAACAGGGCCACGCGGACGGGCGACCCCTGGCCGCACTGGTCCTGCGTGCTGGCGATCAGGTCCAGCAGCGCCGGTATGGAGTCCGCTGCCACGACCTCCTTGCACAGGAGCGGGGAGTTGCGAACCAGGTTGCCGACGGCACCGGCGGCGTTGGCCCTCGTCTTGTTGTCGGGCTCGTTGCGGATGAGGCCAACGAGCGCCGGGATGGCGGGCCGCAGCTCGTCGTACAGGACCTGCGCAGCGCTGGACGTTCACCGCCTGGCACAGACTGTGAGCGCATCCTCTCAACGCACGGGACCTCATGTAACCAGCGCTGCCCCGAAGCCGCAGCTAGGCATCCTAGGCGCTAGGTTCCTCACTTCACAAGGTTCGAACGCGGGCAATTGCGAGGAGCAAGACCAACTTTGGGCATTGTTTGTGCCCATTTCTGCATTCGGTTCTGTATTGATGACGGCTTTTTGCCCCACGGAATTGCGTTTCAGACCACAGTCAGCCTGACGATGCCCACGGGGGCGGCGAAGCACAGGGCATACAATTACTGGCTGCACCAAATCGGTGTCTTTCTGCACTAAATCGGTGACTGCTTGCACCAAATCCATCCAAGACTAACCTAACCTAAACCCCAAAACCTAAAACGTAAAACCTAAACCTGAAACCAAACCCTAAAACCGAAACCGAAACCTACCCCAACCCTCATTCTAACCCTAAAACTCACCCTAAACCTAAAGGTAAACCTAAAACTGAGGTTAGGACATAGTGGGCACGTGACTTAGTGCAGGCAGGCACCGATTTGGTGCAGGCAGTAATATTATTTCGAAGCACAGTGCGCCTTCATGACGGGGACCTGATCCTTCGAATTCCGGCAGACTGGTCACCTGGTTATGGAAGCCAGCGTTGCCGATCGCAAAACACGCAAACTTTCGCGTCGGGGTGTCGGGATCTGAGCACCGCTCTATGAGCAAGGGCACCATTTGGTGGGATTTCAGGGCGGCGTAGAAGAAGCCCGAGTGGCGGCAGAGGTTGCCGATCAGGTTGCACGTGCGAGCCCGAACGTTGCCATTGACGTGCGTCAGGAGGGGCTTCAGCAGCCCCAGGACTCCGGCCTTGGCGATGGCCTCATAGTAGTCGCGGTTCACGCGAGACAGCTGGCTGACGATCAGCAGGGTGTCCACCAGGATTTGACATGGCGTGCCGACACTCAGCAGCTTCTGCGCAGGCAAGATTAACCCACAGTTCAGCGCCCCTGACGCCACGCTCATTTTCTGAAAATCCCGCCATGTTAGTACTTTTCGGTGACGAAATTTATTTTGCAATTTAATAGTACTGTCATCAGCACTTTCTAAGGCAGGTGAGAGCCACATGAGCGTTTTTAGCGCGGTGGTTCCACAGCAAGACAAGGCCCAATCTCTGGCGACGTCGGCGGCGACGACAACGCGATCCCTAGCAACGTCTCCGAAAGGAGTTGGGAAGACGGCTGGGGGTCCGCAGCGCCGGCGTCGCCCGAGGTTGGGACTCTAGAGGCCACAGCAGTAGCGCGTCAGCGTGGAGGCCTGGCGCCTCTGCCACAAATAGACGGCTTTGGCTCAAATGGGAAGCGATCTGCACGTGAATGGATAAAGTCACCTCTGCTGCAGGGGCCCCTACTCACAGGCCTAACTCATTGGGCTCTGGAGGTTTTCTCAATGTCGAGGGGTTCTGCAGGTTTTGTTAGCGATTGGCTACTGGAATCAATCTCCAGAAGGAGGTGTCTCGGCGCCTGAGCACCTCCCTGAGGGAGAAACAGACGAGTCTTGTCAATATTCTCAGAATATTTGCCAGCGTTGCCGTCACTGACAGTGTGTAAACTGCGCTCAGCCCACGAACGTCTGTTCTTTGCTCATGCTATACGTCCGTATATGCAGCGTGGTTCCCTCAAATTTCCTGCCACAACGGAGCTGCTACGCAGCCCGAAGGAAGGTTTGGGTCTGCGCTTCTCTGCATGATCTACGCGGATTGCTTCAGATATTCCTCCTACTGTAAGTTCACTGTGCAGTCCTCCGCAGTCTGTGTGATGTGCGGGGCGAGACAGCCACGCATCTCTGGGGTGCTCGAATGCCGACCGCCACTTCAATCAGCGCCCCTAACGTGGGAGTTGAACGACTGGCATCGGTGCCACTCTCCGCCACGGTGGCTGTGTCTGCGCAAGGCATGCGCTTACAGCACCCAATGCATTCCTTTAAAGCGAGTTGCTCCAATGTATGGAGCACATTTTTGGTTCCCAGAAGCACCTCAACGCGCAAACAGCACGCACTGGTCTCCAAATCCCTCCGCACCTTCATCAAGCCCGCCTCCAGTCCCCCAGCGGAGACAAAGGCCACCGCCTGGCTGTTGTCGCCGAGCACCAGGCGCGAAACGAGGAACACAGGGCCGCCCCAGTCCTCGGTGTTGATCATGTCCAGGGCTCCCAGCAGCGCCTTCATGCCACCCTCCTCCTTCATCACGCGGCTCAGCGCGGACGCCGTCGCGGGGACGGCCGCAGCGCCTGGGGTGGGAACGTGTTGCTGCAGGAAGCCGCAGATCCGCGACGCCAATTTTGCGACGCCCTGCCTACCACCGCCTGTGCGGAGGCAGCGTTGCAGAGTCACGGCTCGTGAGCAGCGCCAACAATGAATTGAATTGATCCATTCATCTCATATGGTGATCGCCGTGTGAGGCTGATAAAATGCGTCACCTTGCAAGCAAGTGCATGTGCACGACGGAGACAGGAGCTCTGCGCTGCTGTATGGGCTTGGGAGGTGAGGGTTCGGATGCGATCACTAATCGATGGTGAGTTTGGCTGCAATGGCGAAGATCTGTTTGCGGTAAAGTGAAGTAAGAGGCAGCAGTGGATAAAGCAGAGGGTGCTCTTAAATCCGCTTATCACTAGGAAAAAAAGGGCCAAATAACACGTGTTCAAACGTGTACAAAGTTTACGGGTTTGTGTTATTGTTGTGTTCTTAGCGTGCAGAACTTTGATGAAGTTTGCTTTATGTGTGTTCGGAAAAGTGTTATTTGGCCCTTTTTTTCCTAGTGTATTTGCCGCTGTACTTGCTGGCGAGAGCGCTTAATGCGACAAAATATACAAAGGTGAGTGAATCGAGCCGAACGCGGCCGGTTGCGACACGGTCAAAGGGATATCGTGAAATTGAAATGCCGTCCTCACGGCGGCACTGGGTGGTGCGTGTGCATGGTTGGCTGTTGGGTCTGTCAGAGTGGTACAAGCCGGTACTGCAAGTGCTGTGTCTTGCACCGTTTCTTTCCAAAAGGAGGGTTGTTGCGTGCCTGGATGAGTCACCGTGATGATCGAAGATGGGACAATGTTGCGATGAATATCTTGTCACACGTGTGCTTCGGCCATGTACACCAGATGGACGACACGCATCCCTAGAACCTCCTATACACCTTCTCGCACTCTGTGCTCTGTGTACTTGCTAGTCTTCTGGATTTGCCCTTGGCAGGCAGTGGTGAAACTTCATGCCGTCTGGTGGTGGGGAGCAGGTTGTATCTATAGATATTGTTGTGCCGACGACATTCAGGCTGCCCAAATCGCAGTTTGACATGCTCATTGCAGGGCTTCTGATATGATGACATGAAAGCGCGGCCACGACAACCTCCCGATGGATTCGCCTGCCATAATCGCGAATGACCAAAACCGGAGCCAGGGATTCCAGCATTGGATTCGTTATCGACTAAACGGTGGCCGTGTTTACGATGTGCCAGATTTTGCACAGGGTTACTTGTACCCTACCGTACTGAATATGTGTGGGATTAGGCTGGTCGGTGTTTTGAGATGCAACCCACGCAGAAGATTCATAGTTCGTTGATCAGCAGATATGCGTCACCATTTATATGGATGCAGCGATTTCGTTAGTTTCATTTCTTTCTTCGCCTTAATGTCTGTATTAATTTATTTGTTCACGTGTGGCGCAGAAGGCTGGATTGAATTTTAAATTCAATGCATGTATAAATTATTCAATTGAATGTTGGTAAAGCAGCCTTCCAATTGTTTCCATGCACGACGTCGATTCGAAGTGCGAGGCCACTGTCTTGCCCTGCAACGGCAAATGCAATGATGGGAATTTATGCAATTTAATGGCGGAAAGTGACACTGACTTATCACTCACCGAGAGTGGCCGGCCACGCGACCAGTGCCATTAAATGAGATTCATGCAGCAGATGCAGAATACTCTCGAATACCGAAGACGCCGTCCGCGCTTCCTGGTCGTTCCCCTGAAGCCAAAAGTCCATTAAGCCAGAGATGAGTGGATTTATGTTGCCTCGGCAACTTCAGGTCAACTCCGGCAATAGGGATGTTGAAAAGGTTCTTGATTGGGATAGAATGGTGTGGATGTTTCCGCCCCGGAGAATAGCCGACAATGGCTCACCCAATCATCAGGAATGTCATTGGTTGCTGCGATGCTCCTCGAGGCAAAATCATTGATTCCCCCGCATATGCTCGTCTACGGCTCACCATGCATACCACCCTACATTTTCAGTGTTTAGAGAAATCTACAGCTGTTTAAGCAGCAATACTTGCGCGTAAACTATGGAGCGTTCCATGGAATGCGTTTGCAACGCATGGCACAAGACGTAGTGCCCCTTTGGTTGGCCACTGTTGCTGGTCGTTACTTACCTTGCTCATGGGCACGGCGAGCCTAAACAGGGCATCCATAGCGTGCTGCAACCCAGAGGGAGAGACTTCCAACGTGGGATTTTCCCTGTCTGGTGCGAGCATGCCGGCAATGCAGCTGAGCATGCCTTCGTGGAAGAAAATGTGGGCCACTGCTGGCCACTGCGCCTCGAAATGGTCGATTTCCAACACACAAGTAAGGGTGGCCAGGATGCACAGGACGCCATCGCAGATGCCAGTCCTGCAGAATTTCGGATGAAGCTTTATACGGCGGAAATTCTGAATTCAGATCCTGCAGAGATTTTCGCTGCCGCAATCGTCGTCGCTGATGTCAAAAAAATCAATGTCATGAGTTGCAACTGCAGCAAAAAAATGCGTCAGGGATGGGCAGCGGATTAAGCAACGGCGTGTGCTTGGGTGCATACGAGTGGGCATGAGAGAACGACGCAGGAGAAGATTGGGGTTCAATATCACGTGGTCCATTTGAACTATTTCCTTTGTGCAGATATCCGATCATCCGGAGCTCTCCAGGAGAGCTCCGGATGATCGGCTACCTGCACAAAGGAAATAGTCATGCTATTTTCTTCGCAATGAAATTTGCTCGTCACGAATGCATGAATGACTCTTTTTTTGGGCAATGCAGCAGCGTTTTTACATTTCCATCGTGTAGAATAAGCGAAGGCACATGAGCATCTGCAGATGAAACGGGTGCGAGAATTAGTGCTCGGTAGCTTTTTTTTGTGGCACCCACGCTGACCGCAAGAATTCCATTCCCGCACTTGACATTGCAAGGTGGTCCGTGCCACACAGAATAAGTTGCGTCACGGATCGTCTAATTCTGGTCTATATATACAGACATGTTAATATATGTCAATTGCTGAAATCAAATCCTCAGAAAGTATTTGACACCACGAGACAAGGACTGCTTTGTTCCTGCGGCACAGGTGGCGAAACGCCCTTAAAAAAGCAACCGGCAGTGCACAATTAGCAGGAAGAAGTTCTTTATATTTCACGGCGCTTACATACAGACAGACATATGGGGAAAGTCCCATTTCCTTGACATGTGATGGGAGATAGAGGCTCCCCATATCCTGGATATCGAATATGACATTGGAGGTGTGTCCTGGGTGTGCTTATCGTGGATATGGACGCTCCGTATCCAGGATATGGGCGCCCATAGCTTGGGATACGGCCAGGATATGGGAGAGTGCATGGCCATGTCTCTGGATCCGCAATATTTTTGTCCGACGGATTCTGAATGAAACGGGACACATTTCTTGCCGGTGCAAGTCCATGCTCAGGGCTGAGTCCTCCCGTTGTCTAGAGTGCGACTTCCTTCAATGCCAAGTCTCCCAAGTGAATACTGCCAGAGTGGCGATGCGTTGCTTAAACCACCATTCGATGATAAACCACACACTTTGGTAAGCATCTTCGTGTGGCTGCGCGCGATGCCACACTCAGTCCTCATGACAACCCATAAAACCACTTGACGCAAGAAAATTCATGCGTTGAATACTGGCTATTTAGCGCATCAAGCAAAATGGCACATAACTTGCAGTATTTTACCGCTTCTTTCTATTACATGCAGTGTCCATGTACGTCCGAAATTCGCACTTTGTCGGCTTTAAGCGTGTTTTTATCTCCACCACAGGCAGGGAGCTTGTTCTGAATATACCTGCATGGGACGCCTTCTACTGCCTCCATTTTCGGAACCGAATGTCCAGATCCTAGGGCAAAAATATTGCGCAGCGCCGCCAGCGGTACCTGAACAGCACATGCCGTTGGCGCAGGGCATTCAGGCGGGAGTGCCACTACAGCTGTGCTCAAGAATGCGAAAGGAACAGCCAATGTATTCAATATTTTGCCATGATGGCTTCACCACAGTCGTGACCAATGTTGCGCCTCATGGCTGCGACAACACGGCAACACACGCTTCCCCGGTTTAAAGCAGTCACGCGTAATCAATTCGCCATTTTCTGTGGAGGCTGGAGCAAACATCAGCAGAAAAGGTGCGCTTTCGATACCAGACACGAATTGTTACACTTGATAGACGAGAACTCCGCCCACGAGTTGCTAAAGAGCATTGGGAAGGAAACGCGGGGGGGCCCACTGCAAACAACATTGCTACTCGCCTTGTGGTGGTGGGATTTTAAAAATAAAAACAAATTGCGCTTGTCCACAAAGTGCCCATAAAATACCTCCGAACATTGAGAACGTTTCCGCAAAAATAATGCATGCCCTCAATTGAATTTTGTATGTCTCGTGCATGCAAGGATGCCCAGTGGTCACATTGCACAATGTGTGTGACTCATGAAGATCAACATCATGGCGCAAGCGTTCCGACGGTGAGAAGGCACACCTGACCTCAGTGAAGAGCTCCATGAAAGGCAGTACGACATCTTTGGAGGCGTCCATCCTTCGGGCAGCTCCGGTATTGGGAGATGACCATCGCTCGAGAATCGCGTTGATCGTGCATCGAAGATATGCAGATATGGCTACGCAGGCGGCACAGGCGAGCTGGGGGTCGTTACGCACGGACGAGTGCAAAAGGGAAAGCAGGGATTTGATAACTTCGCACGCCGGGCCGACTTTCCATCCTGGAGCGAGGTCAACACCAGACAACTGGCATCAGGAATCGTCTACTAAAGAAGAACTGCCCATTTTGCAGAATGCATGTCTGCCTGTCAAACTGATAGAGATCGTGTGCTCTCCCATGGCTTGAGTGCAATCAAATAATCAAGCTCCATTGCAATTTCCACATTCATGTGAGCAAGCAAAAGCACTGAATGCATGGATTATTGATTTCAAACCATGCCATTCTGTATTGGGCGGTAGTGAATTGTTCAAAATTATGCACCCGCGGTTTCAAACGAGTCAATATGGCCACTACATGTAGTCTGGAGTCCCAAGAGGTTCTCCGCTCGTTGTAACCAGAGCGCCGCAATTTGATAATTCCATGAACATGTTGAAACTGATTCGGAGAATTGCACACTTTAACGTCAATTTTAGCGGTTCAATATGTAGGAATTGATCATTGGAAATGAGAATTGCATTTATTCCCAGTTAATCAAAGGCCATCGCCCCTTCGCGGCCCAGCAACAAGCATCTTCTGAGAGTGAGGCCACGTCCTCCAATGTGCTGAAAATATTCAACAGAAGACGGCTGCAGTCTGAGCTGCAATGTCTGTCCGTGCCTGTACCTAAAACCGTGGATGGGCCTGAGTGGACGGTGGTGACAACGGTCGCCAGAGTGAGGAGTGCCGAGGCTCCCTTCGGAGAATCCTTGAAGTCAAGGAGAATCTCTGGGCATTTGGCTTTTACCGCTTTGTCGCACAAGGCGTCGCATGATCTTGTACAATGCAGAAGAATCTGTGCACACGAGCATTCTCGTACTTTAGAAAATTTCCGAATATTTAATATCTTTCCGAAAGTGGTCGGCGCTGGCCAACTTTTTAAGCACAGAAACAGTTCTTACACGGCTGATGACTGGGCGCGAAGGAAGTTCTAACAACGTGCACCCACTGGCTGGATCTCACGTCCGCAGTGATGGCCAAATATGTCTCGTCCTTTGTTTGAACATTACGGCTGCCACCAAAGTTGGTAGCAACCACAATATTTGAACAAGCACGAACCACGTTGAGATGCGGAAACTGAAGTTCAAATTGTTGGCTTAATGACGTAATGTGTCGTTTCTCCCTTCCTTTCAGAAACATGTCCTCTTCTGGTAGTCTAAAATTTGGGAGCCGCATGATGCCGAAATTGGTACGCTCGACGTCAAATTGACATTGAGGCAGTAAGGCTCCAGATTCGAGATGTTAAGCAATGAGAAAACTGCCAAAACTTACATAATATTACATAATACAAGATGCCTAAGCGCCGCTGATAAGTTGAAAACAATGCAGGCCTTGTACGTCACACTCCTTCAAGCGGTCAGTGTCCAAGTCAGCTTCCAAACTGTCGACCTCCAGGGATTCCCCACTCAGCTCTTTTCAAGCATGCAATTCCCAACCCTCTATTATCGCAGCAACGCCTGTTCTCTGCATTACCTGAGAATTGCTACGAGCGAAGGTGGTGTCGGTAATGGATTTTGAGCTCCTGGCATCACGTCCTTACCATCGCTCGTCGAGTGAATGTCCGACTTTTTACTACATTCTGTGCTCCCTTCGGGGTGTGGGGTGGGGGCGGGCGGCACGTACTTCATTCTATAGAAAAGTACCGCGTGTTGGCGATCCCAATCTGAGTGTAAGTATTTCGAACAGTCCAAGTTTCTTGCATGCAAATGGGTGCAATGGTGTACAGCGTTTCGGCAACTGTCTTGCTTTCCACCACCTGGATGTAAGCAGAAGATAGGTCAGTTGTGCGCAGGCGAATACTGGCCTCGCAGTACAGAAAAAGGTCCCCTTGCACAATCAGTTTGAGAAATGCGCCACTGGAACACGCGGTCCGTCCCAGCGTCTGGCAGTTGATCATCACCTGCATTGCGGACTCATCCATGCCTTGCACTTCCATCTCAAGACAGTCCCGAACGGCACCCAAGGCTCCCTCACAGTCAACCAGCGCCTGGCCGACTGCAGCGCGCACGGCCTCGCCCGCGGGATGGCCCATTCCGGACTCCGATGTTCTCACGCGCCCCGCCACGTACTGAGCGAAGGGAAAGTGTTCGGAGATGCTGCGAGAGGAGTTCTGGCCAGGGGCGCAGTGCACCATGCTGGCCAGCAGACGGAGAGCGCTCGCCAAAATCCTGCTGCGATCTACCCATTAACCGGAAATTCAGTTACGAATTAACTGTCTTCAAGCGCGCGAACGTCTTTTGATGTGTTCCGATGTGTGTTTTATTCGCGTGCCATGCGCGCATTGCCTGCGCGGACATCTCTGTGCCAAAAGGAAAACACCTCGAAGTTCACAAACTGATTGTCACCAACAAGAGCCAGTGAAATTTGTCATGATTGCTCATCGCCAGATGCTCCAGGGCATGCGGTCTCCCGTTTTCAATCAACATCTGCATTGAAAAGTATCAGCAAGTCGATACCGTTCGAGCATTTCCTATGCCTACACTGCAACAAGACTGCGCCGTGCGCCGTTGCGCACAAGGCAATTTCGATGCTGCTCAGAGCGCGTCCTGGTCCAATGACCACCTAAGGAAGCAAATCTCCACAACAGAATGAAGGAAGAAAACATAAAGCACGCCGTTCAAGGACAAAAAGTGCTTTGGATGCACATGTCTGTGTTGAAAAATATATTGCCGACAGCATGAGATCCACAACCAGTGAGGCCCAGCGCTATCTGTCCTGACTTATGAAGACAGCAGAAGTTGGTTGCGCTGCATACTTGCTGTCCAATAGTTCCGCCGGAAATAAATCCGCGTGCCTCACCTTCGACACGCTCAGTCGACTTCTCCAGCCAGAAACACACCCGATCCGGGACCCCCGCGTCAACGACATACTTCATTAACTCCTCCGCCTTCCTCAGTGCAGGGCCCCTCATGGAACCGCACACGGCGGTCTGGGAGCGCTGCATAGCGTCGCTCAGTGTGCCCATCGCCGCGGCGGCAACTTCGCTGGAGCCGGGAACGGATGGACTGATATTCAGGAGGTCCCAGCACAGCTTCGGCGTTTCCGAGTGCGTGATGAATGTGTAGCTGTTTGCAGCTTTCTGCCTCGCTGCTCCTGTTAATAGTACTGCGCGTCATTGAGTTCGCCAGCTTGCGAGTTGTCAAGTCGATTTGGAAATGCGGTGCCTGTTTCAAAAAGCGACAGGGCGCAGATCGCCTCGCGGTTGCACCCGAGCCGAAGGTTCGAGCATGGGCGCACGACCTTTGGGGCGATACGCGCTCTTCAGGGTCGGGTGGCTCTAATTCAGGGGTGCGGGGATCCCCTGGATTGCGCATCCAGCTTCTGAAGGAAATGCATTGAAATTGTCGATATGCCTTCATCAAGATCGTATGGGATCCTGAAACAATTACCTTTATGAATGATTGCCATATCATTGCAGCCTTTTGCGCACCAGTACCTGGTCTAGTGAAAGTTTGCGAAGGGCAAAATGTGTTGAAACGGCTTTCAGTACTCAAATGAGAATCCCATGAACTAAACTGCCATTTGCCAATTGCTCACCCGCCTCCGCTTGCCTGATGGCTTGAAGGACAGCGAGAGTCGTTTCGATTGCCTGTGGATCTACTTGCAGACTCTGTCGTGCAATGTCGGCAATTGCGCAGCCCAATCGATCCGATTCCGGAGTTTCCTTCCGGAATTGCAGCAGTCTGCCAGCCACCTTCAGCAGCCTTCGCAGATCCGAGGAGCGGATCCACCGGAGTCTTGGAGACTCGGTGGCAGGAGCTTGAAGATGCGACATTATCATTCTAACACCGCACTCGTCGTCCCACAGACCTGATGAGGAAAACGTAGCCAACCTAAACTCAGGGTCGGATGCCATCAAAAAGGCATTGGAAGAGGGAGTAGAGCTGCACCGACAGCTGGGAGCGGGTTGTGCATTCCGCCGGTAACGCAGATGGCGGCCTCTGCAAGCGCGCATCCATATGATGCATTGCTCGCACAAGGAAGGTTGGCACAGGGGCGACAGCCTTTCTGACTGCAATTCAGAGAACAGGGCAATTTCGGGCGCTGCGCCTGACAGGAGACGATGGTAATGTGGCTGAGAAGATGGGAGACAGTGAAGAACTGACAAGGGCGAGAATTCTGGGCCAAATCTCACCCATGCACCCTTCAGGTGTAGCGGCACTGGCTTCCAGGCTTGGCAACAAGCTCCCCAGATTTCGGAGCTCTTCTTCATGGCGTTGTTCACTCGATGTGCACGAATTATTGATGTGACGTGTTTCTCCCTCCTCGGGCCTTTGGTTCATGCCGTTTGCGGACCTCTCCGATGCCGCAGGCGACACCTCCAGGGCTCCGTGAGCTGCTCCCGGGGGTTGGCGCTCCGCCGCATCGCCATGGGTAGACCGCCCCGATGTCGGTGAGGCAAGGCACGAGGGTGCTAAAGAACAGCATTTTCAATGAGGGAAAACGACTTTCAGACGATCGTGATATTGGAATTGCATTCAAATGATTTGTACACCTTTGCACAATACGAGGACATCGCGTCCATTGCCGCTGAATACCTGATCACCAAGTTGCACCGGCAAGAAGTAAATAGGTGCATTGGTTTATGGGGGCGTACATCCTGTGTTGTTGATGTGACGTGGCTGTGTTTTGCATTTGAGAACATTGTTCATTCCAAGCATTTCCGGTTCCGTGGAGTCTGGACAAACCATCAATAATTACTCTGAGGGAGTAATGCACCGCCTAGACAGTGTGAAATCGACTCCATAGTAACATTAAATGAGTTGGCGATGAATATGAGCAAGCCCATATTGCATTTGGGCCTACATCCAAGCAGGCAATCCGCATCCTCCATTCATACCACATCTTCGGGAGTTCTTCAGAAACACACCAAACATAATCACCCACCAGTCACGCTTTGAGGGCTCCTGGGGCTCCGAGAATGAGATGCGCCTCCTGAGCCGTTAGAGACTGCGGGGGTCAAGTCCCTTCGATTGGTACCTGATTCGCCCTCTCTGGGAAGTCCGGTGAAGGGGTTCCGTCTTGGTGCTGCTCCTGCAGAGCGACCGAAGACGGGTGTATGCGCTGCTCGAGGCTCTGGTGTGGCTGGCGTGGGAGGGCTGGTGCAGTGGGAACGGGCGGCCGCAGCCTGTGCCGCACCAGCAATTGCTCCATCTTCTCCCTGTGTTCGACAGCATCAAGGGCCCTGTTTTGCTGAGAAAATAGACCTCAGCGGCAGAGATCTCGGGCAAAAGTTATCTGCATTGGACGCTGAGTCCGGGAGAAATTTAAGCACGTGCATTAAAAGCGTGGCCCTTGTACGCCGCTCTCGTCTTCACCAGCAACTCAAATTTTCCGAAAGTGTTACGACGATTATGTCGGGGTACTCAAAACGTGTTTTTAAAAACGGTGACTTCATCAGGGAAGCTTGCAAGGTTATGACATGTTCATGTCCGTTGGTTAAGCATTTTAAGTCCTTGGGAAACAAAAACCTGCTCCATTTGCACTGCATTCTTGTCTGCAGCTGCAATCGCCCATTGCCTTGAAGCCAACGTTGACATGGTGACATTTCTAAGGCTGAGGAGTTTGTCCGTCGAGCGTACTTTTTGGTGAAGCCTTGGCGAATGTCCTAGTTGCACGGCTTGCAATTGCCGCTGCCGCGCTCGAGCTCTAAACCGTTGACGTGATAATTTGTGAGTGCCAGAGACGCAAATCCATATTTTTACGCACAACATACCTTCCCACGATTCAATCAGGCTGCAAACTGGTACTTTAACTTTCTTGTTACAAGTTCTGACAGAAATTATCAACTGTCGCTGCACTGGTGAGGTCTGACTTGCGTGTAGTCAGCCCTCAATCCTGTATATCTGTTATGCGTGTGTTGGCAGCGCGCTTAGCGCAAATAGAATACTATCAGGTCAGATAATGCGGTTCCAGTAGCATCCGCAGTGCAATTCGGTTCAGGAACATCAGCTCAATTTGCGATGTTGTATGCTCTTCCTGCGGGGCGAGCGAGCCAATCCATCGTCGGAAATTCCACCCTCAAGCGGACCGGCGTCCGACATGTCGGTGCATGTCCACGCGCTTCCCACAGCGGGCAATGGTGATAAGCCCGTCGCTTCCTTCGTCAACGGCGTGCTACTCGTGTTTGAATGTGAGCAAAGCGGAGCTGCCATTAGTGTCGCCCGCATTAAAGCACTTGCTACTAATTCGACATTTGGTACCAAGGATATCGCGAATTCGCTGGGAGCCGTCGCCATAATCGCAGATGGTGGGTGAACGTGCAATTTTTTTTGCTGATTTCAACTGGCGTTAACTGCTTGTGAACAGGCTTGCCCTGGTGCCAAAGAGGTGCGTGACAGGCAACAAGCTCGTAGTTACAGCTAATTTGCATCCATGTTGAGACCATGTTAATAGGCTCAATTCGTGCACCAGCAGTGTTGTGTTGATTGCAACAGGACTGGATCACGTGCTTCAGCACTTTTCCCATGCTTCAATGCTAAGCATTGGGTGATTACGCAATCTCTTGGCGACGTCTGGGGGCCATTTTCCACCAGTTCATGGCACTCGCCTTCCACGCACGGACCCCTTCCGTGTCACTCATGGCGTCCGCCAGCGCCTTCTCCCGCTTAAGCTTCTCTGTCTGCGTCTCCGCCACGAATGGGTGGCTCAGCAGCTTGGGCCATCCCAGCCTGTCCGAGGGCTTCTTTTGCAACAGGCCCTTCAGGAACGACTTGAACTCGGGTGATATGTTGGCGGGGAACTTGACTGGATCCCGTACGATGTGGTGGATGAGGGAGTAAATGCTGTTGGTGTAGAAGGGCGGGTAGCCCGTGTGTAGCTCGTAGAGAATGATCCCCAGGGACCAAAGATCCACCTGTGCACCGGGCAGCGCAACTGGTGACCTTATCCTCGTGCATTGCTTCAGTCAGACTGTCACTCAAGCATAACCGCATGCTGCCATCGCCAAGGATAGTCCAAGACCTATCGTTACCGAATATGAAGGCCATGAAAGAGTCATGAAGGTCATGTAGGGCAATAGGGACCTACAGCCCTTAAATATGAAACCACGCTAAACCAAATGACCTTCATGAGCTTCATGACTTCATGTCCGGAAATGAAAAGTAAGGACATTTGTGTCATTGTTATGACATTTATCGAAGCCCTCCATACATAATCGTGTTGATGGCTTGCCCTGCGGTATCTAAAGCAGCGTATCCTTCGGCAGTCATACCTGCCAACAGACCATTTGCTGCGCTGCCTTCACGTTGCACAGTTGAACGGGCTCATTTTTGAACCGCGAATACAGAATCTCTGATTTGTTGAATGCCCAAAAATGTGCCCATGTAGGGCAATAGGGACCTACAGCCCTTAAATACAAAAACACACTAAACCAAATGACCTTCGTGTGCTTGATGACTTCATGTCCGGAAATGAAAAGTACGGACATTTGTGTGACTGTTATGCCATTTATCGGAGCTCTCCATACATTGAACGGGCTCAACATTGACATGTTTGCACCGCGAATCCAGAATCTCTGATTTGTTGAATGTCCAAAAAGGTGCCCATGCCGCTGCTCTGGCCGCACCGTGTGGGTGTACGGCTGCTCCTGGACGAGCTCTGGCGCCATGTACAGGGGCGTGCCCTTTATGGAGGTCAACACCATGGTGCTGCACGACATGGCTCGGGCGAAGCCGAAATCGCAGAGTTTGACGCATCCGTCCGCTCCGACCAGGATGTTCTGTGGCTTCATGTCCCTGTGGATGATCCTGTTGCTGTGGAGGTAGTGCAGCGCCCGCACGAGCTGCTTGGATATGTCCCTCACGACGTCTTCCGGAAGATACTTGTCGTCCTCCAAAATTTCAAACAGCTCCCCATGCGCAAACTCTGCAGGACGGCAGTGCGCCGTCACATACGCTGAAAACATGCCCCCAAAGGGCATCTGAGTTTGGGTGATCTACGCAGGAGCACCAGCACGCGTTCGAGGTAACGAATGTCCACGCGCGCCTTTCAAACTGGCTGGATTGCACGGGTGCATTGGCAAGACCTTGATCGCCTTGGGTGCCTTGATCAAGGCAGTGCTCGATTCATCTCTCCATCTGCGCAAAGGATGCTACCAGAGCTGTGCTGGTGCTGCCTAAAGTGCTGGTTGCTTTGTGCTGCTTTGCACGCGTGCAAATGCTTCCACTCCCTCCTCTATAGCAACAGAATTCGGGGACCAACATTCCCCAAGTGGGATGCTGCCGTCGACCCGTTGAATGCTCTTGCTGCTCCTTCATCGCTGCTCATTATCGCAACGTAGTTCTGATTTGTACAACTTGGGGAGGTGGCGGTGGGACACCAACCCACCAGTGACGACACAGAAGTCGCTCTTTGTCTCGAACGTGTCCAACATCTGTATGATGTTCTCATGTCGCAGGTGCCTGAGAATCTCTATCTCCTGCCGCAAATTCCTGATGTCCTTTTCGCTCTTCCCATGCTTCATTATGAACTTCATGGCGGTAATTTGCCCAGTGCAGCGACGACGCCCCTTGTACACCTGAACCCCCACATCTTTCATTTCGATAGGCAGCCAATTTCCATTCTGCGTGGCATGCATAAGCCTTTCTGAATCCCAATTCTGCAATTCTGTTTGAAGTTCAAACTTTGAATTCGTGCCCTGCGAACTTATTTCCGGAAAGGAACGAGGCAGAAAGAACTCGCAGCCGCCCATATGTCCATGTCGGATATGTGCATATGGTGCGGCACCAGCGCATTGTGCCCGATACACCTTCCCCATTCAAAATACGCTCAGCATCTGCGTATTCGAAAAAAATATACGATGTGTCATGGATATCCTCAACATTACGCGTTAATGACTCCAATTGCCGTTCTGTTCCATTTCCGATCTAAGGCACAGAATTGGGCTGGGAGCGGCACCCCACTCAGCGCTCAAGGAGGAACAGGTCACAGCATAGGTGACTGCCCAGAATCGATTGTGTATTCAAAGTAGATCTTGTGACCAACCAACCTGAAACATGTTAATATAACAACTATGTGATGATACTTTGTGATGGCTCATATGACGAGACGCCTGGCACTCCAAATTGTTGCTTATTTTGGTACAGGTACTGCTAGCATACTGTTGCAGGCTAAAGATTCCAGGTCAGCCTGGCACAATGCTTGTGGTTTTGTGATTCGACCAAGTGCATGCCGGCTGTCTGGCCTGTTGACTTGACCTGTATGGCCACCCAACTCCACATGTTCAATTCTGGCATGCAGTGGGCGTGTTCCAAGTGCTCCACCACTATGGACAACAGGGTACATTGCTCCCGGGTTTTCTTCATACGCAGAGCTGCAGTGCTGTGTCAATAAACCATCTGAGAGCACCCCACCAACATGTCATTCAGTCAAGGACACGTGACAGCTGGCCCAAGAAGGAGCGGAAACTTGCTCGGAGTGTATGTTTCCACAAGAAAGCCCAATTTAAGCCGAACACCATCTGCCATAGCTGCCAGCAAAAGCTGCTCATTCCACTGGGAAGCACGGGTGGGATCGCATTTCTTGACTGCACAATCCAGCCCCACCGGCTGGCACCCATCATGAAGCACTCAGCCATTCCACAAACCAAAATCATTTCATTTGCAAAGATTTTTCAATACACAAGTACAGAGATGAATGTTAATTGTGCTGCAACAAGCTTTCGACTGCATCAAGATGCGGTTCATCAGCTTCTTTGGATTGCTTGGCCCCGTGTGTTGTATTCAATTGCTTCTCTTTTGGGCTCAATTGACACAGGTGTTTGAGCCATGCCTCTCTCTGCTGCTGCCTTCGCATAGTGCTCTAAACAGTAGAGAAGAGCTGGCATGCACATTGTTGCAGATTTCGATCGTCACTGGTAGGGACATCTAGCTGGAGGCAAGTGTGAGCAGTCTGTGTAATGCCAGTCACAAAACTGCAATGCTGAATAGACTGATGCCATTGCTGATGCCATCACCAACGTTGGTATTGGCAATAGTATGAAGTACTCAAGAGATAACAATGTGGCATGCCTGCAGCAATGGCCAGCAACACATCCCACCACAGCCGATCTAGGGAGGTCCTCTGTCACAACTCCTGCAACCGCGGTCTTAGAATTTTCCAAGCACACAAGTTCGAATCAGAAGGAACCAGGTAAAACTGCTCAAAATTGTTCCAAATCTCTAAACTGAGACCAAGGCTGTGCCTGTGGCTTTTCTGTGCCAGTGGTCCGCACCATTGCTTAGGCCTCCCATGCATGAACGGGAGGCTTGCTTGTGTTCTGTGTGCTGCAGTGCGGGCTGTGTGGGCTTCACGATTTACAACTTCAGTACTTTGGATCGTAGTTCCACAACGAGGGTTTCAGATAGCTCCCCTGGCCACCGTCCGGCATCAGCGCACTGGCCTGAGACCCTCCGCTCGCCTTTTGTACAAATCCAAAACCTCGACACTGTCTTTTGTCAGCCGTAGCGCCAGGGACGCTGTCGGTCTCAGCACAGGACACTGATCACAAGCAAGCGGCGAACGGGGTGGACCACAGCCGTGGCAAGCCCACGGCAGGACGAGGTGGATGTTGAACGTAAGTGCTGTTTTGCGGTCGTGGTCCAGTCGACAGCGACTGCGCGTGGTGCCAGTTTGAGGCACAACACTCCGCCCGCTCCCTTAGCAATGCCTGGATGCCAACGAAAACGTGCCCACGGGGGCGCAACCCAAACATTCCACAGCCATCGCACGCCCACGGCGGCCGCCCAAACGCGGACAAAGGCTTGTCACGGCTTCGCGTGACATCGCCGCACCTTCCCAAAGGAGCCTTCTCCCACAAGGTCGATCACGTGGTAGTTGTCCATCTTGTCTGAGAGGCGATCGCCTCCGTGGATCACGCCTGGGAGTTTCCACGCACCGCTTGGTGCGCTTGATCAAGAGTCCTGAAGCCTGCCGCTTGGCAGGGCATGGGCGCTTGCAGCGATCGGGAGGTGGGTGTTCGCCGAAGCGGGGAAGCGGGGCGCGATGCAAGCTGGATTGTGTGTGGCACGCAAAGGCGACAGCACAAGAGAGCCTCCTGTTGCACACATTCATGACGGTCCCATTCATGACTGATGGATCATCATTGAACCCATCAAAAATGCCACATACCGCGCAAGGAAGCAGGACAGGGAAGGCCAACGGCAGGTAGCTGTGCCCTTCTTCGAAGAAGGACAGTGACGATGAACCCACTGGAGTACTGATTCAACAGCGAACTTGGTTTATCGAATTCCATGAAATCGCGCTTCATAGATGGGTTTAGAAATTAGTGTGGAAGCACCTCGTTGTTTCGAACACCATGCCATATTCGCAGAGTACGAGTGAACTCTATGCAGAATGTTGTCTGCAATCAACGTGGACCCTGCACTACGCATGCTCACTTCAGATGCGCTGAACCTGCTTTTTATTAGCATCCAGGGTGCCTGCACCCTGCCATCTGGAAACTGCAGTCCTCCCATCGTCTTGCCAACCGATGCAGTTCATGGACCGATGCACAGCATGCCTCTGCCAGAATAAAATTGCAACGGTTAGGCCATGATCCCCCTGTTCTCGTAGTGGTTTCAGAATTCCCTTACCCTGAATTGTCCACAATGGAATTCAGATCCAAATCCAGACAGTAACAGTCTCAAAAAATTGTTACCTTAGAGGTTGCAGTTGTGCATAGAATTCACGGACTTCCGGCCCCTTGCAAACTCAGAAACACCTCAAACCCCTGGGTTCAGACAGCAGGCCGCGAACAGCCCCAGTCGGGGCAGTGATTGACACAGAGCCCACATAGAAGAACGTATCCAAGCTATCAGCCTGCTCCAGTGAGGAAAAATCGTCGCGCAACAGAAAATTGTCAAAACACATGCCAGTGGAAGACAATGGACGTCGAATGCATGACCATCCACAGGATACAGTTGCAACACCGTAACAACCTCACAAATTACACATCGGCATTGCGAAAAACACATCTCAGGTTGTTTGGGAGAACAAAAAGACAATGTTAGCGGGAGAGCAACACGTTGCATCTCACTTCCAAATGCTGAAGTAAGCCATTGAAGATGGGATACTCAACATATCATGTCCACGTTTCTAGAAGAGTGCAAATGATTAACCGCATATGTGCGCACAAAAGAATGCTTGCGAGCATACTCATCTTGGCAAACTTCTCTTTAGCTCGCGTTCATCCATGGCATGGCCTTTGATTATGGAAGACAAAATCCCGCAGTCTCGGCAAATATACTACCATATCGGCCATAATTGTAATCTGATTCTAATCTGTAAACAATTATGGGGGCGCGAGATCAAGATCAAGATCAAGTACGTCAAGCCCATCATGCCACAATCGATCTTTCTGCGACATAATTCAGGATTAATCTTCTCATCATATTTGTTTCGAAACTTACGCTCAAGTGTCAGCGCACGATAGTGGCGGGCATCATGCCCAGCAATGATTCTCATCTTGATGAATTGTACTCTTGGGTCATCAGCTTGATTCCTCATAAACCAGTTATGGCCGTCAACGATTCACCTGCCTAGGTCCCCTACAACGCCTTTTTCGAGCACGTACCGGGCATCTGATCATTCCTGGCCACTCAATCTGCCATTTTTTGGTGTATGCATGCGTCATTTCGTATGCATATAGCGTCAAACTTGCATGGTTCGTCGCCTGTGCCAATGCTGCTGCCACTTTTGATCCAAATCTGTCGGGATTGCACACGTGAAGGATTGGTTGAAGAGCGACTCATAAATGTTCTGGCTGGGTGATCCAAAACTGAATTCTCTTAAAAGCTCGATGCGCTCACGGACGCGTGTGCCAGGCTGGTGCTTTCATGGCCATGGCATGCGATCGTGTCAAACAGCAGTGCATAGCATACAATAATTAGTAATATATACAGTATTGAAAGCATGCACATGGCCCCATACTGAGATAATGGGCCTACTGGAATGCCTGGGATTCGCTTGTCACCTGTCTGGGACGATACGACAGATTCGCAGGGATTTCAAACGCGAGACAACGAATTCACATGCAGCCGATCGCCAGTGATACGCAAGAGCCACGCACAACCGGCAGCCAGAAGCATTAGACCATCGAATCTCCTCTTACAAGTTGTTCGAGTACATGTCCCCTGCCACCCTCCACTCACACGCCCCACCAACAGTCGGGGCAAGCGACAGCAAGAAGGGCAGTCGGATGCCCATACGGGCCACAAAAATAGCCCCACGGATCTCAAAAAGGGTCATGGGACATCAAACTCCCTTTTTACCTCATCAGAGATTCTCTCTTATTCCGGATCAATACTATACGTTCGATTCACTGACATGACAATAACTTGCAGTCCCTATCCCCGCACACCATCTCTTTTCCCTCAGATCCCCAGATCAAAAATTTCCGTACGCCAGCGCCTCCCACAAACCCATGCCATGACTGCCTCCAAAATCCTAGCCCTTTCAGGCTCCGTCCCTGACATCCGCTGAACCTGAACGGCCCACAGCTGCATGTCCAGCTCCAGCGTCGAAGCCCGAAGACGGTTGGCCGTATTCCTATCGAACGCCTCGAGAATATCGCCTGGCATCTGATGGCTAGGGTCGGATTCCCGCCAAACCGTCTCGACAGTGTCCCTCCACCTGTCTGCTATCGCCTGCGCCCCCGCTCCCGCCTGACGCACCAACATCTCGGCGAAGTCCAGTGCGTCTATGACTTGGGCCGCGCTCCACTCCCTCTCTCTCTCCTCCTCTGACACATGGTCCGGCGACGGATCGTCTTGTCGCTCCGCCCGTCGCTCAACCGCTCGGCGCATCGACGCGACTTCGTCAGGGGATCGTATCCATACGCCTCCCACCGTCATGTCGCACGGATACAATTCCCACGCCACGAGTCAGCGATTCCTGGGATGGTGACGGGCCGTCTCGGTCAGCATGCACTCCCAGCCGTTCCTCACACCCATGCAACCACACGGCCGCCTTACCAGGACCTTACGCACGCTCCATATTTGGCTGAGTCCCGAGAGTGCCATGTCACACCATCTGGGATATCGTAGGTCCCCTCAACGGGCAGTAACGTCAACATCAGTCATCTTCCGTGTCCAGCACGGCCTAGTCAGTCAGGTCAAAGTCCAACGCCTCATCTGATGTGCAAGCCAGCCGCACGGCCAGCGTCCATGCGGACATGTATCCCATGCTACGATTCACATGGATTCTTGACCTCCATATGCAACTGGGTAGTCCGACAAGCATCACGCTGTCTCCCGCGACTGACGACGCTCCCAACCGCGAGGGAAAGAGACATGAGCACAGGTCATGGGATCCATGTACGCTTCACTGGCCAGGGAAGGACATGACGTGCGACAACATGGACACCGCATGCCATCCAATTACAGCTTTTGTTCATGACATGTGCCCAGTTCAGCTCAGCATCCACCCTATTCACGTGGCCTCTTAGTCCCAGGCCTTTCCTGTCGCCCCTGTTCAACTTCCTCCCCCCCATCAAGGGGAGGACTCCCCGAACAAGCTGCAGAGGACGACACAACAGGCTCCATATGGTCCACATTCAATTCCCTGTCTCCCCTTAACCAGCCACGCACTTGCCTCTCCAAAACCAAATTTTCCCTATCTAGGACCATCTCACGATTCCGCCTGCCATGGGCTGACACCGCCTGGAGGAACCATTGGGTCACTCCTTCCTGGGGACCCGCTCCAGGGGGTAGTCGATACAGTTTTTCCAGGTCAGCCAACAGAACTCCCAACTCGATATCCTTGTCTATGATCTCCTGAATGGAGCTGCCCCCGGTTAGACCCCTAAAGAAACGCTTACGGATCAGGCCTTTACGCGCCGCTATCTTTGCCTCTACGATTTCGATGGCACGCTCAGTCACCGTAGCGTTGTGCCATGCGCGCGACCTGAATCTGTCCACCTCCGAGATGACGATGTCCCATTCGCGCTCAGCACAGGACATCAAACGATGCCGGAATATGCGCCGATTCTGGGCGACAACTTCCTTCGCCACACCTCCAGTATCTAGCGATTTCTCGAAGTGCTCCGCAAGTGCCTCGACTTGTTGCGCCAGGAATGGGTATCGTCGTTGCGATTCGCGCCATTCAGTCAGAATCGCGTCTTGGAGATCTCGCAGCCGGCGCCATTTGGCATCAAAGACGGTCTCCCCGTCGCCCAGAACCGTCACATGGCGACCGTCTAAAGCTTCCTCCCGAACCTTCATGGCATCCATAATCTCTTGACAGAGCGTGGATATGTCATGGGGCTGCGGCAAGCCGAAGTCCCCATGCCATTCTCTCACCGCTGCACCGAATGTCTCACTGAGACCCCCTTCGCTGTCAGTCGACTGGGACGGCATGTTTTCACAGACGATGCCACCCGCAATAGCACTTGGAGTCTGGAGTCTGAGATAGCAAGCGCAACACGTCCCGTGTAAGCGCATGGGGTTGGATCCTCTTCCATTTGACGTGAGAGGGATTTTTCCTTGTACTAGAATGCCATGTCAGTAGGAGTAGTGGTAAAGTGTAAGGGACTCCTTCTCGCCCTTTCCACTGTACATCAAGTGGGCGTGCCCGTGTCATTCTCTGCCTGCCGTCCTCTTCTGCCATGTCCCAGCACGTTGAGTGTGTCAATTTCATCTGTACTTTCGCGCTTTTGCCTCTCACAGGAGATTCCCAGCCCATGTAAGGCTCATAAAGCCATTAAAGTTGCATTGTCCCTGTGACAAGTGACCAGGTGTCCGGAGCAGATGTCGCAGTAGGGGCGCCAGCCAGTCGCAGTCAAGTCGAGCCCCCTCCTTATACATGATCCTCATTTGTGATCATTATTTGGCGACCCATAACAGTATAGTAGACAGCATTGCGATTCATCGAAATTTGGGTCCGAATATCCACTGCACGGTTCCATAGGTTTCTTTGCTTTGAACATTTGAATTTTGTGCCTGTTTAATCTTCCGATGAATTTCCACCCCCAAGTATTGGTGATAGCACTTGATGGCCAGTTTCAGCATCCACCGCATTTTCCCCAGAATATCTTGAGGCGCATTTATCAAAGCACATCTCTCGATGCGGTACATGCAAGCCGTCCTCTCTCTCACAATGCAACAGCACCCGAAGGCGTATCCGTGCTAACATACGACACACGCGTTCTCCGTCGTACACCCGCAGCCGAAAGGGCCTGGGAATGACCCCCCTATACGTTGTGCTGTAGGCAATTTATGAGTTTTCCAAAGGTGATACAACGCAACTCTGCGCCCACGTACATGCTGAACTACATTTGCAACGCGAACAACCCGAAACGAAACTCTTTGTTCAAAATTCCTGCCTTCAGTGGATTCAAGCACCAGTTCCCTAGTTTCATGGGCGAAATAGGTAGGGTTACGGAAAGAATCTTGCATTTGAGTGACCCACATGTATGGAATGTAGATCGATGTGCTGCATATATTGTTAGTATACTATATATACTGTTAGTATTGGCTTGCCGGCCCCTGATGACGGAACACCGAGTTGCAGTTTGTGGAACTACGCGTTCTTCTGCATATTTGGTTTCCTTCACCACAGCCAACCTTGGGCTTGGTCAGCAGTCCCATCCAATGACACACAAATGTTGTGCAGCCTCTTAACTAGGCGTTGCGCCCATTTTAGTTCACGGGGAGCGCGATTTGACACATTCCCGGTGGGGGACCCCCCGCGGCCGCGACCCTGGCTGCCCGCTGGCTGGCTGCGTCAATCCCTCGCACGCATTGTCTCCAACTCCTTTGTTTTCATTCCTGCCACACCCTCAACCATAATGGCGGATGGCAAGGTATGTGCAATGTTTCGCGAAATTGCCATGGGATTCGCCCTTGAACTTTAAGTGCATGATGCTGATGAATGAGTACTTATGTGTGTTTAATTACTCATCCATACCTCCCGGTGCGTGTCTGGGCTTGCCCGCATGGCGATGCAAGGCACGGCAGCGTGGTTGCCGTGAACGAGCCCCCGAATATAATTATGCGCGAAATTTCACAGGTGAGCAGACACATACAAATGTGCGCAAAAAGAATGCAGACAATGCGCTCCCGCGGGCAGTGTAGGCGATCCCCTTTTCGTGACTATCACATTATTTGACACATCTAATCACTTGACATAATTTGTTTGTTCTCGTCCATTCGACTCATAGGCAAATTGACAAAATAATTAAAAAAAAACTCGCGCTCCATATGTGGAAGCCAGCGGGATTCTCATTTTCGTCTGTTGGACACTCAGAAAATCAGGATCGCAAGAATCAACTCCATTCGGTGTTGGTGGTGGTGGTGGGGCCATACGTGCACACCTGTGCAAGCAGCCCCGTTTCAGGTACCTTGCCGTCCTTAAGGTCAAAAAGGCAGAAGTTCAAACTCTGAACCTAGCAGGTAGCGCCCTTGGCAAATAAATCGCCACCAGACGAACAATGACACCACAGGCAACAGCGCAGCGACAGCGAAACGGGACTGCCTTCCTCGCTTCTGAACAGAGTCGGGCGTCCCGAAAAACACCGACATTACGGAATTCGACAAAATGCGCACAGCAAACCTTCAAAAACCCCAGGCAGGCACCAAGGGCCCCCCGGGCGCCACATGTTGCTGGCCGGTCACTGAACGGCGTGCGGGGGTGCTTGTTGCCCTGCACACGCCGCCCATCCCCACCACACGCGCCGCGCGCCACAGCCGCGCAGCCCCCCCCCGCGACGCTCCCCGCCGCCTGCCCGCGATGGGCCTGACCGCTGCGGTCGCGGGAGGGGACCCCGCGAGCAAAACCGCCCCGCCGGGATGCCCGCGGGCGCTGTCCGCGCGATGGTGCCACAGGGGCGCGACGGCCATGGCGAGGATGAAGGGCCGCACGGGGGGCCGGAGGGCGTCCGCGGCGCCGAAGCAGAGGTGCGGAGTTTGTGGAGGCCCGGGCGGGCGGCAATCTGGAGGAACCTCGGTGGGGGCGGGGGGCAATGGGCGCATGTTCTGGCCCGCGCCGGCGGGCGCGACCAAATTTGGTGCGCGGCCGCGCCCCGGGACCGAGGCTGCGGTGTGGGGTCCTGTGGTGAATGTGTTTGAAGCGAGCGATGGGCTGGGTGGTTGTGGTCAATGAGACGGATGGGCAGTCGATCGTGCGGGGCACTGTGAATTGACGCCTGTCTCTCGATCTGTTCCCACACCTGCCTCCTGTGCGGTGGATCGCCCTGCGGATGTGTTGAGCCCTGTGCACCCAATTTGTTTGTTTTCTGTGCTTCCCGTGATGGTATCTGAGGCTTGCGCGTCATCAGCTGTATCGAATAGATGCACCAAACGTTTGCTGAAGACTGGACGAACGCCTTGCACGAAATGCCCTGTCTTGAAGGAAATGAGCTTTGCGCCGGCGCCTTGATTTTAAAAGCGTCTGGCAAGCTTCTGCACGACCTCCTGAGGCAGCCGTGATGCCCATGCAGGTGTTTGGGCTGGGTGCTGAAGAAGAGCATCGTTGGTCAGCCCGTGCTCATGCCATCGTTCCGCTCTTCAACTGCTCGCCCCCTCATCGCCATCAGCTATCACCAAAAGAGGCCTTCCCTGATAGTGTGTGCAACGCTGGTAAGTTGGAGCGCACTCTTTGGCGGACTGAGAAATTTGTGTGGATCTGGCTGGGTTGTCCTGCTGAAACTCTACACTGTTATCTGACAACAGGGTGGATGTGCACCTTGTGGGTTCCCTTTTGCTCGCACGGAGGTATAATTCGAGCATGGCAGCATGGCTACAGTGGTATCTGGTTTGTCCTGCACGGGTCTGTTGTGCTTGAAGCGCCTGTTTTGGCCCACAACCTAACTGTTTTGTTGTCCATCTTTCAAGTGTGGAGAAAATGCATCGCGAATTTCGCCCCCCATGAGCAGGATTTTGTAACCCTGGTAAGCTGACAGGCAATGCGCCCATCCGCATCCTGCAGGTCGCAGCGGAAGATGCACAGTCCTTTCTGGACGCAGAAATCCCCCAGCATCCTGACATGGTTGTTGGCGAACTGAAGAATGGCATGCGGTACGTCCTGTTCCCCAACAAGACGCCTCCAAATCGCTTTGAGGCCCATCTTGAGGTCCATGCAGGCAGCGTCGACGAGACGAAAGAGCAGCAGGGGTTGGCGCACCTTGTGGAACATGTCACCTTCCTGGGCAGCCGCAAGAGAGAGGGGCTGCTGGGGACTGGGGCACGATCCAATGCATACACAGATTTTCACCACACTGTGTTCCATGTGCACTCTCCGTTGGTGAACGCCTCCACTGGCCAGCGCATGCTTCCACAGGTGGGTCTTCTGAGCGATGAGGAAGGATGACATGGGCTAGATCGCACCGGGCTTTGTCTCGTGCTTGATGCTTGTGATGGAGACTCTGGGACTCAGTATGGAACATGTTAGGTTCAGCTTATGGCTGAAGCTGGGCAGCTTCAGCAAAAGTGCTTGTAAGTCCAGATGTACGTGCTGGTGGCTAGCCCAAGATACAATTCTTCTGTTTGTGTATGCTTAGTGCTGTGATGCAACAGTGGCTGGCTTGAGGCGGTTCAACCAATCAACAGAGGATGCATATGTTTGGTGCTCAGTCAGTGTTTGTATCAACAAGGATTATTATTACCATGGGGACATCAATGTTTTGCATGGTTTCATTTTGTGGTCTTCATAATGTGGTGCATAGTGTTGAAATGTTGGTCAGGCAGGAGGAACCAGCATTCATAGTGTTGATCATCTGAGAGGGGATGCTGTTGACTGGATGTTCAGGACCTTTCTATGTGGTCTTATCACATAGCTTATTGCCCTTTTAAGTTTTGCTGGTTTTCCATGGTGAGAATTTTGCTGCGAGAAGGTTGACCTTGGGCAAGAGATGATGGTTGGTGGATTGAACTTCAGCATGGGTTAGACTTGGAAGAAGTGCAAAATGCTGCCCAGAAGCATCTGCCAAACACGATGCAAGTGAACACAAGGCACATCCTTGTTTTTTGTCCATATGTCACTGAAGCAACCCTGGAGGCACAGGCTGCCAACATCCATTTTCTGAGGGTTCTTTGTTGAAGGCCAGAGCTTGATCAGCATCAGTGTGTTCAATACTCACAATGTTCAATATATTCTTTTGGATCAGCAGGATCATCGACATGTTTGTGTCGTTTGCTTCAGGTGCTCGATGCATTGGAGGAAATTGCATTTGAACCGCAGTTTCTTTACAGCCGAATAGAGAAGGAGCGCAGGGCTGTGCTTTCGGAGGCCCAGATGATGAACACTATAGAGTACCGTGTGGACTGCCAGCTGCTGAAATACTTGCACAAAGAGAATGCCCTTGGGAGGCGCTTCCCCATCGGCAAGACTGACCAGATCAAGACTTGGACTGGAGACATGCTCAAGGATTACTGGCGAAAGTGGTGAGAAACGGGTGCCCGGATTTAAGGGCTGTGTCTTATTCATTGACTCTGCTGGCTAGTTTGTACAGTGCCAGTGTGTGTGTGTGTGTGTGTGTGTGCGCGTGTGTGTGTCACATGCAGTTTGGAAAGTTGGATGTGTTTGCGAGGTATGCCCCTGTTCGTGGTGATTTGTGGGTGCATGTTTCAGGATACCTGTAGTATTGATGCCAATGATGCACAGATGAACAAAAAGTTGTAGATTGTTGTGTCTGGTGCTGGTTGGAACTGTCAGTGTAAGCAGGTATGTTGGCCAATGTTTGTGTATTGCTCCTCCATGGATTGTCCCGCAGCCTTGTGGTGCCCAGTCCCATAGCATTGCTGGCAAAACTTGTAGAAGCATCTGCTCTTGTGTGGCAGCTTTCATTGCTGAATGTGCCTTTTGTGTTGTCTGCCAATCCCAGGGGTTGCTCACTGGCTTTGTTGTGTTCCTTAGGTATTTTCCTGCCAACACTACCCTGTATGTGGTGGGAGAGTTGGATGGGGGTGTGGAGGGGGTGAAGACACTGATTGAAGAGACATTTGGAAATGTGCCACCTGCGGAGGAGGTAGCCCCACTGCAGCCCGCTGGAGAGTCATCAGGTGGAAATGGGTCCAATGGTGCCTCAGCTCTAGTGGCCGATCCCTCAAGGCGGCGGCACAAGATAAGGTGGCCGGTTTACTTCCTGCATTCATGACAGAATGCTAGCAGACTTTGGCATTCAGAAGTTTAGTGGTTTCTGTGGGATACTGTTGACAAATGTGGATTTTGCCTTGAGCTGCTGTTGTTGTCTGCAGTGTTGCTCTCGTTCAGTCTTTACGTGATGACAAGCTATTTGTACATTTGGCTGGTGTTGGCAATACCTGGTTGTGGACTTGTAACAGCCTTGATAGAACCAGTGCCATCAGGGACATCCCCTTGCCGCTGCATGTCAGCCAGCTTTGCCTGAGCCCAGTGTGTCTTTTGCTTGGAGATTGGAAGGCGCTCGATTCCAGTTCAGAGACCAAGCAAACAGCTGCAAACTTAGGCTTGGTAATCTGTGAGCTTCAAATGCGTATTTGCTATGGCATTATGGACATGCTGTGCATGCATCAGGCCGCCTGTTGAGCACAAGATGGGGTGCTTTGAATTGGCCGATGACGAAGAGCCTGCGAAAGTGGACATTTTCAAACACCCCTTGCTGCAGCACTTCATGCTGTCTGTGTTCTGCAAGCTGCCAGTGCAGCCCATCACCAAGGAAGGAGGCCTTCAGTACCTATTGATGTTGCGGACAATCCTCTCTGTGCTACAGTTTAGAATAAATGCCCGGTAAGATCAATGCCCCAAATGGGTTTGGTCAGGGATTGGACCAGATGCTGTGCTTGTGGCTGTTCCACCATTCCAGGGCTGCAAGACCTTTTGTTGTCGCCCCTGGTTGTGGGCAGGATATTTGGCTGACACTGTTGAAATGCTCCTACAGACTGGATTTGGTGCCAATCTGATTCTTCTCACCACTTACAGGTTGATTGACCTGCACATTTGGTACCTACAGATATAGCCAGCAGGATCCCCCTTTCATGGGCATCGAAATCGATATCTCAGACTCTGGACGTGAGGGCTGCTGTGTCTCAACCTTGACGATAACCTCAGAACCCTGCGACTGGCGCGGAGCTGTCAGAGTTGCCCTGGAGGAAGTACGTCGGCTGCAGAGGCATGGTGTGAAGCCAGGAGAGCTTGAGAGATACAAGGTGAATGGCTGATTATGCTGTTGTCGCGCACCATGGTGGTCCTGCAATACGATGCTGGGACAGTATCATATTTCAACAGTAACCTTCTACAGCAACCTAAGAAAATAGGGGATGGATAAAACAAAAGTGGCTAGGACCGGACGTCCAACAGCAGCTCTGTCCCACCCATTGGCAAACACAGTTCCAGCAGCATGGCTCTGGTAAGGCTGTGCAGGTTGCTCTCGATTGGCCATTGTGTTGTCCCTTGTGGCTGCTGGAGCCCTGCGCAGTTCACCGGGACCAATCTTCAACACGTTGATCGGCCAACTTTGTGCTTTCTCCATTTCAGCACACATGATTGGTGCGTGTGGCAATTGTCCTGTGCATATTATGACTCTTTACTTCTGTTGCTTAGATAGATGGTGACCAGTCAAAGACCTGTTACTGTGGCAGTGAACCACACTGCTGGCCACTGGGACATGCAAGTGGCTCACACCACTGATTGCCAAAATGTTCTGTGAATTGTACTGGTTGTGTGTGGCGTGTTGAAGGATGCTTTGCTGAGGGACAGCGAACAGGCAGCAGACCTGACGGACAGCATTCCAAGCATCGATGGATTGGACTTTTTGATGGAGAGCCTGGCACTTGGGCACATTGTGATGGACCAGAGGGCCCAGCATGCTGTTGTGGTCAAGGCTGCGGAGCATATCAAGCTGGAGGAAGTCAATGGACTGGCGCGGTCCCTTCTTTCATTTGCTTCAGACTATGGTAGAGAAAGGGAGGTAAGCACTGTGGAAGTTGGCATTGACTCATTTGTCCTACGGGAATAGCACTGTCCTTGTGTCTGTGAGGGATGAAGTATATGCTTGCACCTTGTGGCTAAACCTTGTCCCGAGTTCCATCTCTGCAGCTTCCATCTTGACAAGAGAGACAGATAAGGACAGACTGCCAGAGAAATGGGATACCTGTCAGTGGCTGAAGGAAAATGTCTGGCGTCTGCTGTGGCAGCGAGTTTGCATCAATCTGCTTCTGAACGAACAAAAAGCACGTTGTTGGGGAACACTGATGAAATCTCTGTGTCTGACAAAGGTGCTGGCTGAGGCTGCTTTGAATCCTGATGAGTGGGTCCATCCCGGCCCGACCCGTGCAACGTCAATCGTTGCATGCGTCCCAGCGTTCATGGATGCCAGCGGCATGAGCACTGGGAGCGGCATGCCCATGCAGCGAGGTGCGAGCATGGCAACCATGCAGCATGTGGAAGTGGATACAATGCCAGATGTATCTGCCATGGATGACGATGACGACCTCAGCGACTACGTTGTTCCTGACGGAGCAGTTAGATTTGAGATTACAGAGCAGGAGATAGCTGATGCCCTCATGGACACATCCATAACAGTGGAGGCTGGGGTGGATGTGGAAGTGCCAGATGATTTGGTGTCGGAGGAGGAACTGGCGACTATCATAGGTGTGTGTGACACAACTGCTGTGTGGAGATTTGTGTCTGCCGTATTTAGTTTGCAGTGAACTGCTTTTTGTCCCTGGCGCATTTTTCTTGGCTAGAAGTTGTTTCAAGCTGGACAGTGGAAATCTGCATTCCTTGCATTTGCCAACGCAAAGTGTCACCAAGCACTGCCCTGGTAGAATGCAGGCCCTCTTGGAGAGTTATTCCACCAGTGTTCAACAATCCATGCGGTTGGCGCAGTCAGGCCATGGGTTCCTGTGGTGCTTTGGCCCAGTGTTCAGGGGAAGACCCTTTAGGACACCATGCTCGGACTGCTGTCGATGAGCATGTGAAGGATCCTAGATTCCTGTGTTCTTATGCAGATGCACGGCGGCCCAGTTATGTACCAATGCCCGGCGCCTCGGCCGATGACCCCACAACGAGTTTCGATCCGGCAACCAAAATCTACCAACGCCGCCTGTCAAACGGCATCAGGGTCAATTACGTGCACACAGATAATGAGCCCAAGTCGGCGGTGATGCGGATGGTTGTGCCAGGGGGGAGGTTCTGCGACAAGCTTGAGATGGGCCCTGATGGTTTGGGAGCAAGTGCGATCGGCACAAGGGCGTTGTCTGAATCAGGGACTGTAGGCAAGTGGTCCAGGGACCAGACTGAGCTGTTTTGTGTGTCGAGGCTGATCAACTGCGTCCTGGAGCCGAGTGAAGAATTTCTGGTGATGGACTTCAACTTCCCTGTGGGCGGGGGAGGTTTGAAGGCGGTCCTGCAGGTCTTGCACCTCTTCCTGGGGGACCCCAAGTGGGAGGAGTCTTCAGCAGCGAGGGCAAAGCAGATTTATGCATCCAGTTTCAGGTAAATGTCATCCTCTGGACAAAGATGGGGCAACTACCAGATTGATAGCGAGCTGTGCATCATTGTGGCAGTGTACTCGCTTGAAATGATTTTGCAACAGAATGGTGCATCTGTGGAATAAGTATCTATGTCTACATAGTATCTTCAGCATATTTCATGTTGAAAATGTACAGTTCCATGAATTGCACTGAACACAAGGTAGCAAGAATGGGTGTTTTGTTCCAATCCATAGCTTGCATTCCTGGCGCTCTGCTGAAGAAACTGGGTCTCTGATAATGCGATGGGCAGTGGACAACACGTGCTCTGTCGTTGAGTGTACATGTCTATGGCCTACGTCTTGTTTGATTGAGAATCCTGGCCAATATTCTGTAATTTGTGCAGATGCCGAATCAAAGCAGCATTGAGCCGCCCCTGCCCTTCATGTCACAACCACGAGCTAAGCCACCCACTTGCTTCACCTGCCTCCAGCTTTTAAGCTTGCAATGCCATTTGGCTGCTGATTCCAGTGGGGAGAGTAGTGTCGAGGATTGGGAAAGGGTGGATTTGCTCATCCTGGAAGTGTGTGCTCATTGTAGGACGCAACAGAAGAGCCTTGAACAAGCCAGCGTGCGACGCTTGTATTTGTCAATGTTTGGGGACGACCATCGCTTCATGGATACTACTCCTGAAGAGATCGACGCCCTCACTTTGGACGGTATGGTGGATGTGGTGTCAAAGCAACTCACCACCCGCGACATGGAAATCAACATCGTTGGGGACATTGACCCCAAGGACGTTGCTGATCTTGTGCTCAAGTACATGGGTACCATCGAGACGCCAAACCTGCAGCTCCCTGCAGAGATGCCGATCGAGTTTGCATCTCCGCCGAAAGAGCTGCGACATCAAGTCTGGCACCTTCAGGTGCGTGGACCATACTTTGTTGCCCATTTTGTATTGCCTATTGCTGATCAAGCCAGCAAGAGATAGTTTCTGTGCACAGTGCGCAGGCTCCTCTACATAGGTCTTATGTAGAGGCGAACTGGGCACAGCATTTCAGGCAAAGCCATAGCAGTGGCTTCCCATGTTTGTCAAAGGGTTCCAGCGAACTGCACTCTCAATACTTGGTATTGCTGAGACTTCACACAGTGCTTGGCAAGGTTGCACTGGCCCTCGATTGCTGTTTGACGCAAACTGGTGCACTGGACCTAAATGCTGTTGGTGTTGGTGAGGTGGCAATTGTTGAGTGGTTACTCCCCAAGTGGTGCTTTAGCTCATTCCCGCAAGTGGAGTGGTTCATCTTGTCTTTCTTCTCCACTTGTCATGACACATAGTGAGAAACAAATATTGTGGGAACCAGCTTGTGTGTGGAAAGCCACCTTCTGATGTGCAAGGACTGTGTTATGTCATTTTCAACAAATGGAGCCAACAGGTTTTGTGCATGCCATTTGTTACAGGACTCTGACGAACGTGCATGTGGGTACATTGCTGGACCAGCACCCAGCCGATGGGGCATGTTTGGAAGCAGCACATTGCCAACTGGACCACCAGCACGGGTGAGTGGACAATCCCCACTGTCCCCTTTTGTACACGCACTCAGCACCACAATACCACCTTCTGCACAGTGGCAGCACTGTTTATTGGCATCTTTTATAATGGCCAGACAGATGCACTTCAAGGGCGAAGCAGTAACAAAGGCAGAGGCTTGTGACAAAGTTGCTGCAGCCGTTTGCTGGAAGTGTACCGTGTTCAATTGTTGATGCAGCCAACGACCCAAACTAATGAAAGGACTCCAGCTTCAGCAAAAATACTACAGCACTGTGATACTTGTTTTTAGCTGAGATTTGCCTGATGTCAGCCGCCCCCTTTTGACTATTGGTGCCTGACGTTGCTGGCCCTTGGCCTTGGCTGTTTGCAGGTTGTGTCACCCCCACAAGAGCCGGAGGGGCCATCCAGCAACCCTTTGGCCCAAAGCTTTGCCACAGCCATCCGCAGAGCCCACCCTCTGTACCCATCGACGACCCTGGCACTGCTGACGGAGATAATCAACTCCAGGCTCTTCACAACAGTGAGAGACCAGCTGGGGTTGACGTACGACGTGTCATTTGAGCTGTTCCAGTTCGATCGGAACCCAGGGGGCTGGTTCTCTGTCCATGTGACCTCTTCTCCACAGAAGATCCATGAAGCCGTGATGGCATCTGCAGACACTTTGAGAAATGTTGCCAAACAGACAATCACTGAGAGGGAATTGGCACGGTAGGTTTTTGCAAATTACATTCTGAGTTGAATTTCAGCCTCTTGGGGTCAGACGATTCCACCTTGCCATGTAGTATCCTTGTGTTCTGGTTTCTGCACAAACTCCTTGACAATCGCCTACCATTCTTGTTGCTGTTTTTTTTGCTGTTGCATACCTTGCCTGGAGATCTTCAAGCAGCAGTTTGACCTTGTTCGCATCGGTCATACTCTCGATCCGCATGGCCCTTTGCTTGTGTAAGTGGGTCTGCATTTCAGCTTCAAGCACCACCTGGTTGTGTGGTTGCATTTGTGGCGCCCGTCTGGGTATGCTGGTTGGTAACAAGTGTGGTGCTGTGCACGATGCAGAGCCAAGCGCACCCTTATCACAAGACACGAGTCAGATCTTAGAACGAATGCCCACTGGCTTGGACTTCTGACACACCTCCAGTCAGATAAAGTCCCCTTGAAGACAGTAGACTGCCTGCGTGACATCAAGGCCATGTACCAATCTGTGACCATCAAGGACGTGTTGGATGCGTACAGCCGCTTTGACTTCCGGCATGACAGCATCTGGTCCTGCATCGGGACCAGTGGTCGAATGGCCCCGCCCACCCCTACCCCAAAGCCCGCACTGTTGCAGCAATCCCAACCCCAGACACGTGAGAATCAGCCTGCCACCGCGGTGGCTTCTGGGTCGGCTGCGCAGGACCAGTCAAGTTTTTGGTCTACCATGCTGTCAGCAGCGCAGGTGGGTTCCTTATGTTGCAGGGCACAGCAGTGCGCAGTGCATGTTCACGAGTACAAGGACGCCCAACCGTGCCATGTCAAGCTTTAGTTCCAAGTTGGGCTTCAGCATGTTTGTTGCATACCCTATTCGGTGTAGTGTAATGGATGCTGCTTTTAATGCCTCATTGGTTGGGATTTGAATTTGGTAGGGGCATATTGACATCATTTATGGACTTGATTCTGCTTTGTGCACAACCATCAACCTGGCATAACTCATTTTCAGTCAATTTCGGAAGTACGGTGGCACTTTATTCACACAGCTGAAGTCCATTCAGCCTTGGCCACGAGGATACAGTTCTCTGAATTGCAGTAGTGCTGTGTACTGCTATGCTGTACACATGAATTGTTACTGCTAGGATGTACCCCATGTAAATGCTTGTTCCATTTCTTCCAATTGTGTTTGTTGTGTTCCATGTATCTCCAGGCTCTCGGAAAGGCACCCAAGAACCCTTCGGTCCAGGATTTCAACCGACAGGACCCAGAAAACAGCGTTGAGAGTAACACAGCCTGAGAGTGCGATCAATATGCAGCTTGGAGAGAGAGAACTGTGGGTTGGCCTCTGACTTTTGGGCTGAGGGACACTTAGCAATGCAGAAAGAGGTCTGCAGGAAGGAATTCGTTGTGCGATTCTTTAATTGTTTGGTCGGTCGGTGTCACAGGCTGCAGCGCGTATGCCTTTGTGCCCTCAATGAATTGCCTGAAGTCAAGTTGCAGCATTGCGTACTGAGATATCTGGGCATGGTGTTGAATTGGGTCTAGTGTGGAAACCAAATTCCAATTCAAATGTAGTTCACAACACTGCAGGGGTTGCATCATTGTCCATATGGCCTCATGCCAGAATGAATGGGGAACTGGTAGTAGGACTCAACGCTGCCTGTGATAGGGATATGCATCCCTGCACCAGAATCATAACCATTGCGAAAACTGCTGCTGCCATGCTGACAACTTAATACACATGTGCCGAAACAAGTTGTGCACATTTAGAGCTGTGTGCTCTGAGCCTGCAACACCTAAGATGCAGCCATTGTGCACATTGCAGATCCTACCTGACCTGATATGTCCTAAAATTATGACAGGAAAAATGTTGTAGTATGAGCTCCATGTTCGAGTATGAGCTTGCTGTACTGTGAGCTCCATGTTCAACTGTTGATCTGAGAACAGCCAAACTCGCACCTACACAGGCCACCATTGCAAGGCTTCTGACAGAACTTCTAATAGAACTCTATAAACTATAACATCAAAATCCACACAAGCTCAAAATAATGCTCGCAAGCGTACTGAGTGGCTTTTACCTAGTGTCAGCCAGACTTGCCTGACCACCGTTAGTGCTGGGACAACACTTGGCCATCCAGGTGCACCAGGCTCTCTGAATAGATTGACCTTTGGACAATGCACATCATCAGGGGCACCCATGTGCCCTCCAGCGCTAAACAATCGAAACCACTGCACTATCATCCTATGGCCCCCTTTGTCAGTACTAAAGCCTGCTGTGACTGCATCTTTCTCCACTGGGAGTGACTGGTCATAGGCAATACCGGGGGTCGCCTGGCAGGGAAACTTTCCTGTCAGCCCCGCAATGCAAACCCCGGTCGCCCCATGCTGCCCCCATCCCCACCCCCCACCCCCCACCCCCCTTTGTGCTTTGCGCACTGCGCAACAGCCTCGTTGTCATGGTGCCTGCGGTTGTTCTGGCCTGAGGCTGGCTACGCTGGCGGCAAGGACCTTGTCCCTGATCCCCAAGGCTCGGTCCAGCTGCTCCATCGATTCGGTCAGCTCGCCCTTCCCCTGGAGCACCTTGCTGAGTTGGGTGCATATGAGGGCGACGAGGTGGTGCTCGGCGCCCAGCTTGGTTTCGGTGTTTTCCAGGGCTTGGCGGTACAGGTCAATGGCGTCGTCCACTAGGCCCTCGCTCTGCAAGATGCCGGCGATGTTGAGATACGTAATGGCAATGTTGTGGTTGGCCAGCTCGCCCGCACCCTGCCACACCTTGAGGGCCATGTTGTGGTATTGCAGCGCCCTGGCGGCAGAGCAGTACAAATGGTCAGCAGGGTCGCAGAAGGCTGGACTGCATGGCTGGTGTTGCATTGCATGGTGATTTGTTTTGTGTGCTGTGTTGAACTGTCCTGTGGTGCTTGGTGAAGTTAACCAATCTATGGGACAGATTCCCCACAAGCCACCGGCTGTGGCCCCATGCGGTGTGCGCTGATCCCCCTGGGGTTGCCAATTGGTGCTGCCTTTCATACGATTCAGTGCCTCAGTTACACCCTGGATGCTGCATTGGAAAGGGCGCCAATTCGTGGTTAGATTTCTTGAAGTGGAATTGAGTGGTTTGAGGATTTGGGGCGGCAATATCGAAAATGTATGACCACGCAAGTTAATCCCTTGGTCGCGGCGCTGCTGGTTCCAACCATTGGTGTTAGGCAATCATCAAGACAGTCGTCATGCATGGGGAGGGTGGCCCCAAGCACTGGTCGGCAAGAGAAAAAATGCCGATGGAATGGGGTTTTGTATCGCAGGCGACCAGTCGTCAGTCTCTATCCTTATGACTGGTGTCTGCCATTCCACAATTGAAAGGAAGTTGTGCCCATCTGGGAATCTGGACGGTCGTGCTCCAGCACTAACGGCACATATTCTGTCATCGATCTGTGCAGCAGCCGTCAGGCAGTGTTATCATTGACATCAAGTCATACCGAAACTGAATCTATGTTGAATCAGATGCAAGAGCACTGTGGCAACGCTGTCCACCAATGAATCTACGGCCTAACTGCATCGAGGGCTGTCAATGCTGCAGCAAGACAGTCCAGATTTCCAGTCGCCATTGCCGCTGCCGGCGTTGGTTGTGCCTTGAGTTCCTCACTTGTGGAATTCGCCCATCGCTTGCAGGCATCCCGCCAGCTTCCCACTGACATGAGCAATGTCTGTGTGCTCCGGCCCCTTGACGACCTTCAGGGTCTCCAAGGCTGCTGTGTACTCGCTGGCAGCGTCGGAGTGGTTGCCCTGCGCCTCCATGATGTCAGCCAGGTTGATGCCTGCCGCTGCAACGTCCAGGCTGTCGTGTCCCAGCTGGCGCTCCAGGATGGACAGGGCACGCTCGTGGAATTCTTGGGCTTCCTCGAGCTCCTCCCTCTCCTGCCCGCAGTTCACCACATGCCGGTTGCATGCGGCCTGAAAGACATGATACAGATTGCCAAATACGGTCCTGCTGTAACTTGTGCACTGCCGATGTGGCGATTTCTGCATGTTGGATACGTCGGGACTACCAACGGCAGATTTCCCAGAACAAGGTGTGCCGCTCCCAACTCCTGGGAACTGCCATCACCTATCACCTATGCCCAAACTCCCCAATATGGCGCACCCCGCGTGTATCCATCCCGTTCCAACGATCTGCGTTTGCAGGTGCATGGCATCGCAAAAAGAAGGGGCCCCACGCCTGTGCCGAAGCCCTGGTCAATGCGTCAGTGGTGGGCGCACCTGCAGGAGGTTCCCGATGTTTGTGTACACGGCCGCGAGGTCCAAGTCGTCCACCCCGGGGGCCTTCTCGAATACGTACTGCGCCTGGGCGTAGAACTCCATTGCCTTGTCCAGCTCGCCCTCCATCCACAGGAAATTCCCCATGTTCGTGGTGGCGGTCGCCACGTGGGGGTGATGCTCGCCGTAGAACTTCTTCAGCACATCCAGCGCGTTCTGGTACAGCTCCAGAGCCCTCATGATATCCTTGTCCGGGTTGGCGTCCTGATAACGGGCAAGACAGTCGGCAAGTCACACGCGCTCGTCGGGTTTGATGAACGTTGCGGAGCGAATCGGACCCCAAGGTCCGTGAGTTTCCCCCACCAATCGACCGAACGCGTTGCGGAACCAAGGTCAGCTCAGTGACAATCTGTTGCCCTGGTGGTCCCGCGGGGCTTGTAGGCATGTCTGATTTGCGAGCAGCAGCGGCATTCAGCAGCTTGTGGGCATCTTGCCAAAATGCGGGTGGGATTGGTTCGCCGGGGATGGAGAGTTTTCTTTGCTGGTCCAAACTACAGCACCACACATGGGGCAGTGGGCGGCCGCACTCCCAATCCAGAATGCCTGTTCCAGATCCGGCTGTTCACTTGATCGCAAGCTGAAAGCCCACCCATGCGCCGCGCTTTGCGACACCAGCGCACACCTGCTGCACGAGCGACGCGTACGCCCTGGATATGGTGGACTGCTTCCGAAAGCTGGCTTTCTGAATCCACTGCTCCCTGGAACTGGTCCCGTGCTGCTGGCCGGCGCTCTCAGATTCAGACGTCCCTGTCGCGCCTCCCGACGTCAACTTGGCCGCCAGCTCCGGTTGGCACCTTCCCAGCTTCCCCCCGTCCCTCTTCTTGTCCTCGTCCCCCGCGGCCGCCGCCATGCTGTGGATCGAGTCGGAGTACTGCCGCAGGGCCTCCCTGAACCTGGTTCCAAATTGGTGTGGAGGGTCCCCTGGGCCCAGGCTGGCGGTCTCGGGGCAGAGGGCATCCACCGCCGCGTAGATCGCGCGTTGGTACATCTCCATTGCCTCCCCCAGGTCGCTGCCCTCCAGTATCTCCTCTGAGAGGCTCCTCTGGGGCAGGCCTATGGTTATGGGCACCAGGTCCGCCTTCATGCCATCCGGGACGCCGCCGCCGCCGTTGGCATCCGAGTCGGGAGCCTGCCCATGTCTCGCACGGGAAAAGGAGAAACTGCGGGGGCAAATCGCCGCGGCGTTGGATCGCTCTTCCACAGTTAACAATAAGAGCTCGTACTGCGAAAGCCTGCTTGCTGATTTACCATGGTGCATTCAACCCTTCCGCTCCAAACTGTTTTATCGCTTCGCTTTTTGCTCCGCATTTTTTGTCCCGAGAGTTATTTTTATGGTTTTTACGTTGCTCCGCAAAAAAATGATTAAAGCATTGTTATTTATTTTATTGTTTTCAAAAACTGTCCGCGCGGTATGTTGCAACGCGGAAGGGTTGAAACACTAAAGGACAATTTGCTCATGTGAGGGCGTGCTGCAACGACACGGCCTGTCAAACCGTGCGGTTGCTGTCAAGGGAAGGCGGGAGAATGTGTCTGCCGCAGGCATGTGACTGTGGCCGACTGAATGCAACTCGGTTGATGGTTAGTGTGGGAATGTGACGGTTTTGTTCTGTGCACAAAACGAGCTGTCTGTGCAGCCCTCATTCTGGACTCCCATGATAACAGAGCATCGAAATCCGAAAAGGGGTACCAAATCTGTTGATGACATTAATGACAACATACGTATCGATATTTCGTATATGCTGCGTTGGCGACTTGTCGTTGAACTGCGGAATCACCATCGTTTCTATCAGTGCGTGTCTTGTGCGGTGCGTCTTGATGTGGCAATTAGGAAACGACCACCGTGGTGCAGTGCCGGTTAAACCACCGCGATATCCCTGTAATCCATTCAAAAAGCATAGGCAAACAGCTGATGATTAACGGTGCATATCATGGACGCATGTGGCGCTTGGCATGCATGCAGTGAAGAAAACCTGCTTCCCAGCGACAGTGGATCAATGCCAATGTGTCTGTTCTGCCGCCTACGCACAGTGCCTCCTGGATTTTCACCGTGTGTTCGTCGCCGCATCCAACCCAGTGTGTCCGTGACTGCTCTACCTGCGACTGGCTCTGGATTGCAGTTCATTCTCCGGCATCTCGGTGTCCGCGTTACTTGGAGAAGTCTGATGTGCTTGCAGGTCAAGACCCGCTCATGCGTTGTCACTGTGCTTGCATGTTCTCTGACTGCTGCAGGGAAGCGATGCATGTCAACAGGTTGCACCATCGAGGCAAATATCGACTCCAGTGCTGGAGCTCCCACGCATTTGGCGAAATTTCCCCAGATAAACAGGTAGCAATATAAAGGCAGCAAATATTAAATAAAACGGTAGACTGCAAACAAGCCCAATTCTTTGGTAATGCATTATTTTGTGCGTTTATCCTACAAGTGATTTGTACCGCGGGTATCAAAACCGTTCATGTAAGAATCGTGGAGGAGATGCTGATTGAATACAACTTGATTGAATATCAAATGGTATAGATTTCAGTATTCGTATGTTTGACCGAACTGGGGACACAACCATTTCTGCAGTTAGGTCCACGCGGCGTAAAATTTGTAAAATATGCGTACATGTGGTAAAATTTAGAGATCGAACCCCACCACATGAGACACACATCGTAACGAGGGTGCGCCCTCCGCCCACCTTGCCCTATAAGCACTCATGATGGTGCCGTCGGGGGTGAAGCACCCAGCTTGTTTAAGAATGAAATTCACTTCAGAAATTTCGCATACGCCCACAAACGCCACCACACGCCGTCTAAGCATGCCCACCGAGGTGTGTCATCGTCGCCATAATAGTTAGTTGTGATCGGTGTGTCACTAAAACAAGGGAACTGCGCGAAGATCTGCATGACTGTGGAGTGCATTTTTTTCCGCCACGGCAATGGCCATGTTCAGGATTCCCCGGCCACACGAGAAACTTCAACCCATCCCATTAGTCCCGCACTGTGCGGCCCGCGATCTACTAACTTCAGCGGCAGTACCTGGTAGACTACCCCTGCAGCGCAAAGAGGTCCAGAATGCACACCGCGAGCGAGCGTGGGGGTGCCCTGCCGGAGGTCCATGGTCGACAGCTCGCGAGTGAGGAGAGCCTCCTGGGTGAGTAAGCTCAGCCCACAAGCGAGCAAACGGCCTTCGCCAGAACTGTTGATTGGTGGAGTTGACCTTCGGTCCCGCGCGGAGCCGCGATCTGCCCAGTCTGAGCCCACAAGCGAGCAAACGGCCTTCGCCAGAACTGTTGATTGGTGGAGTTGACCTTCGGTCCCGCGCGGAGCCGCGATCTGCCCAGTCTGAGAAGCAGGTTGGCGACCTTAGCGGCTGGTGCCCGGCCAGAGCTCCTGTGGAGACAGCCGCAGGAGGGCCTGAATTTGGCGCAACAGGCGCTGCCTCCGGCAACCCACCGCCAGACAGGACAGAGGTGGGTCTGTAGCGGTCTCTAATCGGAACGGTTAGCCACACCGGGTGAATAAGAAATTCGAAAGCGACTAGGAAAAAGTACATATCGAAGAAAGTAGGCAGAAGCCATAATCCAGAAATGTCGACATTCACATCAAGGCAAGGAAGTAGCAGTCGCTCCCGCGTTTTGTCAGAGCGAAGTAGCGCCCATGCATACTCAATATAAGGAAATGTGCCAACGAAATCCGGAATGCACCAGGAGTAAAGATTTCGAGAATGACTATATCATGAAGGATGTGTCCTTGAGGAAGGCGAGCGAGGAAAGAAGTAAAAGGGTAGCCGCCAGCTTCCCGTTTTCCTTTTCAATCAATCATTCAATGAATGCCAAGTTTCAAGGCAATCTTCGATCCATGGTTTGAGCAATCGCCAGCGTGGTGGCAACAAGAAATTCAGGAGTGGAAGAATCATCCTTTCTTCTGTAGATATGTTATTTGATACCAGACAGCCAGCCTGCATATAAGTTGTTTGATTGTGCGAAATTGCTTGGAGGAGCAAGCGCCGGTGGAAGAATATCCGCACAGTGGAGAAAATATGTGGTTCATATTGTCATTTCTAGCAACAAGAACGCGCTTCAATCGAATGACAGTTCGTTCAACTTCCTGTGTTGCGTCGCCACATCCGAGTCAAAACAACTATTCGATCTGTTTTGCGAAATTAGGGAAGTTGCAACAGTCACATTAGGCTGCAAGCGAAACTCGCCAGAACATCAGATTGAAAGCAGCCTGTCCTTCTACCCTGATTTCGATCGAATTAGGTAATGAAAATAATCGCACGCGATTTCAGATCTATTAATATGATCTTGAACAATACAAGATCAAGAAAGCCACTGCATCATAAAATTTTCTATTCAGCCATGATGAAAGTCTGTCCACGTAAAATATGTCTTTTGGCAGTAACGCTAGTGAATTATGGATGCTTCTGCGGCATTTCATTTGATTCTCATCGATGATGAAGTAGTAGATATCTACTACTTCATCATTGATTCCACTTTTCTCGAAAACAACAGGCAAGTTGGATGCTGGCTCTGTTTCTGTCTTTAGGCAAAGGTAAACATTAGGAGACCCCGGCCTGCAGCACAATGTCGGAAAAGTCTAGCATGAACCGTGGCCAACCGGACAGTTCTGGGTGGTGCCGCAACTCCACGATGAGCCTGAAGAACACCAAGCGAAGGAGCGCCACGGGATCTATGCACAGGATGTCAGGTGACCCTATTCGACAAGTTTTTCATCGAATTGAACTGATATTCGCATTCCATTAATCGACAAAACTGTTCGATTTCATGCATTTGTTTCTACATATTGCTCATGACATGAGTACATTGTACTGACCCTTACTATTGGATTCCCAAAATTTGGCATACTTGAAACTGTCCTTGCTGAGATGATATCTGTGCTTCATCTAGCTCGAAATAGCCAACGAATGAGCAGGATATCCACAATGGGTGGAAAGCAAGGTCGTGGAACAGAAGGCGGTGGAGTGGAGAAAATCCAGGTCCGGGAAGCCTTGAGGCACGTGTGTCGACAACAACCTTGTATCATGGAAAACTGGTACAAACAAGTACTTAAAAGCACTTAGTACGATGCCATTATTCTCAAAAGAGGCTGCGAGGCCGAAAACTCGTGGACGCAAATGCGCGCCTGACTTTTCTTACAATTCCATTCACAGCAATGTGAGTGAATCAAAAAAGTCACTACTTGTGCACACCTAAATTTGAAACACGCTGGGAAAAAACATACCAAAATACATGGTTTTGGAGATTGAGTACCGTGTATCCCAAATTACAATCGTGTGTAAAACGTGTTTTTATTGTGCAAAAATGGGATCAAACCTTGTAGTGGTGATGGGTGTGTGTGTACATGCATTTCACACGTTTTGACATGGTTTTGCAACCGGAAGTTTGGTAGGAGTCGATGCAATATTGACGGCCAGCTGCATCAATACCGCTCTGCAGACACGAGCTCTGAATGTTAGCTTTGATCGAAGGTCCTATCAGTATTTCGTAAAAGCCTACCAAACTTCCAGATTTATCTCAGTGCCGGATCGTGAATGCAGCTTCCCTGCAAGACTGCCTTCTTCCACAAGATGCCTTTTTGGAGGGTTGGCAAGCATCGGTGTCACATGATCATTGTCCAATGAACCCCTTGCATCAACCCATCAACGCTGCATCAATGCTTACCGAATTTACCGACGTACGCGATTTTTATGCAGTTCGAAACCGTGTATTCTGGCCGATACTTTATTTGTGATGGAATCAAAAGATCCGGAGAGAACTTTGCTTCGCAAATCCTGAAGCACTCCCGGATCAGGCCGCGCTAAAGCATGACGATCACTTCTTCACACCAAACTATAGAAATGAGCATCAAAATGGGCGCCCTTCCCAATAAGGAGCACTCCGGAATGTTGCAAATTGCGCTCCGAATTCCCCTACAAAATGCCCCACCGGATTATACCCATCCACGACTTGCGGCGTGTCCTATATGGTTTCGCCACCACTTTCCACAATGAGTATTTCTCCTAGAGTATCTATTCGGTCAAAATGGATACCTCATACTTGACGCAATACAACAACGAGCCTTTAAACGAGTAAATTATGC